CAGTATCCTCATCCTCTCCTCCTCCTCCTCAACCACACCACTCTCCTCCTCTCTTCCTCCTCCTCCTTCTTCCTTCTTCCCCTTTCTCCTCTCTCTCCTCCTCTCCTCTCCTCCTCCTCCCTTTGCTCTCCTCCTCCTCCCTTTGCTCTCCTCCCTCTCCCTCATTTCTCCTACCTCCCCTCTCTTCCCTTTCTTCCCTGCCCCCTCCATGTTTCCATCTCTCCCTGTTGTCCGTCTTTCCTCGTTCTCATCCTCCGAGCAGGCAGAGAAGTATCTCAGTGCAGCAGAAAAAGCTGCCAGAGAGAAGCAGAAGGTGAAGCAAGAGAAGGAGGAGGAGGAGGAGGAGGAGGAGGATGACGGACGGAGCAGGAGGAGGAGGAGGCAAGGAAAGCTGCATCAGCCAAGGACGACGGAGTCGCTAGAGCCCTGCAGGAGATGATGTACGGGACCTTGGAGGTGCCAAAGAAGGAGAAAGAGATTCAGATAGAGAAGCCGTCCTTCTACGATTTCCCTCCAGACACTCTCACTGATGAGCAGGTAAACCCTGAGCCTGCTGTGAATTTCGGTGATGGATATCACGGGCGTGTTGGGGCTGCTTGTTGCGATAATTAGACCGATTATCATCGCTCTTGATTCCTGCCTTGTTGTTTGATGGCTGTTGAGAAGAGGAGTAGGAGCAGAAGCAGGAGCAGGAGCAGGAGCAGCAAGATCTGGTGGTGGTTGTGGAGGAGGAGGAGGAGGAGGAGGAGGCATACTGATCGTGCTGCCTACAGGTCAAGTTGATCAAGGAGTATGACAAACAAGTCCAGCTAATGGAGGAGGAGAAGGAGAAGCTCAGGAAGACGCTGGAGGCAGAGGCGAAGAAGATCCGAGGAGAGATCCAGGGAGTCATCGACGCATTCAACCACAGGCTGACGTCGCACATCGAGTTCAGGAGGCAGCACAACTCGAGGATCCTCGAAGTCGAGCTGGAGGTTTCGCTGCTGCTGGACTCGATCGTGAAGGAGGAGGACTACAAGATGCACTTCGACCGCCTCACGCGCAAGGTCGACACGACCTACCTCGACTACACGGGCTCGACCTCGGCGATGAAGGAGTTCAGGAGGGAGCTGGAGCAATTCCGGGAGGAGTACGAGACGCTGCTCAACGAGGACAAGAGCGTGGAAAAGACTTTCAAGAAAGAGTTCGTCGACAGCCCCTTCGTAGACGAGCTCACGAAGCTCTTCAAGAAGCGCAAGCAGCAGGAGGCGGAGGCTGAAGGCAGGGCGCTGACCCTGGACCCCTTCGCCGGCAAGGAGACGGGTAGGGAGGGGGCGCGGCCGGAGCCGATGAGCATGGACGAGCTGCCAGACGGGCTATCGCGGGAGCAGGGGGAGAGGTTCCTGGAGCTGAGGGGGAGCAAGATGGAGCTGGAGATGGCGGTGAAGAGCAACGCAAAGAAACTGCTGGCGATGAATCAGCACATGTCCGAGCTGAAGATGCTGCAGGCGGAGGCCTTCCAGCACTATGAGAATGCCAAGGAAGCGCTCAAGACCCTTCAGGACGAGCATCTCATGGACGTGTTCAACCTGTACATGCTCGTCAAGCTCAAGCAGGGGCAGGTGGAGCTGGATGGGGAGAGCATGCACGACGCGGGCAACGACGCCGCCATGATCGAGCGGGAGGCAACAGAGCGGCTGAACTCGCTGATCAAGACTTTAGGGCAAGAGAAGATCTCTCTCATGATAGAGACCAAAGACTTCAGGAAGAAAATCCACCTGCTGGACTGGACGAACCAATCCCTCCAGTTCCAGGCAGAGGAGGTGGCAGAAAACACGAGGTACTTCCAGCTGGTGTGGGTAACCAAGGAGCTCCAGTCCGTCATCAAGGGAGGGGTTGATCACCTCAAGTCAGCAGAGATCGCGACGCTCGAGAAGCAGCTCGAGCATAACAAGCACCTCCATGATGTCAAAGTGCAGGAGATGAAGCAACGGCTCTTCAGAGCTCACAAGCAGATCAGGGAGAAGGAGCTGGAGAACAGCAAGCTCCTCGAGTACGTGCAAGACCTTGCCGTCTCCGTCGCGCAGAGAGAGAAGATCATGAAGGTGAGGCAGTCGGAAGCAGAGTCGCTGGACGACAAGGAGTACAAGATGCAGGAGGTGATATGGAGGAGGCTTGTGCTGGAGGAAGCAAGGCAGCAGTCGGAGGACATCGCGGTGTTGAAGGCGGAGGTGGACAGGCTCCGTCAGAGAACTTTCCCGTCGTTTGCTAAGAGTTATGCGATGCAGAACGCGAGGAGGTGAGAGAGGAATCAGCATCAAGGTCCTCCACCAGATGATAAACGATTGTATGACATGTCAAACAACTTTCTCCGATACACCCAGAGAGCGGCTGCCGGGTCACAACAAGATAGAAAACAACAAGATAGAAGATAACAAGATAGAATATGCATCATTTATTTACAAAAGTGTGCCTTGCTCTATCTATCTCTCTCCGTCTTTGCTCTCCACTCCCATGAGCTCCCCCTCTCCTCATCCACCTGCAGCTTATCGCATCCTCCCCTTTGACCGTCTTGCCCGCCCCTGATGATGGAGCATAGCTCCTTCTTCTCGGTCCCTCAGCTCTTGCCCTGCATCGCTCGCCCTCGCTCATCCGCCGTCTTGGCGCTGCCTCCTTGCCAGCACACGCAAGCTCTCCCCTCGCTTCCTCCCTGCCTCCATGGGCTCGCTCCCACTCTCGCACGAACGACATGTCGTCCTTGGAGGATGGCAGGGGGTAAAAGGCATACGGCAGCGTGGAAGGGGAGGACACGGGGCAGGGGGAGGGGGAGATTCCGAACATCTGGAGGAAGGTGTGGAGGGGGGTAGGCTCAGGAGGATCGAACAACCACGTAGCTTGTGAGACCGTCATTTGAGTTCTCTGTTCAGTTGACTTCCGTAATCAGCGATGTTTGACTTGTGTCCTTCTTCTTTGGTATCTCCTCTCGACCTCTCTCGTGTGTCTGTCGCTGCGCGCTCCTCTTCTAGTCTCCTCTGCCTTCTTGATTTGCCAGTCGCTCCCTTCGTTGCTGTTTACCTGTTTCTCTTTGAATCTTTACCACATCCAAAAGGTCAGCGGAAACTCTGTAGTAAATACCTTCGAAACATGGATACCACCCCCTCAACCACCACCTCTACCCCTATCGCTCTTTGGCTCTACCCACTAAAGCTTTTATCACCCCACCCTACTTATTCTACTTGTTGTCATGTCTACACACGGGGTTGCCTGACATGAATATGACAGGTACGTAAATCCAGTTAGAGCCTTCTTGTACCCCCACCCCCTTCCTATCGTACCCCCACCCTACCATATTAGTACAATCTCAGCCTTGTCCCCCTGTTTTTTAGCACCCTGTTCATTGAACCCCCTTGTTTCATATTCAAAGTACCCACCCCATGCTAGGACCTCTTGACGTGTTCCCAGTAAAGTCATCGACTATCATGCACACGTTGTCTTCTTACTTCAAATCTTGTTGAATATTGATGAAATCTGCCTCAGAGTTTTGAAACATTCAACGACACTTGAAATCAATTTTCGGTCAGGGTGAGCCTCCGGAATTTACGCGACTCGCCTCTAACTAGTACTGGTAAACAGTCGGGGCGGCAGGCAATTCGGAAGTTTTTAGTTACTCGAAGTTACCGTCGGGTTCCGTCCGATCGGCGGCGGGCGGAAGACGGCTCGGACTCCGGGAGGCGGAGGCTTCAAGGCTTTACATTTGCCGGGAACTTGGCAGTCACTGGCAACTCAGAGAGCCGGCGGGTCCTTGCCGTCGGATGCGGCCGCCCGCGGCCTCCGAGCGGGGGTGGGGCTCCGGGCCGCGTAATCCCGGCGCGGCGGCCGGGGCCCGGGTACCGTCACGGTGTACGGTACGGGCTAGTACGGAGTACTACGATGACTGAGGCTCCGAGCGCGGGAGTCGGGTCTCAGCGCCGTTGCCAATACCGTGGGCCGGCGGGGCCGAACCGTTCGACCGGCCCGGGTCTGTCCGACTGACGGCGGACTCCGGGAGTCACCACTCCGACTCAGTGGTGGGCCGCAGGCCGCAGCCTGAGTGGCAGGCCCCAGGCTCCGACCCGGGGATCATCGGCCGATGGGCCAGTGCCATGCGGCACACGCGCCGCAGCGCCCGGCCCTCAGCCACGGTGTTGCCCTCGTGACCCGGTGCCGTACTACAGACCTCACAACCCCCTCCTTCTCCTGCCGTAGTACCGTACCGCTACCTGTCGACACCTGTGATACCAGTAAAGTCATCGACAGTCATCTCCTTTCATGTTCATGGAACCGTTGCGGTTCTGCCAGCCATCATGTCATGCTAGCTTTATCTCGTCAGCCGCTGGCCCTGTTTTGACCCCGGTTTGCCCCCCGCATCTCATCGCTGTTTTTACCTGCCTTGCTCTGTCGGCGGTTGTCCTCGCCTGTCTCACTTACCATCCCCCTGCCACTCTCTCTCTTCTTCAAGACTACTGCTGCTGCTGGAGCAGAGTTTTGGAGCACCAACCCTCAGATACGCTGGAAAAAGCTTGCAATGTATCTTTCCAGTACCAAACGCATTCTCCCTTCCACGCCCTCAGTAATGAAGCAGTTAGAGGCATTGGAAGCCTCCATCAGGATGATTAAGGAGGGCAAGACTTTGATCGGGGCGACAGGAGACCTTCTGTACTTAAAGAGCGTCGATTCTTGAATGCATGCGGAAATTCTTTGGAAAGTTGTATTAGGCTAAACACAGTGATTTCCTGAACCATGCCGATGGTAGATGATTCAAATTATCATCATGCTGATAGGAGGAAGCCGGACGCTATGTTGAGAAGAAGAAATGAGACCTGTTTGGTAATACCTGTTTCCTTGTACTATACATGTAATTTACAATGAATCTTTCGGTAAAACAACCATATCGTTCGATACAACTTACAGCAACTTCCTGCCACAGTCAGTGGTGCATCTCGTCAGTGGTGCATCTCAAGCAAACGAATAAAGAACGAGGTCTAGTGTGTCCGTCATCGAAAAATCAACTTGAGGTGCATCTATTCAACAGTTGAACATAGAGATGTAACTTTCTCCTCTCGCAATAAATGTGCTTTGGCGTGTCAATCGTTGGGATCATAATCTCGTGTTTCTCACAACACAATTTTGTCAGTGCGATGTTGTTTCGAAACAACGATCAAGCATATCTTGAAGCAAATACACCTGGAGCTGTGAAACTAGAGCCTCAACACGTATCTGCTGCTTTAAACCCCCAAGTCGAGGACTTCCCACACGTTGCATGCATCAGAACTCTCATCACAGCATTGGCGACTGATGACAGTTTGCACGGTCTTTATTTACATCTAATCGTTACCTTCACTTCTCCTATCCCGAAACTTGTATACACACAGCGTGAGCTTGCAGACTTGTGTCTTTCTGTGAGCAACGTCTTCCTTGTCCCCTGCGATCATCGTGTAGCCTCCCTTTTGTGCTTCCTCGCTCCTTCCTCCACCTCTGTGAGTCGCCCTGTGCTCTGGTCCGTATCGCTCGCCCTCGCTCATCCGCCGTCTTGGCGCTGCCTCCTTGCCAGCACACGCAAGCTCTCCCCTCGCTTCCTCCCTGCCTCCATGGGCTCGCTCCCACTCTCGCACGAACGACATGTCGTCCTTGGAGGATGGCAGGGGGTAAAAGGCATACGGCAGCGTGGAAGGGGAGGACACAGGGCAGGGGGAGGGGGAGATTCCGAACATCTGGAGGAAGGTGTGGAGGGGGGTAGGCTCAGGAGGATCGAGCCGCACGTCAGCTACAGGGTCCATCATGGTGGTTGGGCCAGGTTTCCTCACGCGCGTTACTCCTGCAGGTTATAATACGCGCAAGGGGCCTCACCCGAGCCTGCCACGGACCGCTGTTTGAAGATACATCGTTTCAGGTAGAAGTCTTAATTGAGTCCTCGTTTGGTCACGAGGGTGCGTGGACAAGGTAACGTGATAATTCAAGTTGCGGCGTGACGGTGACGGTGAGTGCTGTTCCGAACCATGACACTACAGTGTGACATCTCTGAGCACATGATCGGACTTCAGCTCGGAACGGCCGCGGGCGTGCCACCGGGTGGCCGTTGAAAAAACCCGGGCCCTCAGGCGACTGAGTCCCCGACGGTCACCGTTGAACTCAGTACGGTCCGGGCGGCACGGCCCTGACCAACTTGACGAAAGCGGCCGTCCGATCGAGTTCAAGCCCCAAGTCACTCAAGTTTCACGGTTTCGACACTGCTACTCGCACCACTAAAGAGACTTTGAAAGTTACTCGCCGGGCCGCGCGCCCGCACGGCGGCACCGCCGGGCCGTCCGCACAGCGGCGGGGCCGTCTGCACTGAGCTGAGTCACTCTCGGCTCGGAGGCCCTCCGACCTCAGAGCTCGCCGGGCCCGGGGGCCCTGCGGGCCCCGGCAGCGCGGCCGCCCCGGCCCGGGCCAATAAAAATTTGCGGCGCACGGTTGAAGGAAGAAGTTTACTCAAAGAAGTGGGGTGACGGGTGACTGGGGAAGATGAAGCCATGGCTGATTGCGGGGATGCTGGTGGTAGCGGCTGCCATGTTGGGGACGATGTGGAGCTTGAGAGAGTCAGGGGTGAAGTTCGAGCATGCCATGAGTGAACTTCTCGCGGTGAGGAGAGCACTGCAGACGGAGAAGATAAGAAAGTGGGCCGACATGAGGGGAATGCGATGGGTGGAGGATGCTTCCAAGTTCGTGGAGAACATAGGAGAGCCAGAGTATGGCAGCGGATCGAGCGAGGATGTTTGTGATCTGAACAAAGACATTTCGTCTCCCGAACGAGCAAGAAAATGGAGAAACTTTTGGTCTGCAAAGTATGGCACAGCACACAACACGTTCATAGATTGGTCTGGCACCTTGAAGACAAAAGTTCCGGAACCCAAGTGGGTAACGACGCTTCGAAGAACACAGGATAAGATATGCAGGTGGAGAAAGCTGTAGTTGTCTTTCTTCAACAGTTGAGAACCTGTGACTGTGGGCTTGTATACACAGGAATCCATTTGTCATGCACAAACCGGCGTGCAAGGAGTGGTGAGGAGATCGATTGTGAGCTTGTTTTGGAGGTCTCAGAGGATTGATCAGGTGGAACACAAGATGTGGTGTACCGACACCGTGAGTTTCTTTGGCTCCTCCTCTCCTCGAGCACACGGTGAATTTCTTTCAGATGCGACACAGCGAGTGAGAGCATGTCGGGGCTTCCTTCGCAGGCAAGTCAATCTTGCTTGGTAGATGATTGTCTGGACTGACGATGATTCGTTCTTGCCCTTGCCCTTGTTGTTCAACAGGGATTCTTTCATGAAATTGGTATCTAGGGAATGATTGTGTTTTCTTTCTCTTTCACCTCACACTCGTGTGGTTTTTCTCCCCCACCCCCCTTAAATCAGATCATAGCTTTCTTGTACCCTACACTGATGAACATGCAGTTAAAAGACTTTTCCCTTGACTTCTCCTCCTCCTCCTCCTCCTCCTCCTCCTCCCTCTCCCTCCTTGTAATCGTCTTTGTCGTCACCATCTTCACTTCATCATCTGTTCGACAGAAGATGGTCCGCAGCAAGCTCCACGTTGTTGTCATACCTTAACCATATCCGGGTCATATGACTGGTCTGCTCTCACCTCAACAGAATTTCTCACCTCAATAGAGCCTGTTCTGCATCCCTCCGATCGAAACCAAGTGCCTTCATTCACACCACCGTCATCTCAGACCAGAAAAACATTCATCTCAATATCAAGCACCATTCATAACATTCTCCTCAATATCAAACACCATTCATAACATTCATCTCACATCCAACACCAATCGTAACATTCATCTTATAGCAGACACAATCATCGTAACATTCATCTCGTATCAAACAAGACATTCATGCAATCTCACCATCAAAGTCTCCATAGCTTGAGAATCCACTCGGTTGCCCTCTGATAGCACAGACCTGTCAAACCGGCTCTTCCCTCCCTCCACACCTTCAGAGCTCACCATTCACCGGAGCTTCTTCGATCTCGTCCAGCCCGCCATGCTGCATGCTCGGAGGGGCCCACCGGTCTCTTGTCCCCTGCTCCATCCCCTCAGAACAAATTCCGCGCTCCCCCCTCCTCCACTTCCTCACCGCAGATCGATCGAGCGGCTCCTCCTCCGCATCCTGCCTATGTTCATGTCGAGGGAGGTCCAGGGGGCTCGCCATGCTGCCAAGTCTCAACTGCATGCTTGTGGAAGGAGAGAATTTCACCTCCTCTGCTGCAACTGCCTTTGCCTTCTCTCCCTCCAGGACCCTGCCCCTCCCACTTGCGGATGACTAGCGACTGGATTGCGCTGGGAGCGAAGAGGATCAGAGAGCATAGGAGGGGATGAGGAGGAGTAGAGGGAACCAGAGGCTCCAAGAGTGGGAGGAAGACCACTCTCACATATCTGATGATTACTGGATGAGTCCTGCGAGATCTCTTAGCTAAATCAAGCAAGGTGAGAGTGAGGCAAAAATGGCGAGACAGGGAGACTGGAGGCTGAGAAAGAGATGGAGAGGAGGGAGAGTTGAAAGAAAGGACAGGGATTGTGGTATGACAAAGGAGATGGTGAACAAACCTCCATCTTCGTAGGCCAAACTCCTCTCTGCTGTACAACCATCCTGCTATCTGTGACAAGGTCATTCCTCATCCCTTCTCTGCCCTCCTTCTCGCTCACAATCCCTGTCACTGACGCTGCCAACGTTCCAGGGACGCGGAAAAGCTGACAATGCACTAGTCACCAAGGATAGAGAGCGGGAGGGAGGGAGGGAGGGAGGAGAGGAGAGAACGGGAGCGACGGGAGTGAGGGGCAACAGGAGCGATTAGGAGGAAATCAACCAGTAGATGCAGGGCCACTAGGTATGTGAGTGATTTGTCCGACAACCGAAACCCCATGATCTGCAACCAGGTCAGAGGATGATGGGGGGGAGCAGAGTTTACATCAAAGCTTGTCACTGATGGGATCTCATGGTAAAATTGGACCAAAGTTGCAAACTGGGCACGGGAAACTTCATGTCAGACGTTGAAAACATTCCAGTTGTTCTGCCATGCAATCGTTACGCCTTCAGGTTCTTACCAGAATCCCGTATGGTCCGCAAGCAACTTCCTGCAAAGAATCTTTTTACTTGTACATCAAAGTGCAAAATGAGAGGAAACCTGCAGGAAACCATCTCTTCCCAATACAACCAAGGCGATAGAGAGGAGGCTACTTATCTTGATCGATAGTGACAACACAAATCAAAGGATACAAAGATCACCGTTGTTGTGATCATCAAGAATGCACCGTACTGATCGGAACAGCTCATGAGCTGGCAGAAGAGCATGTTTCGACGAGCAGTTACCTTGCTCGCCCCCCAATGTCTCTCAAACTGCCGGAAGCGATAGAACAGAAAGATCCCGCACAAGGATTGCCACCTGAAGATTCTCAGGCACGCAACTTGACAAGTGGGAGCTCACCATGAAGGAAAGTATAACACAAACGACATCAAGTTGATCAACACTGCCAAACAGAATGTTCAGCCAAGTGTGAAGAAACCAAAAGGCTGGGATGAGCAGGAGCAGGAGCAGAAGCAAAGAAAATAAGCAGGGACAGGGAAGCAGCAGGAGTGCAAAGCACAAACACAACAAAATTACTTCTTCCGATTCCCAACTTCCACACGTCAATCGACAATCCTGTGTCAGCCCCTGGCCACTGGTCACCAACGTTCCCTGACGTCAACCCTCAACCCACCACTGAGAGCCACGTAGATCATCGACATGGCACAGTAGCCGACGAGTCCCTTGGTAACTGGGGCGTTGCTGAACCCTGGGATGGGAAGGGAGGAGATCAGAGGTGGAGACTAGCAGGAGGAGGGAAAGTGAACCTGAGGGGCTCGGAGGCTGGAGGCGGAGGCTTCTTCGGAAGACAAGGTAGAGGAGGGGAAGTACAAACATGAAGTTGATGACGTCAGCAGCGATGGTCATCGGCGATGATCTCCGTCTCGGGTCGTCGAAATGCAGGAGGGAGTCAATGCCACCGCTGGTTGAGCGGGAAGACGTGCGATTGAGGCCATGGCTGTTCAGGGAGGAGTTTGTGTGCCTTGCGTACCACAACTTGTTCCGCAGACTCTTTGTGTTCTGTGCCGGCTTGTCTGTTGAGAGTCAAGACGCTATGAGAGACAGCAGAGATAGATCTGTCATGATACCGAGATCCCATACGATTTCCGATTGCTCTCTGACGCTTTTCTGCACTGTCAAGCCGTCAACCTTGGAAGCAAGTGTAAGAAGTCTTTGTCATACCAGCATCTTGTCTCGCAGAGACATCAGCCATGTCACCCGAGGTCTTGAATCAACCGAGAAGCTTACAATCGCCCCTGAGGAAAGAAACAATCACGTCATTCTCGTTTGCGAGCTCATCGTCCCCCTGAATAACCAGACAAGAAGGACAGAGATAAGTAAAGGAGACCACCAGAAACCATGAAGGGGTGCAGGAAGGAGCATGTGGCTGGACAAATGAAGAGATGATGTTAGGGTGGCGTTGGAGGAGAGGAGAGGAGAGGAGAGGAGAGGAGAGGAGTGGAGTGGAGTGGAGTGGAGAGGATTAGGAGGGGAGGGGCGGCTAGGAGAAACATGGAGAGATGGCCAGCAGGGAGAGCAGAGGGTGGAGGAGGAGTGAGAAGGGAGAGGATAGGAGGAAGGAGAGAGGAGGGAGAGGGGCAGGTCACGTCATATGTGAGGAGGGGACGAAGACCAGGTGCGTTGTGCTCGCCATGTCATGGATTTCCTTCTTCGTCCTTTTTTTCTTTGGTCTCTTTGTTTCTTTTACACGGTTTGTGCTATGGTGCGGTACGGGAATGGATTCAGCAAGTTCATGCGGGTGCGAAGGTAAGGGGTGGGGAGGGGAAGGGAGCTGAAGTTTGAAGAGAGAGATGGAGAGGAATTGCAGGAGATAGATCAGGACAAACAAGTTTTGAACAAGAAGGAGGTACATTGAGGAGGGAGGATGATTAGGCGACGGGGAGAGGGAGGGGAGAGGAGGAGATTTAGAGGAGCTGTCGAGTTCTTCACATGTTTACTTGAGCATGATGGAAAGAATCATGGAAAGTTGATCTGAGCAATGCTTGAGAGAAGTTTTAAGACGTTGGGTGGAATTGAGCGGAGCAACTAATCGAAGCCGTTGTGTTGGTCTAATTCTGATACACTTCCTGGTTCGCTCTGGGATTCATCAGGAGTGTGCTCCAGGCTCTGCAGGTGTTGTTAAGGGTGTGTGATCGTTCATGGATGAGTTGTTATGTCACAGGGATCATTCCTCCACATCGCATTCGGTGACGAGGAGGTCTCGAAACCCAAGGCATGCGTCTTGCTTCTGTGACGTGGAAGCAGGAGTCTGTCAGATGGACGTTTCTCGATCCCATGCTGCAGCAGATTCAGTGGTACGTGGATCGACTATGAGGGTTGACGAGGACGTTGATGATGGCGCCAGGACGTCGACAGAGCAGCATGACGCAGGGTCCCACAGGAATGGTAACAAGAACCACCCGTCGACGATGCCAGAAGCAGGTTGTCTTCAAGTTTCCGACATCCTCGACGTCTCCACTCTGCACAACGTGGACATGGCTTTCGAGGTGTACATGAACGACGGCCGCTCGCATGTCATGAGGGTGAGGCGCGACGGATGCGACTGGGGGGGGGGGGGGTAATCCCTGAGATCTGGACAGGCACAAACGTGGAAGGACTTCGAGACATGGTTCCAGGTACGCACATGAAGTCACGCTTAGCTGCTGGCCTGCCTTGAACCTTTCAAACACAAGGCGCTGAGCTTCCTCTCGAGCGCGGAGTCGATGAATGAGGACAACACAGGTTGACTATCCGCACCCGATGGGGTCGTGCTGATGGCGCTACAGCGGCACAGGAGACTCGCAGTTTCAACCAGGCGAGTGGGCTGAACGCAGAGGCCAACAAGAAAATCTCAGCAGGGAAGTTGGGAGGGAGTGCAAGGAAGGCCGTCGACGACGTCACTGCGGGCAAGTCATGGGACGATCAGGACATGTTAGAGATATCGGGTCGAAGAGCTCCGATCGATCAGTTCTCGGACTTGTCTTCGGAGAGAGGCAGCGACAGGGGAGAGGACCCTATGGACGTGAGCGCATCCTTGGAAAGAGCTCGCGTACTGACCTGTAACAGAAGCCAAAGTCGTCGAAGTCTACCGCTATGGACCTCAAGTTTCTCAAGTTCGATGACGAAGACGGAGATGACGAGGAAAGGGCTGGCTCGCAACAGGACAGACGCCTTGAGGAGGAGAAGAACACGCCAAGGTAAGGATTCCTTGACCTTCCTCTTCAGCTGCGTTAACTCTGCTTCCAGCGAACTGCCAGATGAAATTTACCTGAAGGAGTTGAGGAAGGTGCATGCATACCAGGTGGATAGCGATGAGGCTGCTCCTCCTTCATCATCGCGTGATCGCAGGCGGACAAGAGAGCAGAGCTGGAATCTCTGATGTCTCAGTTGCGCAGGAACAGGTGAGGAGGATGTCGCCAGCCAGCAACGTGACGGTCTGACGGGCATGAGACTCGCAGGGAGCGCAACAAGGCACTTCGTCGACGTCTGGAGCTTCAGAATGCAGAGAGCAATCAAAGGAGGATCAATGACGACATGAGTGATGCTCCATAAGCGCTTGAAGCTTGCCCCTGACGCTCCTTTCAAGCAGATTCCGTCAGCGAGACTGTCTCGGTTGCGTCTTCGACAGCAAGTATGTTCTCCCTCGCTCCTGCCTCACTCTCTTCCCTTGCTCAAGCATGCGCATAGGCAGCGTCAACGTGAAGATTGAAGAGGTCAGGAAACAGCTCAAGGTACTACAAGAACATCAAGTTTGTGTGTTGGTGGTAGTGGGGTATGGAAAGCGGTGCAGAATCTGCGGAGGGCGAGGAGTCGAGGAGGAGAGACGAGGAGGAGAGACGAGGAGGAGGAGGAGGAGGAACTGACTAGTTTGTGGCAGAGGAGCGAAGCCATGAACCTCGAGCTGTGGCGAGAGATCGACAGAATGAGCATGGCGCTGCGTTGAGGTTCAGGGTTGTTGAGTAAACCTTTCTATTGAGCAGAAGGGCAGCAAAGTAAAACTACCAGCCATCCTGGTTCTTCTTACCAATGCCCCCATGTTTCGCACATGCGGCCACATGACAGTGCGGCAAGTGGGCGAGATGCAGGGAGGAGAGCGTGTGCGAGTTTGTAGTGTGTCCAACATGTCTCCCCTGTGTGTGAGGGGATCAAACGGGCCCCAAGATGCGAGCAGTGAGTTAGTGCAATATGTCTGCAATGATCAAAACGAGCCTTTGATGTTGTCTTTATTGAGATGGTTCGCAGGTTGAACCCACTTGTTGTTGCTACTTGTCGTCAAGGATGAAGTTGTATGATCGCACATCGCCTTCGTTGTAGAACTTCAGTCCGTGGCTACTTGTTGTTGTTGATCTTCGTACTCTCCTCGGCGTCCGGCGGTCATTGCAGCAAGATGAAAGCTCAAACGAAGCCGCAAAAGTCAGTGGCAGCAAAACAGCAGAACTCGATGAGCGAGCTGGACAGATACTTTGTGAATGTGTATGGGAGCAAGAGATGGTCCGAGCTGAGAGAAGCGCTGGAAAAGCCTACCGAGCATGTAGCCTGGATCAACCCCTTCTGCGATTTTCAAGAGCAGACAGCTAGCCGTCTTCTCGGAGAAGAGAAAATCTTCGATGCTTCAGTGTGGAAGCTGGTCAGGTACAGCGACAAATTTTCTTTCATGGTGCAGCGAGACGATGTTCCATCCGATATCAAGGTGAACATGCCTCCTCCTGCGCCCATCGGCTTGCGGCAGCTGCACAGCCACTACGTCCTCGACGGCGCCTCGCCGCTCCCCGCCATTTCCCTGCGGGCGGCTCCAGGGAGTCGAGTCCTGGACATCTGTGCAGCTCCAGGAGGAAAGTCTCTTGTGATTGCAGGAGGGCTCTTCGATGTTGAGACGTCAGGGGCTAAGAGTATGCTGACGTCCAACGATCGCTCGCAACCTCGTCGAGACCGTCTGTTGCAAGTGATGCGGGAGTACATTCCTGCCGAGCTGTTGAAGAACGCAGCAAGTAAGGACTCGGGCTCTTATCAGAGGAAGTTTCAGGGCATTCTCTCTGTCACTGGTGTTGACGCCACGTTGTGGGGCCGAAGTCCAGCAACGTGTGGATGCTTTGACCGCATTCTCGTCGATGCTCCCTGCAGCAGCGAACGGCATATTGTGCATGGCTCCAGTGGCAGCTCCTGGACACATTCTAGATTGAAACGGGACGCAAAGCTGCAGGGACAAATACTGCAATCCGCGATCAGAGTTCTGAACCCTAACGGTGGGATGCATGGTTGTTGCAGTAGAGACAGTAGTAACGGTTTCCTCGCAGGTGGTCGACTGGTCTACAGCACGTGCTCCATCGCTCCAGAGGAAAACGACGAGGTGATCTCGAAGATCATCAATAATTCTCGATTGGCCAAGGGGCTGAAAATTCTGGATCCTCTGGTTGAACTACAACACGAGGCCCTTGGCGGTCTGTTACAAGGTGTGGAAAGAACCAAGTACGGTGCTATTATGCTGCCGGACAAGAGCAAATATGGGCCGTTGTACTGGTGCGTCATGGAGAAAACCATCAGCGGCGCTGCCGGCACAGCATGGCTAGAATCTGAGTCAGATTCAGATTCCGAGAACCAGTCAGGCGAGTCTTCCGAGGGTCAGGAAGAAACCTGATTGAGGTACACCGATTAAACTTTTCGACTCAGCGCCATCTTTTCTCCTCTTGTCAAGATCTGTACACCCCTCGGAATAATTTTCTCGTGCCTTGGCATTGGGACGTGCCGGCGCACATTTACTTCTGTCATTCGGCTAATCCCGATCGATTATGAAAATCTACATTGATCTCGACTTACACTGCAGGTCAGTCATAATGAGATTAGAAAGCTCCGCTGTAGCTCGATCCCCCGGCCGACTGTTCGGTGTACACGACCTTCCTGCCCGTTCCCATGTGTCCCATCCAGCCGGACTGGTCGTTGTCGAACCATCCATCGAAGTTCTGTGTGGCTAACAAGACGACAAGTGAGTAGAGGGAAACTTGCCGAATCTGCAGAACAGCACACAGCGCGAGATTCACCAGCCAGCGCAAAAGAGTACATGGCTTTCAAGACAAATGCCCCCCCATCATCGGAACAACATTCAAGAATCATCCGAATTCAAGTCAAACATTGCGGTTACTTACCCGAAGAGTACCACGGGTCAGTCTTGCAATAACTGAACTGAGTGCAAGTGCCGGAAATCAAGTCATCAGAGATTGGCCAGTCGTACTCTAAGAGACAATGAGTCAGTATTCTTGCCCGGTATCAACTTGCAATTGAATCCCCTTCCGATTGCATGGCCGCGGCAGCAGCACTATCGAACATTAAACACTGAGTGTCTGAACTGCTAGCCTAAGTGCCTCAAACTTCACTGTGACGGTTTTGGATCTGCATCTTCACAAACATGTCGGCCCACTAGCGACTAGTGACTTGACTACAGTGACATAGCCTACTACCAAGTCTGAAAGTTTAACTAGTAACGCAACAATCATACCGAGATGAACTGAGCAACATCATGGCACTGACAACTCAGTGTGACCGTTCCGAAGTTCCAGGTTCGGAACCGTCCGTACTACCGTTCATCGTATGGACTAGCGTACTAGCCTATCTCGTGACTACTGATGCCAATGGCAGCTGTCACTTACTGTATTCCTCCTCCGGGACGAGGGAAGTCATCTGGCGCGCAAGAGCGAACATGTTGGTCGCAGGTGCCGGAAATAGTGTTGACCTATCGGTTTTATTCCGTTACAGCTCAGTCTGGAAATGGCCCTCTGACCAGCCGAGTTGCGCGGCGCGGCGCCCGCACCGTACGGTCCCGGACCGGCCGGGCCGATCGCCGGGTTCCGTTACGCTCGTTACACTTTTGCCCGACAGATCGCCAATGCAAGCATGCTACTGCCTCCTCCTCGCCTTCTGTGTCCTCGTCCTGCCCCTGTTGGCTCAACCCGATGATGCTGGGACACGAGTGGGTCTGCTGGTGCAGGGACCTACATCCAAGGGCTTGTTCAGGGATGCTGAGTGCCTCATGTGGGCCCTGAGCCGAGACCCTGTCCGCATGCATGGAATAACGCCCAGGGTTGTATCTGTCTTCTTCACTCCAAGCTATGCACTGTTGGACAAGGTATGCTCATGGCTGCTGGTGTATGGTTATTGATGTGATTACCAAGGCAATTGAATTGGGTGCGAGCTGCATAGGGGAGCAGGGAGGGAGGAGGTTCTGCACTACACCTGAACCACTGCATAAGGATGACTCAAGCATCTTTGCGAATCATCTCTTCTACGATGGCAAGGACTTCCGAGATTGGATACAGACAATAGATGTCCTAGTCATCTTTGAGTCTTTGCTGATGAATGTCTTGAAGATAGCTCACCAATCCGGGGTCAAACGCAAAATTCTTGTGCTCAATATTGATTGGACAGATGGCAACAAGGTGAACCGCAAGAGTGTAGTTTTACAAGATTAGATGTCGTCTCATGTATGAGGTCTCCATCTTGATGGCTGACTGCCATGTTTCAGATTTTGGAAGCCGCTTCTGCCATCCCAGGGCTCCGTTTCTGGGTCAAGGGAAGGGTGACTTTAGAAAATATCAAGACCATTACGACGAAGCAGAGGGCCAAGCATGTCAAGATAGACCTTGTCCCATGGTCCATCCCAGATCCTGTTATTCGCAGCAGAAAAGCGCCTGGAAAAGTTGTCCGTTTGATTTTTATTGCGGGCTATGGGGGGATCTACAACAGAAGGGGTGGGGATATTGTGCTGAAGGCGTATTATGAAGCATACCAGCAACTCAAAGGAAAGATCAGACTTTCGTATTACACTGCTCGCAATCCACAGGACTATGACATTGCAGTGGATAAGAAGTGGATGGAGCAACCGAACTTGGAGATGCATGTTGGAACTCACCGCCGGGAAACGCTATGGAAGGCAATGAGCAAGGAGGTTGAGTTGTGCATGACGTTCTTTTTGAAGGCTCTGCTTGCTTCCGACGTGGTCCTGTATCCTTCTCGCTGGGAAGGACTAGGTCTCTCCCTCCTCGAAGCTTTGCATGCCGGTGACGACAGCAGCCAATCTGCGGGGGCAGGGGCTGATAGTTGATGTCAGGAGTACCCGCGATAGTTACTGACGGATGGCCCATGAACGAGCTGGTGCAGCATGATCATAACGGAATCTTGGTGCCTGCAAAGCAAACAGGTAATGCATAATTCTTCTGTGATGTGTCTCTCTGAAAGTAAGGTTCTTCGTTCCTCCCCAGGTTGGTTTCACATGGCTCCCAAGTGGGAGGTAGACCCTTCCTCCTTAGCCAAAGCTATCATCCGCATTGCCAGCAACAGGAAACTGCTACGTCGTCTTACCTGCCCCTCTCCGGGTGAATTGCTGGCGAGGCAACACCACTTCATCATGACAGCAAGACAAGTCATTCTCAGCGAGCCCCAGCCAAGGATTGCTTCGTTTACAGCAGGTCCACATCCGGAGTATCTTCGAGCTGAGTACTTCCGGTCTGATGCGTTCAGAAAGTTTGGGTATAAAGTTGTCGAGTATTCGTACGGAGATGATCTCAGAAATCTTTCTGGAAAGGTTTGACTTGCTGCATTCCTTGTGGTTTTTTTTTTGACTGTGTGACTCTGATCAGAACTTCGACTTCGCGCTGGTTGCTAAGGCACCTCACGTGCAGTGGGTCTCGTACCTCAAGTCAGTGATCAAGGCACCTGTCTTCATGTGGTTTTGGGATCCCATCGACTATGGAACGGTGAGCCTGCCTCGATCCATCTGGAGGGCTGAGACTTGTTCCGCTCAGGAGAGGAGGATGTGGTTTGAACAAGTAGCTCCCATGTTTCGCTCGGTCATCCTGAACGAGAAGGGGAGGGAGGGCATGTGGGCAGCGAGGGGCCTAGACGTTCATTACGTGGAGGAAGGGATCATGCTTCAGGGTGACCGAGGAGCGGGTCGACGACCGACCTTCGACGCACATGGCAAGTATGACTTCGATGTCAGCTTTCAAGGTGACCAACTCGGTCAGGTCTGACCCATCTGACCAGACTTGTCAGGGACTGTCTACCCATACCCTCCTGATATCCCACGAGTTAGCGTCTTGCTGAGTCTCAACAGATCGCAAGACTTGGAGCTAGCAATCTTCGGGCCCGAGGAAATGTGGCAGTCGCTCAACCTGAGCAGCAGAGGGAGATCGTACGGAGCTCAGTCTCGAGCCATTCACAGAAACTCCAAGATTTCACTCTCCCTTTCCCGCCTCCAGAGAGGTGTGTCTCCTTTCCCTTTCCCTCTTACTCCTGAGGCCCCTGACCTCCGTTAGATGTCGAGCTGTACCGCTCCGAGCGATTCATGGATGGCGCCGCATCGGGGGCTTGCGTGCTTTCAGAGAACTTTCCTGGAGTTGACATCGTCCTCCCTCGTGAATCTGTTCTGATAGCAAACAGCCAACGAGATTATCTGGAGGTCGCTTCCAAGGTTGTTGCGGATCCCGGCGTTTGCAGGCAACAACGACTGCTGGCAGAGGCGAGTGCGTGGGGGTTCCATACGTGGGATGACAGCGTGGGGAAGTTCTTGTCACTGATAACTAGCCGTCTCGATCAGTCCAAGGTGCGTCATTGCAGTAGGACAGTCGGAGAAGACTGTTGCAGCAGCGAGCACTACAACTTGAATCTAGGGACGTCGTTGATGGGATGGGGGGATAGCCAGAGCAGGACATTTGTCACCAGCACAATCGTTGAAGGGGGGGTGTACTTCTGGGCAGCGATATCTGACTGCCCTTCAAGCATTCTTGCATGGGAAAACATCGCCATCTCGTTCTTGGTACCTTTTGTTGGCTGCTGAGCTCAACGCTTATCCCTCTTGGCAGGCGCAGAGGCAGGTCTCACTGGCTGTGCGCAGCGAGAGGACTGCCATGAGAATCAGGGGCAAGGTCGTGGCGGCTCCTCCTCGGAATCACGGAGCAAGAGCCTTGAGCTTGTTCCAAGACTCCTTCGGGCACAGTGAGGAGTTGGTAGCCTGCGAAGTCGACAGAGCTGGACGTTGGTGCAGAGACATCAGCATGATCAGCTTCAACTATTACCTCCGGTTACGAAGCCCTGAATGAACTCCTGACCGTGCCATCAGTGGTGGTGTCACAGTGACGCGGCGGTTACCAGTGACCGTCCGAGGCCGCCCGGCCGCCGCTGGCCCTCAGGACTCGCCACAGGCTTTCGAGTCAAGCTACTGTGACTGCAGTACAGCCACGCGCGCGGCCCGGACTGTCACCGGACTGTGAATTCGCCTCGGAACTCAAGCGGGCCTCGGCCCGGGGCGGCCACGGTCCTCGGACCGTGACTCGGGCCGGGCGCGGCGGCCGCGGAGTCAGTCACGCCGCGGCCCGGGGCCCGGGGCTACCGTACGGCCCGCCCGGCCGGGCCGCCGCTGGCCCTCAGGACACAGGCTTCCGAGTCAAGCTACTGTGACTGCAGTACAGCCACGCGTGACGGTGTGGGCCACAGTGAAGCGCCGCGGGCGGCGGACAGGCTGTGACCGTGGCTGTGAATTCGCCTCGGGACTCAGCCGCCGGGGCCTCGGGGCGCGGCCAGTCCTCGGACGCCCCCGGGGCCCTCAGCCCTTGAGTGACTGGCTTACTACTGGCTAGTCCGAATTGCAACAAATCAAACGATTGGAGCCGTTTACAGTTTGATGAGTAAAAAAGTTGGAAGCAAAGTTTCACTTAAGTTGAGGTCGCTGTGAGGTGCAGTAATAAAACTACTAGGCTACCCCTTCGGACCCCCACCGGTCGGGTGCTGAATATGTCCAACCCCTAAGTCCGCCGAGAGCTTCGAGCCCCCGGGCTACAGCTAATCATGACTAGCAGCTTGAGGGGAATCCGTCACGCTGAGAGGGGTGGATAACGGTAAGGCTGCTGGCCCTGCTAGTTCAGCTAAAAACGGACTCAGACTGGCCTACCGTAAGACTTATGAACACCGGTAGTACCGGCCACCCCTCCCCCCAACCACTGTAACGCAATTATCGGCGGGGTGGTACCCCACCGTCATGGAGGCTGCGGAATTTGAGTGAAAGTTCCGGCAGGCTACCCCCCACCCCCACCGTCACGTCTCCATCAGGTCGAGCTGACTATATAAAAGGGGGTCACAGTCGCAGCCCGAGCGGGGTACATGGACCGTGACCCTACCCCGCTTGAAGTTCACTTTGAGTCCCTGAAAGTGGGTACCCCACCCCACCTCCACAACTACCAAGATAATAATTACCCAACTTCTCAACGGTAGCATTATTAGAGTACCCACCCGTCTTCTTCAGCAATGATTGGTGCCCGCACCGTGCCATTGACACGAGCACCCAGTACCACCCCTAGTCCCCCGGGTCTAGACGCAACCACCTACCCCACCAGGGTCAAATGGCTGACCCTACCCTTCTACACAAAATATCGGCATTCTAGGAGCCACTTGGGCAAACCTTGACCCCTTCATTATCTATCGTGGGACTACCCCCTTGTCTCCTTACCCCTACCCCTCATTCTCAATTGAGGGTCTCATACCCCAGGACCCCAACCCCTAACCTGATTTGTGGGAGGCTGTGCGACTCTGGGTGCATGCAGAAGGGGCGTGATGGTAGAAAGAAGGACAAGAGGAGAAAAAGAGATCAGAAGAGGAGAGCAGATGGTTTGACTGGAATTAGCGTTCGTATGCATGCTGCAAGGTAGTTGCCGCTGGCAGAACGAAACGGAGGGAACAAGTTCATAGCAAGATGGGAGCTTTTGCTGTGGGATAGATAGAATCTCTACGATCATACACGGCTCGTTCGATGCTCAACAATAATTCTAGACAATTAAGCCAAAGTCTGAAGTATGTATGTGAAATAACCCTGCATGAAAGATCGTACAAGACATAAAACTCAACTCGGAACTTTTGTTCCATTAGTTTTTGTGTTCAACGTTAGAGTGTTTCTTGGCGTTTGTCCTAACTTCTGATTTCAAACACAGCAACTGTAGAGCTGACATGAATAGAAAAAAACACGTACAAACTGCTTTCTTGTTTTCTTGTCTCAGATTTGGATTTCCTTTCGTTCAGATATTGATAATCCAAAAAACATTTACGAACTGATTCATATTTTCTTCAGTCTCATTCGCATGATCTGCAATCCTCAGTGCTGATTTGCTGCGAGAGGTAATAACAGTTTCTGCTTGATTCGTGAACTAATGGGTGTATTGCAGATATTGATACCTGAACGTTGAGTCTTCAACATGAACTCTCCTCATTTGAACTCTCCTCATTTGAACTCCCCTCTTCTGAACTCCCCTCTTTCTGGAGAGCATGCAAGCCAGGTTTGCTAAAGTCTGTGAACGGATAGTCATGACGATTGCTTAGCAATACGCGTGGATGCAATCTCCGAACATGGTTGCAAATTCGCATGCGTATGTGGGGGCGTATCAAGTGAGGCAGTGTTGTGCGGCTCCTTGAGATTGATTGTGACATGAAGGTGCGGGAGAACGCTCCATACTTGAGCCCAGCCCATTCACTTCGAAGCAAAGCTCCCGTTGCAAATGCTGCCATGACATCGCCGTCAAAGCCGGGAACGCTTCAACCTGTGGTCACGGCGAGACAGTATCTGGAGCAGGTAATCACCATCGTTGTGTGTCCTGCACCACCTGAATCTCTCTAGTTGCAATCACCTAGCTCAGGAGGTGTTTCATCCAGCCATCAGAGCCATAGTTATGCCGTAGAAAAGAAGACGGTATGTTTCCTTCTTTTCTCTTTCATTCAGGTGACTGGTTTGAAGGCTGCGACGGACGAAGATGAACACGGCCATTTTAAAGTCATCATCGGTTCGTTGATTGACCAATGTGATGGATTTCCAAGCGGCCGGTGAGAATGTGTTGCTTCGGGGTGACTCTCACAGCAATGTGTGGGGTGTAGATACCGGATAATCAAGCTGCTCGGCTCGGGAACTTATGGCAAAGTTGTCAAGTGCGAGGACAAGAAGTACAACGCGAGCGTTGCAGTTAAATTGGTGCGCCGAGAGCCTCACCTCTATCGAGTTTCTGCCAAGAATGAGATTTCGATCCTTCGGTACAACAAAGTCTCTGTGCGCATTTCCTGAATCCTTCTTGAAGCGACCTCGATGGTCGATTCGGCACTCTCAAGTTGCTGAGGAGCTTCGAACATCACGGTCATATTTGCATGTCGTTCGAGCTGCTGGGAGACCATTTGAGTGAGGTACTGGCAGCATTCAAACGTCTCTTCCGAAATGTGTAATCTCCTTGAAAGGTGATCAAAACCAAAGGGCCATTCAAGATCGAACAAGTCAGGGACATTGCATTTCAATTGGCCCAAGCTGTATCATACGTCCATAGCAAGAAGATCATTCACACAGATTTGAAGGTATTCGTTCAACGGTCGAGGTAGAGTGATGTGACAAATTATTACAGGCGGAAAACATTCTTCTCATGAGCAATCCATCGGGTGCAGTGTGTGTGAAAGTTGCAGATTTCGGGTCTGCCATTTACAGCTCTGCATGGCATCCTCCATTGGTGGGAACCATGCACTACAGGTGCTCTGAGTGCATCAAATGCTCGGTATCTTGTGACATGTCTGTCAGGGCTCCAGAGGCTGTGCTTCAGGCTGGTTGGTCCTATCCACTCGATGTCTGGGCGATTGGATGCTTGATATGCGAGATATACACCGGGAAGGTATGAAGCCTCTGCCTCTATCGGAATTTTTCCTTACACTGCTTCTTTCTTTCTTGTAGTACTTGTTCGAGCTGGCTCATGATGATGTTCATCTATGGATGATGGATAGACTGCTTGGTCCTTGCCCTCAGGAGCTGCTCAAACAGGGATACCAAAATCGGAATCAGTACAATGCCTCGTTGCTTCAGGCAAGAGATGACAGAAACTGAGCGATACCTTGATAGTGATGTAAATTGCAACAGCGAGGGGGAAATGGTAATGTGCAGTTGGCTCCTTGTCGCAAGGAAGGACAGGAGATGGTGCGAAGCATGCAACCTCTTCGAGAGATGATACACGATCATGTTCTACTTGACCTGCTTCAACGGATGTTTCATTACAACCCCAAGAGCAGGATGACTGCAGAAAAGGTTACAAGGATGAACCTTGCCAGTCGCGAGGAGTGTGACAAAGAGTTGCCCAGGCTTTGATGCATCCATTCTTTGATCTGGAAGACGATGAGGATGTTCCTGAAATAAGGTACAGTCACTCGTTGCAGCTGAACTTTGCTGATAGCTTGCTTTTGACAGCTCAATCAAGCTTGATGGTAGGAGCAACGGCATTCTTTCTTCCTTTGATCTCGACTTTTTCAGACGAGGACCTTGAAGACGAGAGACATTCGGTGCTGAAACAGGCAGTATCATCTCAGGAGCTCAGGTGATCGAAACGCAACGTCTTCTTTCCCCGGTCTCAGGCCGAGCATGGCAGGGCGAAATTGGACGGGCCCTTGGGTAAGTATCACATCGCTGACGGAAACAAGGAAGGAGTGACATGGAGAGCGATCACTCCGTCTGAATCTTCGGTCGCCAGCACAGGTGCGTTGAATCATGGCATTGGAGGCTCGTGACCTGTTGTAGTGGTTGTTCCCAAGCTAAGATCTGCAGGGTCATCTCAGGACCAGTACAGTGAGAGGTGAGGCAGTGTTATATGCTGCGAGCTCAGTGACATGCGGTGCAGCGAAACTCTGGATGAGGGAAGCATCACTTCTCAGGAGCAGCTCAACGACGACCTGAATCAGTAAATCCGCTGTTGCTCCATGAGGGTGGACACTTTGTACTCTAACTGGACTCCTTATGGTTTGTCTTTTATCAAGCACATGTTAACTCCGTCTGGTTTGTGTTTTATCAAGCACATGTTAACAGGCTTATCCCATCGTGTCATTCTTCATCTTTCATTCCTCCCAGAGTCGCTCAGTGACCTCCGAATCTCTGATACTCGGATGATTTCCTGCCAATCATTTGTCCCACCTAGGAATAACTCAGAATCTAAGGAAGGAGGTTTATGCCGCTTCTCACCTTGTTCTTGACCAGTATCAACATGTTGTAAAGGCCAGACAAAACCTGCGACTTCATCAAACTTACACGCGTTCACTCCGAGCTCCACCTCCTTCCAGAAGTTGAGGTTTGGCATGGACTCGATGCCAATTTGTGTCCCTGCAGCTGGATCAGACTCTGACAAGCAACCATGCCAATCACCTCTGTACTTGACATTGTACGCACATCCCGCAACAGTGTATACGGTGAACAGGATCAAAAACACCTGAACCAAACAGCATCAGTGCTGGTAGTGTAGCATACTCTGCATCTGTCCTTGTCACATGCTCCATTTCCTCCACCTCCACTTGCTCCGTCTGACCGCGTACTCCCATGCTCCTCCATCTTACCGTGAACCAGGAGGAAGTGAAGCTGCCGGACGAGACGGGGCAGCCATACCTGACGACAAGGGTAAGGAGCGGCAGAGGAGGGGTCACGATTGTACTTGGATGGCCAAGTGATGCTGAAGTGGCAGTCCTCCTCGAGAACGAAGAAATCAAGCGGCTTCCCGACTCCCGCATCAGGATCGCAGAAGAACTGTTGGCAAAGTTACAGCCCAAGGCACGGGCAAGCGAACGCCCTGAAGGGTTGGCACCTGGATCCTTACATCTCGGGAGCGTCCGCTCTGACATCGCTCCCCATCGAAGTAGTAGAGCTCGATCTGAGAGGAGTGAGATGAAACCCGTCACAAGTTAAGCTCTCTCACCCCCGCTGCTGGCTCGCTGTCGTCGATGAGCTCCCAGTCCATTCCCTTGAGCTTCCCGAGCCAGAAGCAGTTGTTGTCGTTGGAGACTTGGAAAACAGGAGAGCGAACGGCCTTCTGCATGGAGACGCAGGCCTCGGGAACCTGATTGGCGTCCCCGCAGACATTGAAATAGTACCTGAGAGGTTTTACGTGAGCAGAAGGCAGTTGCAACGAAAGAGATGAAGTCCACATGTTTCCATTGCGATCATCTGCGTACCAATCGCGGACTCTTCAGATAGTTTCAGTAAAGCTAGAGACAGAGAGCACGATAGTCTACCCTCTGGGTCTCCTCAGGGGAGACAGATCAAACTTGTTCCCATCCGGAAATGTGTGCGTGCATTCGGCGATGTCGGCAAGAGCAGATTGAGATTCAAGCAGAAGCACCGCTGTGAGGAGGATCCAGGAAGGCATTGAGATTCTTGATAAGGAATTTTTCCACCTTGCTCCTTCTACAAGCGACCCCAACCTGCACAGTAGAGGAGCCATGGTCACAACCTCAGAACAAAATCCGAGAAAAGACGGAGCAGTCTACTAGCGAGAAGAGGAAGCGCTCAGTCATACAAGTGATGCATCAGCAAGCGATGTGACGTCTCATGATGATGGAGGCTAGAGAATCTCATCGTCTCATGTTCAAATGCTCCGCTCAGCATGACGGTATCTCAACTTCGCTCCTCGCACAGCTCACCACTCACCGCGCATGGCGCCTAGTCACCAACGAAGAGTACCCCTCATCTAGATACCGAAGTACCCCACCAAAATGAACCGTATCAGAGAGGGTGGGGGTACTTTAATCGGAGGGCATATCCCCACAATGGATGGACCTGTGAGGGGGTAGGGGTAGCCCATCAGAGAAGGGTAGGTCGTTTGTGATCGGGGGCGCAGTACGACGATGGTCAAGGTTGCGGGGGAAGATGGCGAGGGAGGAGCAGGAGGAAGAGATGCAGGAGGAAGGGAAGACCATCGCACAGGAAGTAGACATGATGCTGATGAAGAGAAGAGGCAGGTTGATCAAGCGGCAGACATCGTGAGAGGTTCCGATGCGGGGATGAGTGCCTGGGAGAAAGACAAGGTCGATGAGCTACAAACCGTGATATTCGAGTTGAAGAACGGCAAGACAAAGTCTGGGATCCCCATAATCGATCCTCAACTTCTTGCCATCTCAAGCGTCGTTGGGCGTTTGTTAGTCCTGCAGCTGAAGTCTCCCCGCATTGACGATGGATTGTCAGTTGCTATGGACAGGCGGATTGAAGAAGCGGTCAAAGAGAGGATTGACTCAAGCAACGAGTCGCTATCAGCCATTGGTGTCATAGCTGCCCTGATACTCTCCATCACAGCTCCCTTTTGTTTCAATGCGATCCAGCAGTCTGACATCATCAAAGGAGAGGATGCGTACAAAATATTCCTCCACGAGAGCGATCTGGAAAGACTGCAGTACACGCTTGCAAGCCTGCTGATTCTATCGGCTCTTTGCAGCGGGCTGAGCGTGATTTCATCTCTGGCGATGTATGTTCATCTCAACAACGTCATGCCGGACGCCAACAGCAAACTTTGGTTCCTCCGACACGCATGGATGGTCTTCCCGGAGAAGCTCCTGGTCGCCGCCGTCTTCTGCCTGTGCCCGGCAGCGCCTTTGGGGATGATACTCTGCTATGGCGACACGATGGGACTAATCTCGCTCGTCCTCTTCGGGGCGCTGGTCCCCCCGTACCTCTGCTGGCAGCTGTACATGCAGATCTCCTGCAGGAGGCACGTAGCTCCAAGGTTCGTCGTGATCGGCAACCGTTGAACTTCTTGCAAGAGGAGCTCGAAAGCATCGTGAGCAATAGAGATCAGCACTGACACCCAATGACGTCACGCATGCTTCACTCAAGGTTTGGCCGCCCCACATTGCTGGAGTTCCGAACTTCGGAAGTTCAATCACTAGCCCGTGACTCGCGCGGCAGTGCCGGGCTGCCACCGTGATCGGACCAGCCCGAGTCCGATCCCGAGTCCCGGACTTCGGGAGTCCCGGATAAGATAATTATCATTGTGTGTGTGAATCCATGGCACTGTGAGTGGTTCCCGGCGAACTCGGACCGTACCGTCCAGGCGGGAGCTCGGCCTCGCCGAGTCCGATCGCGAGTCAGAGTCGTGAGCCAGCGGGCCCAGCCTGGCAGGCTGGCCGCCGGCGCCGCCGGGCCGGGCCGGGCACTGCGGCAGCCGCGCACGGGCGGTCACCGTGGCCCGGTTTCCGAGTTCACCGCCGCGCCGCCCGGCCGCACGCCGCCGGTCGGCCGGGCCGATCACGGCACGGAGCCGGGCACGGTACGGTATGATATGTCACCGTCACGGTTTCGAAGGGCCGGCTGACTCGACGCCCGGGGGCCCGGCCCGCCGGTACCTTCGGCCGCTACTCAGAACGGCGGTGACTGGCCGCAGTCCGACATTAGTACGGCCCTATTGTGACCGCCGGTGACTCAAGTTACTTAATGATCGGCCGCCCGGCGACTTTATACTATACCCCGGGCCCGGACCGGTATTTACTAAGTACGGACTTGGCAGGGCCGCGTGACTCACGCCGACTGTACGGTCAGGCTCCGACGTCGGACGGCCGGGCGACTCAGTGACCGGGCCCGGTTCCGGCGGGCGACGGTCGGACTCCGGCCAGCGGCCGCCGCCGGCGGCGGGGGCGAGCCTGCCGCCGCGGCGGTGGGAGTCTGCGCTTCCCGGCCCCGGCGGACTCCGTCAGTGGGCACCGGGCCAGGCCGCCGGGGCCGGCGGTTGCAGCACCGTGCCGCGCGGGACTCAAGTCATGGCATACTGAGTTACGGTTCCGAGTCTCTCTCGCAGGGTTGCAGGGAGGTGCGCTCAAGCTCCGAGACGACCTCGTCAACGCCTTCAATGTCGTCCTCATCCATATCGAGCTCGTACTCGACGATGAGGTTCTTTGCGTCCGGGTGCGTGCTGTCCATCCATTCATTGCACCTCTCCCTCAGGTTGATCCAGTCCGGAGGACATTCCCCTGCCCTCCTCCTCCTCCTGTACTCCTCGAGGAGCAGCAGCAGCATGGGGAAGCGCTGCTGTACGTTCCGGTCATAGATCTGCGCGTAGTTGATGCAGGTAGAGCTCTGCCCCCTCCTTTGGACGAAGATGTCGGCTCCCTCCTCCAGCAGCATGCGTGCCATCGCCACGTCGTTCCTGTAGGCTGCGTACATGAGCGGAGTCATGCTATGGATGTTCGCCTCCGCCGCACTCCTTCCGTCAAAGTGACGATTGACAAGGTTGAATCCAGCTGGGCTTTGTCGCAAGATCCTCCGTAGCTCTTCCACCGCACCAGCCTGCAGGGCAGAGACTAGCGTGTGCGTCGAGCCCAGCTGGAGGAGCAGCTGTACCGTGTCGGTCAGCTGCAACTTCGCGGCGATCTCGAGAAGGGAGCAGCCGACGAGCCTGAGGTCCTCGGTCGGCCCACGTGACGAGGCAAGGGGATGGGTGGCTTGCCGACCTCCGATGAAAGCGCTGCTGGGACAGAGCTCCCTGAGGATGTGAGGATGCTCCCCTAGCATCTCCTTGAGCGCCTGACGAGCTCGCTTGCTCCCGGACAAGACGGTCATGACGAACGCGTCAAACTGCATTCCTATCGCTCCGTAGTGCGGCAGCAGCGCGTCAACGACGTCGAAGCGGCGGTACAGAGCAGCAGCAACGATGGGCAGCACAGGGAAGCCGTCTCTACCCTGAAGGCGCGGGGCATTGATGATCCTTGCGACTCGCATGGGCTTGGTGAGAAGTTGGGCATCCTCGCGGATCAGCTCCTCCATCCGCTCGATCTCTCCGCTCTGTATGGCCTCCTCCCAGCTCAGCTGCACGGGCAAGAACCCTGCCAAGAGGCGCTCGAAGCTCTCGCGGTCAGTCTCTCGGTAACTCAAGTCTCCCATCGTCCTCTCAGGCCCGAGGAACTTGCGCAGCTCTGTGTCGCTCGTTCCTCGGAGGATGCGCGAGTCTCCCTGCCACATCTCAAGCTTCGTGCCCTCGGCTTCCATCTTCTCGTTGTTGCAAACCTTCCCCATGACCAATCGCAGTACAAGGCCTGCCGGCTCGCCCTGGGAATCAAGACTCAGCGTTCCCCGCCCGACACCGATCCGTCGATACACAGCTCCATCCCCGTCGTCATCGTCGTTCGATTGAACGCATACAACATGGAACGAGATCTTGTTGCCCTCCTGCGACCTGTTGAGAGGAAGCATGGTGTATTTGTAGCACATGTCATTGTATCTCGTGTCCAAATACGTCCAGCGTCCACCAACTTCCGGAAGACAACAAGCTGTCTCCTGCATCACTTGTACAAGCTTTCCGAAGCCAGCGTAAGGAGGGATGAGCTGATCGTCGTTGCCCGTGCCAAACTTGACCCATGATTGTCCTTGAGCTACATCGGACGCTTGGCAGGGTTGAAGTCTTCGCTGTACGAGGAGGTCGGAGTGCATGGTACCCCGGATGGAGAGGTTGATGGCATAGCCCGGTCTCTGCTCATTCCTCGTGGTCGCTTGAGACAGCTCGCTTGCCACGTCACGAAGCATCTGGTCGATGTTGCCAGGGAGAGCCTCCTCCGGAAGAACTTCATGTTCACTCGCTCCTCGCTCGAGGATCTTCTCTAGTCGCCACTGCTGTCCTCGCGCTCTGGGGGGCGCGAGTCTCTCCAGCTCAATGACCATTGCATCGTAGTAGCTTGCTTCCAGCGATGCTCCAAGTCTGTGCAGGCCGAAGCCTATCTCTGCATGCTCGCTAGACACGTCCAGCACACCAGCGAAGAGAATCTTGTCTCTGTGCTGTACGAACGAGTAAGCCGTGTCGCTCACCAGCTTGTCCTCCTTCTGCTTGACCAGCGGCCACAGACTCGTCAGCCCGTTGCGCCATGCGGTGATCAGCTGCGAGCCCTGGGTTACGACTGTGATGTGGTCTGAGACGTAGGTGACTGCAGATTTCAACTCGATCCGCCAACCACGACGGACAGTGTCTCGGATGAGCTCAAAGCTGATGTCGTCTTCCTGCATGCGCCGAACAGCATGAAAGGTGAGCTGCTGCCTCAGCAGGTCTGTGGACATGCTTGAGATCGCTGTCCGAGCTCGTTCTGACTTGACATCTTCAGCGACCCGAGTCTGGCTTCTTCCCAGCTCGAGCTGTTTCTGCATGTTGGAACCGCCTCCTGTCAGGTCCGTCCTTTGAGCATGAGCTTCTTCCTTGAGGAAGTCCTGCAAGCTTACGAAGCCACTGTTGCATGCCTGCAGTGCGTCAAACGATCTCCCCAGCTGCCCGCTCAGCTCTCCCTCTCCCTCTCCCTCTGGCTCGGTCCAATCCAATCTGCCACTGCTGAAATTGACAACCCAGCCAGCGCTGCTGATCCAGGTTCTCAGCTTGCAGAGGCCATCAGCTGGACCCTGGCTCCTCAGCATCATCTCAGTGTTGTATTCGAGCAAGCAGCGAAGCACAAAGACGCTGCTCAGTTTCGTCATCTTGAAGATGGCGATGAAGCTTCCAACCTGTACTGCCTCTTCGAGAAGAACGCAATAAAACAAGCTGCCATTGCCCATGCCCTCCGATTCGCGTAAATACGCCTCCAGAGAGTCCATCCCGTCCGCAGCAGACATAGATGGGTCGTACAATGATTCTACCTCCGATTGCCAATTGAACAAGGCATCTTGCCGCGCTTGCTCGTCTGTTATGAAATCGTTCATCAGTGTGCTAAGCGTGTAGTCCAGCATCGCAATGCACAACTTCTCTCGAGGTACATCTGCATGGCCCTCTCGTTCCCTCCATTCCTCAAACGACGAGGAAGATATCTTTCCCGCATCGTAAAACTTCTGCACAAGGCCAACGAGCTCACTCTCAAGTCGGTTGCGCCTCACCAAGGAGTACCAGTGATGAAGCACTGGACGTGACGAGAAGCTGATAAACTGCAGGAAGTAGAGCAGCATCCCCGAGCACAGCCTCCAGCGCGACTCTTGCTCATGCATGCTGTGTAGGAAGCGCCTGCATGCATCCTTGGCATGGCGCTTAAACATCTCAGCGTCTTCCTGGCTGTAAGCCACGACAAACACATCCCCTGCTCTTGTTTGCGTCAAGCCTCCTTGCTCGCCTTGCTGGACGACGCCTACAGCTCGCTCCATCCCACTCCCTGCCTGCTCTACATCGCGTTGGGTCTGATCATCCATGGCAGCTGGAGGAGGTGCCGCATTTTGCCGTCGCATGACGCCATGCTCTTGTCCCCATGCGCGCACATCACTAGGCACGCGAGCGAGCAGGTGGCACTGATCACATTTCAGTCGAAGATAATCTCTCACGATCACATCCAGGCAAGAGTTCTGCCCGAGCGAGTAGTAGAGCTCTTTCGCAATATCAATCGCGTCCTCGTCGCTCACTTCCTTCTCATGGGCGATGATGAAGTCGACATGGCCGCGAAGCTTCTCGGCGATCAGGCTCGACCAGCACAAGTTGAGCACCACCAGCCGCAGATTCTTGCAATCGAGGATTACTTCTTGCAAAGAGCGTATCAAGTCATCTGCATCAACGCTCTTGCCTCCCAGGGTCAATCTACCATCTTCAAAGCCATGGCAGGCGATGTGAAGGATGGTTGGCTGTACTCTTGAAATCTCGCGGCGCAGATAAGAAGCATCCTTGTGGAAGAAGTACTCAAAGTTCACTCCTTGAGCAAGTTCCAATAGAGCACGATCTTTCGCATCAGCGGCTCCTACGACAAATTCCTTTCTCAACTCGTCTCGCTCCTTCTCCACCTTCAGTCCACTTCGCTCCTTTGCGTCAGCGAAAAACAGCACCCTATGAGGAGCTCGACTGAAAAGCACGTCCTCAGCGCTAGCAGCCGCATCGGCAACTTCCTGCTGTTTGCAGCAGCTACACAACTGATTGAGATTGTTCGACATATCCCGGAGTCCTCCCGACGTCCGTGTGAAGCAGGAGGGCAGAGCCAGGGTGGGATGTAGGGAGGGCGAGAGGTGCGGAGGAGCAGGAGAGCAGGGGATGTGCGAGTGGAAGTAGACTAGCGCCGCGCAGAGGATGGCGAAAGGCGGAGGGTGCCAAGCTGAAGCGACGGTTGCGCTGAGAGATCATTGATGGAGGGTGGGGTATGCCCAGGACGGGTAGCTGGAGCCTTTATTCCATGAATAAAGATAGGGGTCACAGGATTCTGACACTTTCTGCAGGGGTACGGTACTGTCAGTAATGGTGTTGAGTGAACCCCGGGCCAGGCAAACTCGGCACTGAATACCCGCCGGGCCCGGCGGCGACCGGGCCCGGAGCTTTTGCTTTTCTCGGGGTGGCAAACCTGACTCGGCCCCGAGTTCATCGGGCGGAAATGCGCGGGGCAGTGGATTGATGGTAGGAGAGCAGAGGGCATGAGCGCAAGATGGTGAGAGAGGAGGACGAGAGCTCGAACGTGATCGACATGGTGATGCAGCTTGCGCTCAAGGAATGCTCCATGTGACGATTGCGTCCTCCAGAAAACTCACTTTGAGCATCAGTAGCACTGAATCCTCCGTTGTCCGTCTTGGAGTATCCTCGCACACAGCTAGGAGATGTGCTCTCCAGATCAGCACACCTTATGAATGTCAAGATCAGCGGAAGCTCTCAGCCATCCAGCCGCGATCATCCGTCTCACGTTGCTTCTGTGCTGCAGCGCGATCAACCCTGCCCGTACTTCGTTGCTGTGTCCCGAGATGATTAGAAGCTCGAAACTTCAAGACAGACGTCTGTCTGCTGGTGATGGTGCCGTTCCCCTTGTGTTGTTCTGAGCTGTGCTGCACAAACTGTTGTCGCAGCCCTACCTACCCTCAAGCAGGAGGTGATAGCGCGCATTAGCACAAGACTGTCATACGAGATTGTTGACGTCCGGTTGAGCAGAGGGATGGGGAGGATGTGCGGCATATCCCACGAATGATGCCAGACAGCTGTCATATGAGACATGGTGAAAGGAGTACATGTTTGCAAACAGGTGCTGTCCAAGGAAATACCAAGCGCTCTAACGGGGCCAACAGGCCGGTGATCATCAGCGGCATCAGCGATGACTGGGGATGTCGAGGATGGGTCAAGACATGCGAAAGATGCCATAGGGGTGGAGAAGCTGTGCATGTATCATACTGACCTTGCTGACCTTTGTCATACAGTCGACTGCCTTATGTCAAACCAGATCTCGACCTCCTCGAGACAATGTTTGAAAAGGAAGGAGTCGAGCAAGATTTGGAGAGGTGCAGCTGAGCTGGGAGGAGGCCATACAGAGCGGAGAGATCGAGCGGATGGAGGAGCTGATCCGCGAGGATGCCCAACTTCTCACCAAGCCCATGCGAGTCGCAAGGATCATCAATGCCCCGCGCCTTCAGGGTAGAGACGGCTTCCCTGTGCTGCCCATCGTTGCTGCTGCTCTGTACCGCCGCTTCGACGTCGTTGACGCGCTGCTGCCGCACTACGGAGCGATAGGAATGCAGTTTGACGCGTTCGTCATGACCGTCTTGTCCGGGAGCAAGCGAGCTCGTCAGGCGCTCAAGGAGATGCTAGGGGAGCATCCTCACATCCTCAGGGAGCTCTGTCCCAGCAGCGCTTTCATCGGAGGTCGGCAAGCCACCCATCCCCTTGCCTCGTCACGTGGGCCGACCGAGGACCTCAGGCTCGTCGGCTGCTCCCTTCTCGAGATCGCCGCGAAGTTGCAGCTGACCGACACGGTACAGCTGCTCCTCCAGCTGGGCTCGACGCACACGCTAGTCTCTGCCCTGCAGGCTGGTGCGGTGGAAGAGCTACGGAGGATCTTGCGACAAAGCCCAGCTGGATTCAACCTTGTCAATCGTCACTTTGACGGAAGGAGTGCGGCGGAGGCGAACATCCATAGCATGACTCCGCTCATGTACGCAGCCTGCAGGAACGACGTGGCGATGGCACGCATGCTGCTGGAGGAGGGAGCCGACATCTTCGTCCAAAGGAGGGGGCAGAGCTCTACCTGCATCAACTACGCGCAGATCTATGACCGGAACGTACAGCAGCGCTTCCCCATGCTGCTGCTGCTCCTCGAGGAGTACAGGAGGAGGAGGAGGGCAGGGGAATGTCCTCCGGACTGGATCAACCTGAGGGAGAGGTGCAATGAATGGATGGACAGCACGCACCCGGACGCAAAGAACCTCATCGTCGAGTACGAGCTCGATATGGATGAGGACGACATTGAAGGCGTTGACGAGGTCGTCTCGGAGCTTGAGAGGCACTTGGTTGCATCCTGGCTTGAGCCATATAGCCTCCACATGGCGTGTAGCGACATGGCCATGTGTTTAGTCTTGAGAGGAGCGGGAGAGGAGCGCAAGAGGCTCCTGTGGAGGAGGAGAAGCGAGGATTGAAACTCTCCCTCCTCGCTCAACTCTCTCCATCCTACTCGGCTCAGCCCGTTGAACAGTGTCGCTGCAGTCATTGCGTCCTCCTCTTCCGAAGTTCCGCCTCCACCAGTCGCGCGAAGTTGTCTCAGAGTCACGTAGACTCAGAGGCAAGTAGCGGGCCCCGGCCCAACGGTCCGATCATGGGCCGATCGGACTGGCACACAGTTGTCCTCGTACTGACTCAGGAAGTTCAAGTGCCGGCGTCACAGTTCAACTTACTAGTTAACTGGGCCGCCCGCCCGCCGCCGGGCCGCCGAACTCGCCGTGCCGGGCTGATTGAGTCAGTTACCGTGCCGGTTCTCCGGGACGGTCCGGGACTCCGGGCCCGGAAGCTTCAGACCGGCCGGGCTACCGTGAGTAACGGAAATAAAACCGGCTATTAAGAACCCCCACCCCCACAATGCTGTAAAGTTCTACACATAAAGACCGCACGACCCTACCCCTAGGGAGAATCCAAAATTGATTTCCTATTTGAGGAAAATGGAGGGTAGTTTGATAGTTACATTGGGGGTAGGAGCTGTCCCAGTTTATGCAAGAGGGGGTAGGGGTTAAGCCAGTGTGAGTTGACAAATGGTGGGTGGGTGGGTAGTTTGCGTGTTGGAAAGGGGTCATTTCTAGGGCTATTGATGGGGATAAGGAGGGGTGTCGTGAATTTTGATTTGATTCTTCAAGGGGTAGATTCCCATGTATTTGATAGGGTGGGGGTGGGGGGTGTTCGTTCTTGCTGTCTCCTACGCCCGCCGTGCAGAACATCCCTGCTGCGTCCTCCACCTCCCCCGCCCCTCTCACGCCCCCCTCCTCTTGCCCCCTACTGCCTCATATCATCTCCTTCCTCGTCCCTTGGCCTTGCCTCCTGTTTCTCTCCCTCCTCAAGTGTCTAGTGCTGCCAGAGATCCAGCTCACACACTCCTCGCAATAGCAACCAGCGTTCAAACTCTGTTGCTGATCCGCGCACATCATGGCTGGTTGCGGTGTCCTCGGCATGGCCTTCGCATGCAGTGCGCTCTACTCGTTTACTCCTCACTCTACTTCACCCGTTAGCCGCAGCCATTCTCCTCTTTTCTCCCGCTCCCCCTCGTTGAGCGTGGCCTATAAGGGGCCGGAGACGAGGGACATTCCTCCCTGGGAGGAGGAGATGCTGGAGATCTTTGCGAGGTCCCCGCTGTTCAACCCCGAAGCTAGCCGCAAGCGTGTTGAGAGGAAGTCAGCACACGGCCATGCTGGGCCGGATGTCGACCTGGATGCCGCACTGGACTCCAACAGCATGTATGGGATCCGGAGCGACATCATGGAGATCTTCGTTCTTGCAGCAAGGAACAAACCCGGTGTACGTCTGACTCTAGGAGAGCCCAGTCGACCCGAACCCGCCTCTCCCAGGGCTGCAGTGAAGCAGGTGACTAGCCGTGTGGCGGAACGAGAGCGAATCAAAGTCGTCAGGCCGCGGCAGGAGGCTGTGAATGGCGGCAATGATTCGAGCTCAGCCCAGCGGTCATGGGAATCCGAACTCCACTCTATCTTTCAGGCAAATCCGCTCACTAGAAAGTGAAAGATGTGCCTTGTTGTGTTTCTTTACTATGATATTCTTTTTGTCTTCATAAATTCCCGTTTCCCTTGTTACCCGTCCCTCTCCAGCAGGCGGCAGAGAACCTGTAAGCACCGTCATCATCACCGAGCCACCAGTCAGTCACAGCGTAGACCTTGTGAGCATGACTGGGAGCAAGGAAAGGCTCCAGCTCTTGCCGGGTGAGAGGGGAGGGCCTTCCCTCCCTCATGCATCGCTCAATAGCGCTGGGCACGGGAAATCATGTCAGGAGTGTCGGAGAGTGAGGGAGGTGGTTCACCTTCGCTCGTAGACATGACCGTCGGAAGCGAGGACAGGCTCTTTCATGAGCTCCTGCGTGATGGGGCACGAGCATAGCTCCCTGCTCGCGCGGTTGACAAGGGAAGGAGGAAGCACATTGCAAGGTGAGCCACGTACCTCAGCCTGTCTTGCCTGGACACCAGCTCCTCAACAGTACCCTGAAGGGACTGGAAGTTCCGTTTGACAGAGTGCAGCTCCTTTTTCAGCTCGACGGAGTGCTGGATGAGCTGCTTCTGATCGAGCGAGAGCGGAACCTCCATCTTCTTCAATAGGCTCTCAACGGCTGAAACAACCTCGGAACTCGTGATGCCCTGGCCTCCTTCCCTCGTGACCTGAGGGACTTGTGGGGCAGGGGCTGAGTGGTCGCTGGGGAGGGAGGGAGGAGAGTCTTGCGGTTGAGCTGAGCAGATCCATCAGGAAGCATGCAAGGCGTGCAAGGAGGTGTACTTGTGGGTTTGAAGGAGAAGAGATCTGACGATAGCATCCACTTGGTCTGATTCATGCCGATACGCACGGGCAGGCGTTGGATGCCGCAGTCTGCATGGCGGTCATGTCATGTCCGCGACGCTACCTCACTCACCCATGTCCTCCTCTTCATCTGTACTGGGCTGGTTCTCTCCTATCACTCCGTAGTGGAAGTTGCTATCCTGCTCGAAGGCGATGATCTCTCCTACCCGGAACCTGCGGCACGGCTATCCCACGAGTCTCTGTCAGAAGAAGCTGCTGGTTGAGAGCAGTTCGACTACCTCGAGCACGAGCAGCTCGTGGTCCATGGGGACAAGTTTGCTCCCAGGTGAGCCCCTCGTTCTTAACGAGTCCCTGCCTTCTCCCTTCATCCCCATCTTTTCCATCGCCTCCAACATGTCCGCCGGCTCCAATGCTGTAAGTATGGAGTCAAGACAACATCTTGCCAGCGAGGATGCAGCAGACTTAGAAGGTAGGACAGGAGAAGCAGATTCCTTCCCAGCTGGCTGCCGATGTACTGATCTACAGCTGAGGCCAACACCTAAGGGGAGACAGTGAGTGCGAGCCGTGGAGAGATGATGGAGATCGACCTGGTAGGAGGAGAGATGAGGAGGAAGATGGTTGGCAAGGAGGATCCTGCCTCGCGAGTGATCCAGGAAGAACCATGTCTGCTGGCTTCTTATCTTTGGTAATCTCCTCCAAGGACAAGCACCTCAATGCTACTTCTGCTAGACACTTGTCTGCCGTCTAGGAAGAGAGAGTAGCGGAGGGTCTCAGTGAAACACACTTGCAAGCTTGCCAGCTTCCGTTGGACCTCGTTCTCTCCCACCTGGACGTAAGCTGAGATGACGACAGGAAACAGTCTCATGCCTTACGTCCTCGTGGCACATCGAGAGCAATGCCGTTGCAAATTCACGAGAAGACAGCCGTGCTGTAAGAGCTGCAGCCTCCGGGCATTCCATCACCGAAGGCTCCTCCTTGACAAGCTCGTCATCAGCAAGGGACAGCACAAGAGCGAAGGAGGTACCAGCAGTTGGTGACTCAGTGCCTTGCTGAGGTCTCGGATCCCGAGAACAGAGCAGAACGCCGTGAGTGAAGGATGGACAAGTTGTACGACATTGCGGTCGATGGTCAGCAGAAGCTCCCGGTCCTGCCATCACATCAACGGGGCAAGGGCTTTTGATAGACTCTAACCAGACAGTGGAAGCAATCTTGGCTGGATCTCAGGACACAGTGGACGTCTGGAACAGGCAGCGAGCCGTGGAAGTTTGCTCCGGAGTCTGCAACTGCTCCAATCACCTTGTAAACATCCCAGTCAGCTCCTTGGATTCTAAGGTTGCCAGACCTTCACTACAGCTGCCAGCTCGTTGGGGTTCAGCGGCAATCTGCGGCTCTGCTCGACATGACGTTCACAGGGAGCAGGAAGCGGAGGAGGGAGCACCTCGCTGCTGACTTCGTGGAGAAAGTTCACCAGGTCATCCGTGGAAGGCTCCTCTTTGCATCCCAGTGACTGCAGCGAGTTGAGAAAGAAACGACGACAGGGATCAAGACCCGCAACAGATGCTCGTGAGTTCCGAAGCTTCGGGGGACCTCGAACATGAAGGGTGCATAGTCTCCTTGCAAGCTGCAAGCAGTGAGCGAGGAGGAGGCGCAGGGTCACAGTGAGACCGGAAGAAGAGGCGGGAGGCCCGCACGAGCTTGACATCGCCTGTGGGGCCCACGGGGATAAGCTCGATCGTCTGAAGGCTCTTCCTTTGCTTCTCCGTCATGCCCTGTGGATGGTGAGCAAGAGCAGCAGGGAGGAAGTTTGTAGATTGACCTTCCAACTTCTCCCCAAGTATCCCAAAAGTTTGTGAAAGCCCTCGGTCAGCTCCTCCTCGACTGGCCAGAGGGACACGGGGACTCTCTGAAGCCCTTGGAGGTGCTCGAGGACGCGGGGGAGTGGAGGAGGACTCTGCGAGGAGGTCACATGACATGAGCACAAGTCAATCTGCCGGCACCTCAACTTTGAAGACTTTGCACATCATTTGGTTGAGGTTCACATCCCCTGTAAGGATGGGCGAGACGGACCAGACCTGCACTTGAGTCGTGAGCCATTGGGATGGAAGATTGTATTGCGATTCAGGAAGAGAGCGAGGTAGTTGATGACGATCATGTTGGGATGCCATCAAGTGAACAACTCAGAGGACCAGGTGACGTCACCATAAACTTGTCGGAAGCCAACGAAACCTCTTGAAATCGGCACAACTGAACTTCGTGAGTCCAATGCTTGTTGTTTACAAGTACAGGAGGCAAGAGAGCAGGCACAAAAGGTATCGATCCTGTAGCGACAAACATGTCAGGGAATACCTCCTCTGGAGATCCGGCAAATTCCTACCAAGCTCTGTACAGAACGCCGAATTCTGAAGGGACGAGAAGTTGTTGACCAGGTGCCGCATCAGCATTTCTGAGGTTTCAACACAAAAGTTCTTCTCTTGGTCATCTGCAGTCGAAGTAGCAAATCGAGATGTGACTTTCCTCGCGCACTAGCAACAGTGTCACTTGATAAGGTAACAAGAATCATAAACCTACAATGAGAAACAATTCGGCATCTATGAACGTCTTGAGTCCGAGCTGACGCAATATGGACAACCACTCATCGCTTGTCATGTCTCCTTGCGGAAAGAGTGGCTCGGAAGAAAAGATTCTCCATAACAACCTTTATCGTGTCAAGAGCAGAACCATCGATGGCGGAGTTATCACCGGTTGCTGGGGTCGAACAACTCGTTCGGACGGTACAGGTGCTCTCCAACCTCCACGAAGGCAAGCTCTCGCAGCTTGTCGACAAGATTCGTCCTCCTTTGTATCTGAGAGTTGAGATCACAAAAGTTCGGCTGCTCATACTTCGAGGTGACCTTAGGCCAATGGCAGCGCAGCTGCTCCAGCGCAGCTTGTCTCCGGGAAATGTCAAAAGTCTGAAATTTGGGGAGAACAAACATTTCGAAGAGCGCCGCATCATCGAGTTCTTCAACGCCTAATGCTGCAAACAAGGTTAGCCCTCCGATCATCTACCCTATCACCGGCTTTTACCATCATAGAATCTTTTCTCTTGCAACTTCAGCAGCCTCTGGTCTTCAACATGAAGAGGAACGTTGGTGGGGCAGAGGAAATAGTCTCCTTCATCGATTGATACAAAGTTGCCTTGCTTCGTCTCGAAGATGGGAAGACTTCGAAGCGAACGTATTTCTGATGTGTTGATCATATTCTACGAGTAAACAAATGCAGTCAGGAAGGTTTGAATATCGTGTATGCACAGTCACCGTTCGATGTGCGTTGGCGAAAAATTGAAAGACTGCAACACATTCGTTTGCTGGAAGATTGGACCTCAATGCTCTGTCACCGGTGCTCACCGAGGACAAGGAAACAAGCGCTTGGCGAGCAAAGGCAGTAGGATCTGTCTTCGGCAGCAAAGCAGAGAAGACTGGCAAGTATGTGTCAAAGGATCAGTAGTGGATTGAAGGACAAGGTAGTGCCTGGATGAATAATGGGACATCCTAGTTGTCTCAGTCCTGTGAGGAGAGGGTTCCTCTGCAGGTAAAGTGTAGTCGATTCCATCGAGTGACCCTCCGTCCCCTCCGCATCGAATTCGAGGCGATCGCTCCCGAAGTCAAAAATCCGCAACTCTTGTCCCTCACCCGCCAACTCAGTGCTCTCAGCAGGCAGGTCTTCGGTCAGGTTCAGGACCTGCACATGTTTCAGTCCGTCATGACAACACAAGGCAGCAAACCTGCATGATGCACTCTGAAGACACCAGGTCGCCGTCGCACAAGGGGATGAGAGGCCACTCGTCGACGAGATAAATTCCCCGCACCCCAACAAACTTCCAAAAGTTGTGGAGCCACCCCGGAGGAGGAAGCCCGACGCCTCCGCTGCTGTAGCCGCTCACACGCCTGCACCTCTTCCAGCTGGCTGGCAGCACAGAGTCAAGTCTCCGAATGAAAAGTTCAGGTGTGAATCGCTTGAGCGACGTCGATTGAAGGAATTCATCGTTACTGAACCAACCCCTCAACCTGTTGTGACAATGTCAGGGCACAACAACAGAGAACCGAAGCTTTCTAGACCTCGACGAACAGCGGTGATGTACAAATGAGTTTTTCAAGCCGGGAAGTAAATTCTACAAGCATGTCAAGTTCGTCAGAATGTGGACCTGGGCTGACCTGCTCCTCCTCTGAAGCTACAAGGGCGTCGTGGGGAAAATTGACAATCGTGCCGTTGGCTAATGGCAAGAGGCGAACAGAATGAAGAGATCTGAAATCTTTCCTGCCATGGCTCGAGAGGTCTTGCAGGCAAAACTCAAGCACGTCGATGGCAATGTCAATGTTGTCGCTGTTCTCCTGCTTCACGACACCTGCGACAAGGTCGATGTTGTCAGTCGTGGGAGGCGCGGGCCTGCATCGTGAGCAACCTGCAAGAAGAGCGTCGAAGAGACGAGGGTCGCCCTTGAGCCTGGCCCTCACCTTGTCAGGGCTGATCTCACTGACGTCTCGGATCCCCGCATTTCGAATCTCCGACCCGATGAAAGGAGGACAGGAGAAGAGAGGAAACATGAGCGCACACAGGCGCTGCAAGCTGCTGTTGGAGGCTTCGGGAGGAAAGACTCCGGCTTGCAACTTCACAAAATTTCCTGAGCTGAGCAAGAAAAGTGGGAGTTGGCCAAGTTTGCTATAAACTGGCCGATGGACAGTGTCGATGAAAGGGTTTTCAATAGAAGAAAGCTGAGGCCAGAGGGAGTAGAAGAGAAGGGGAACATCCTTGAATCGCGGGCACAGAGCAGAAACAAGGTCAACATACGCATCGCTCGAGCTCTCCAAGAGCTCTTGATTCCACTCCAGCTCGAACCTCTCGATGCTCGAAAGATTCTCCTTGCTGAGGCCCTGCTGAAGCAGGGCAAACGCATTGGACGTGAGTTCGAACCAGCCGTTGATGTGCACCGGAAGGCCCGTGCGCATCACTTTGCTGTATGCAAACAGATGCCCTTCAAGCTTCGGCAGCGTCGACCCGTCACAGGAGAGGAGAGCAGCAACCGATACGCAAGGAATGAGTTTCTTGGTCTTCTGTTCAAGGGCCATCTTGCGGCTAGTGCGTGATCCTATCATGCCAGCGATGAGCCAGTGATGCTGCTGTCTGACGTCATTACGATAGTTCAGGGAGTTGATCTTCAGCTCATACATGTGCTTGATGGCAGGTACTGACCCAAACACACTCATCAAGTTGAATTTCTGCCATTCTTTGTTTGCCGAAAGAGCTCTTCGTGACAATCGGATAGAAGCAGATACTGACAAGTCAATACACGTCTTGAACTCGCTAACCATCTTGTCCGATTTCTCGCTCCATGAAAACACCTCAATACTTTCAAGATGTTCGAGGAACAAGAGAGCTTCGTGATTCAACCAGTTTGTGCTTGAGTCCAACAGCTCTTGAAATTCTTGTTGGTCCATTTGCCTACCAAGAGAGAATTCGACATCAGCATCCTTGGAAGCTAATCTTATTGGCATGCGAAAGAGGGTTCCATGAAATTCTCGTTCGGCATTGAACCCAAAAACTTGAAAAGGAACAAACTGATCGGCAAACTTGTTTGACAAGTCGGAGTTAACGTACAAGTGCGCCTTACCAACAGCTCTTGCCTTCTTTTGATCCTGATCCATGAAGTAACATCCTTGAGGGTCGAAGAAGTATAAACCTTCCCCAGACACGATACAGGGGACATCTGTAAAGTGGTACATCGCGTTCAGCCCAGGCCCGTTCTTCACACTCCTGTGCAGGCCTTGAAGGTCTTGGTTCTGACATTGAAGTCGAGATATTTGTTCTGCTCCCAACTTCACTCCTTTGATGTACATGATGAGCGAAGGGCCCTGCAAGGAAGACAAGTTCGGTTGGAGCAGAGATTGTGAGTTGTGAGTCCTGAAATCGAACAAGAAGCAGACTTCTCTTGATCCCAAGGTGTCAGCAAAATCGACAAGATGTGAGAGCATTTGCCCGTGGCTCTCAAAGTCACGCAAGGTGCTTCCGATCATAGAGGGAGAGGGGCATGGAAGGTCCTTGAGGTTTAACTGGCCCGAGATGAGCAGTTTGCGAACAGACTTCAGTCCAAGCGACTGGGCAGCCTCGTTGCCGATCTCGTGGTGTACAAAGAGAACATCGTTCATCGTGGATGAAAGCCAGGGAGCATCGTCGTAAACCAGCTGACTGGCAGGGCGCATAAAGCTGTCAGCATCTGGCAAGAAAATCTCGCCCAAGTTTCGTCCGTCCTCACCGCTCCTTGAAGCTTCCAATGCAAGGTTCTTAGCTAGGGTCAAAACCTCAGAATCGAGCTGTTGACCGCAAAAGGCCTCGTGTATTCGTTTCAACGCCGACAAGTAATCAGATCGAGAAAAGCTCTGACGAACTCCTATCTTTCGAAAGAGATCTTTGTATTCTTCTAGCTCTTCTGGAAACCTTCGAAGGAATGTCAGAAAATGGTTTACTAAGGTAGGAAAGAACTCACCCGTGGAGAAGTGGAGCGCAGTCCACATTGCAATCAAATGCAACCCTTGCAGGGCATACAAAACCCAAGGGCAAGAGAAGAGTTGGCTGATTCTTCAACGCAGAACTCAAATTCCCCTCCCATTCATGCACTCGCTTGCAGAGGAAATCGTAAATTTGCAGAGTTGCAACTTTCACCTGGTCGGGAAGTGTGAATGCCTCGGTAGAGTTCATCAATGGATCTATGAAACTCTGGTCTTGAAAGATCTTCCCATACTCGAGCAGTTGGCTTACAATAGCCCTTAAAGGAATAGGACGATGCCAGCCCATAAATTCTTCTAGCTCGGGGCTGAAATCCTCAATCGATGCGATCGACGCACTTGAGGAGACAAGAGCTAGGTCTCTGTACGGTCTTGAATTCAGAGGGGAGTCCAGCACCGGGACTTGGGACAACCAAGGAATTTGCTGAGAGGGAGGGACTTGCAAGACTGGAATCCAACGCAATTCAAGAAGTTCGTTCCTGAAACTGTCCCACGAGTCGTCCACTTCACATATCAAAGAGTTGTATTTCGAGAGAAAATGAATAAGTTTTTTCGCCCGATGTTCAACATCCATGTCGTCACCAGCTCCTACAGAGCACGATATGGAATAAGCAACCTGAAGAACCCCAGTGCGATCTAGCGACGTCCGTAGCCCCAGTCGCAGCAAGATTCCGATAAGCTCCGGCTTCGTGAAAGACTTCGCTGGATAAAACTCCCCGCCCTCCAGTAGATCCTGGAGCTCCTCCACGCTTGGATCGTACAGATCCTGCGCCCTCGCCAGCTTCCCGCTGGCCGTCGGTATAAACTCCAGATCCCGCAGCCTCTCCCAGAACCTCTTGTCCTCTCGGCATATCTGAGGCAGGTTCGCCAGCATGTGGTGTACGCTCTCCTCGCACACCTCAAGCTCCATCTCTCGCAGCCGTGGAAACACCCCCTCGCTGTAGAACTCGTGTAGCTTCGCCGTCTTGATCCCTATCAAGCTGTACACTCGCGACTCTGCCTCGTCCGCTCTCAGATAGTCTGACGTCAGCAGTCTCTCCGGTATTCCCCCCGGCGGAAGCTGCTGCCAGCTGATCCCTACGAAGCTCGTGTCCCTCCCGTACACCTCGTGCACGGGCAAGATCACCACCAGCCGTCCCTTCCCGTCCCCCTCCTCTCCCGCTTGGAACCAGCGCTGCTGCAGACAGTACGCCCTCAGCTCCCGCTTCTCGCTCCCTGACAGCCCTGATACCCGCTCGCACAGAAGCTCCACCGACCCTCCGTTCCCCGACAGAGCCGCAGTCATCACCCCTTGCAACGACGCGCTCTGTACGTACCCCCGTACAGCATCTGGTCGACTGATGTACTCCCGGTCAAGCATCCGGCACCCCAGCTTCGACAGAAGGTGCTTCATCCCCTCCCCCATCGTGCTCGCCCCGTCCACCACCCTGCAGTCCTTGCTCGACACCCGGCAAAGGCTCTCCTCTTGCGTAGGGATGAGCGGCCAGTCGCCAAAGCTCCCCAGCACCTCCTCGTCCCTCGCGTAGCTCCAGAACGCCTTCAGCCAAGCCTTGGTCGGCTGTCCGTCCTCTCCTGCCCGCCATCGTACCTCCTCCAGCCCCCGCCACCCGTCCGGCAGCACCCGCTCTAAGCATGCGCTGACCAGTCCAGGCATCAGGACCTTGACGTTGGTGTAAGCTCCCATCGCCTCGCTCCTCATGTGCGCCAGGATCTCCTCCGGCGCTACGGGATCTACCAGCGACGCCTTCATCGAGTGCAGCAGGGCTACCTCCTCGGCGGTTCCGACGAAGATGGGCTTATCCTTGGAGCTTCCTAGTCTGGTGCAGCGACCATCAGCAGTTGGAATGATGGGGATGCCAATCAAGGTTTTGTAGGCTTCTCCACCATCTGTGTCAATGGGACTTCCAAGTATCATGTCTGATAATGAGTAAGCCAGACAATTGAGAATTTTGTTTCGGTCGAAGTTTGCAAGGACTTCCTTGTCTCTTTGACTTAAAAACCATCTGAAGAACGTTGGACAAATTTCTGTTATCTTTACGGAAGATCGGAAACCTTTCAGTACGAAATCAGGAACATCAACAACGGGTTCACCAAATGAAAGCAGTATATCTCCGATCTCCTTGACAAGCTCATCATTGGTGTTCAAGAACCTTGCTTTGCTTGGAGATACCCATTTGCCTCCTCCTACACGGCTGTACAGTACCGCATGCCCAGCACACTCCCCGTACACCCTCCGCGATAGCGACGCCCACGGCTCTCCAACCTGCGTGCTCGGCCACATGCTGTAGTAGCTCTCCAAGCTCTCGCCCTTCACCCTCCCCGTCAAGTGCAGAAGCAACCGCGCATACGTTGGCGCAATCACGTCCTCCACCAACGCCGTGTTCCAGTCCGCGCGGATCTTCCCCTCCCCTGTCATGTCGTCTCCTCGCCAGATGTCCCTGCGGTTAGACGAGAGCTCGAAGTACCCATTCACGTGCAGCGGCAGGTCGGTTTCGGCAGGGAGGGGAAGGAAGCAGAACGCTTTGCCCTTGACCTTGGTCATGCCAGAGCCATCTCTGGAGATGAGGGCAGCTACACCGCCCCAAGGAACGAGTTTTAGTGAGGTATTGGAAGAGTCAATCGCGAGCTGTCTCGCGGCTCCTCCTCCTAGGGAAGAAAGAACATACCAGGCTTCTCTTTGCTCTTCGTTATCTCCAATGTATTGTCTAATTTCGATGCAGGATTCAACCTTTGGATTGTTTTCAGGAGTATATCTTTTGAGGAGATCGTGCAGACTCTCTCGATTGTTTGAAGAAACATTTCCTTTTTGAAGAAGATCTGAAATACTCGAAATAGACTGTGCATCGGTCAGTGGGGAAGGAAAGGCTTGAAGAGAACATATTCTTGAAAGATTCTCTCCAGAATCGTCAACCTCATAGACGTTGATATGCCGTATGTTTTTCAAGAAGAGGAGTGCTTCTGACCCGATTCTCATGAATCTCTCGACAAGGTCAGTCAAGTCCTTCAACAGATATGACTGGCCTTTGATCTCACTCTGTTTTGCAACCTCCACGGTCCGAAGTGGAAATCGAAAGAGAGTTCCTTCATACCTGTTCGTTAAGTCACACCCTAACAGCAGGTATGGCTTGAATTGGTCTGGGAACTGATCCAACACTTTGTTCCTGGTAAATTTTATGCGAATTCCTGGATGCTGAATGTTTGCACCTGGAAGATACTTGGTGTGGGGGTCGAAGTATACGAGGTAGTCACCACTCACAAAACTAGGAACATCTGTAAAATGGTAAACTGCATTGAAACCTAATCCAAATCTGCCAATCTTGTTGAGAAAATCAAGTTTGCTGCCTTGCCCAATCTTGCAGATATTTTTGAAATCATCTGGGCTGAAGATAGAGTTATTGTGAAAATAAATGGCTGGGCCTTGCCAGGATGCCATCCTAGGTGACAACAATGAAGATGTAGAGTAGGTGCACTTGTTCACAATGATACTGAATTCAGTAGCCTGAGCGTCATCTGCATTCTGTATCAATTCATTCATGATCCCTGGTCCCTCGGGATACAATTCCAGGATATGCTTCAGACGTCCAGTAAGAGATTCGCTTTGGCCAAATGATTCGGAATCCTGTAAGCCGAGGTCAACCAGATCTGAGGTTTGAAAAAGCAGTTGCTTTCTCAATGATGCTACTCCGACACGGTCGGCAACTTCAATGGAAATCTTTGGATGAACAAATTCGATTTCATCTGCGATAGCACTCGGCGCCATCCATGGAGCATCATTGTACGTCAAAGAGGTAGCAGGTTTCAGAACGTTATCGCTGTCAGGTGCAAAAATCTCAATTTCACTGGAATGGAAGCGATCATCAGCAACAAATTGTACCATTGCAACGGCAATATCCAACATTTCTGGAGATAGAGGGCTCTGTTGATACTTAGTTTTCATCTCTTGTAAGGCATTGATGTAGTCCCTACCATCAAAAGACTCCTTAATGCCCATTGCCCGAAACAATCGTGAAAATTGCAACAATTCAGACGACAGTGCACAGAGGAATGGCTTGCCATTAAGAGTACAACGAAAGGCCACTCGTGAAGGAGCAACAAATCTATCTCCCAGCCAAATCCAAGATGCGCTTTTCAGAATAGCTTTTACATTAGACAAGTCTTCCTGGTCAATGCGGTTCTGTAATGTTTCATAAATCTTATGAATTGAGGAGTTGAATAGAGCTTGCGCCTCCGGATTGTCTTCCGAATGCTTGATTTCCGAAAATTTGACTAATTGGGCAGCAACCAATTCAACATCAAGTCCCTTATTCCATGAAAAGAAATCAAGCATCACTGGGCATGTAACTTCCCCATCAATGATGCTCATATAAAAAGAAATCAAGCAAAGATCTGCTTTTGGTCTTACGTCCGATGGGCATGCAAGTGGCGATCGATCGTCAGTCCATGGAAGCAGTTGATGTGGACTGTGAACCAACACCGGAACCCAATTCAAACTAGAAAGCCGTTCTCGGAAAGTCTCGATCGATATTTCAGAAGAACTCTTCCCCAACTTCTCCCCCGCCTGGGACTGAGACACAAAAGAGTTAAAGATAGATTGAATACCCAAGGACGCCATTGTCCCCACTGATGCCGAAGTCTTTGAAACTAATTTCTTAAGATTACCATTCAAAAATCGAAGAAATGCCTTGGAGCGACGATTCTCAACATCGCGATCCACAGCGATAGATTCAGCTATCCTTACAACCCCAGTGCGATCTAGCGACGTCCGTAGCCCCAGTCGCAGCAAGATTCCGATAAGCTCCGGCTTCGTGAAAGACTTCGCTGGATAAAACTCCCCGCCCTCCAGTAGATCCTGGAGCTCCTCCACGCTTGGATCGTACAGATCCTGCGCCCTCGCCAGCTTCCCGCTGGCCGTCGGTATAAACTCCAGATCCCGCAGCCTCTCCCAGAACCTCTTGTCCTCTCGGCATATCTGAGGCAGGTTCGCCAGCATGTGGTGTACGCTCTCCTCGCACACCTCAAGCTCCATCTCTCGCAGCCGTGGAAACACCCCCTCGCTGTAGAACTCGTGTAGCTTCGCCGTCTTGATCCCTATCAAGCTGTACACCCGCGACTCCGCCTCGTCCGCTCTCAGATAGTCTGACGTCAGCAGTCTCTCCGGTATCCCCCCCGGCGGAAGCTGCTGCCAGCTGATCCCTACGAAGCTCGTGTCCCTCCCGTACACCTCGTGCACGGGCAAGATCACCACCAGCCGTCCCTTCCCGTCCCCCTCCTCTCCCGCTTGGAACCAGCGCTGCTGCAGACAGTACGCCCTCAGCTCCCGCTTCTCGCTCCCTGACAGCCCTGATACCCGCTCGCACAGAAGCTCCACCGACCCTCCGTTCCCCGACAGAGCCGCAGTCATCACCCCTTGCAACGACGCGCTCTGTACGTACCCCCGTACAGCATCTGGTCGACTGATGTACTCCCGGTCAAGCATCCGGCACCCCAGCTTCGACAGAAGGTGCTTCATCCCCTCCCCCATCGTGCTCGCCCCGTCCACCACCCTGCAGTCCTTGCTCGACACCCGGCAAAGGCTCTCCTCTTGCGTAGGGATGAGCGGCCAGTCGCCAAAGCTCCCCAGCACCTCCTCGTCCCTCGCGTAGCTCCAGAACGCCTTCAGCCAAGCCTTGGTCGGCTGTCCGTCCTCTCCTGCCCGCCATCGCACCTCCTCCAGCCCCCGCCACCCGTCCGGCAGCACCCGCTCTAAGCACGCGCTGACCAGTCCAGGCGTCAGGACCTTGACGTTGGTGTAAGCTCCCATCGCCTCGCTCCTCATGTGCGCCAGGATCTCCTCCGGCGCTACGGGATCTACAAGCGATGCCTTCATCGAGTGCAGCAGGGCTACCTCCTCGGCGGTTCCGACGAAGATGGGCTTATCCTTGGAGCTTCCTAGTCTGGTGCAGCGACCATCAGCAGTTGGAATCAGTGGAATTCCTACCAAGGACTTGTAAATAGACGAATCATTGGTATGTTTGGATATCGTAATGTCCGACAGGCAATAGGTTAAAACCTCTAAAACTTGCGGAGAAGGCCAAAAAGTCTTTTCAGACCCAATGAAGACTTCCCTTGTCCAACGAGGGTTCACAGAAAAAAGTGGAGCGTTTATCGTGGAAAAGCCGTTCATGATATCTGACGGAACATTCTCAACCACGTTCTCCTTTTCTGCCAATAAAGCTTCAGAGACTGCTTCCCGATATTGACAGTTTTCAGAAAGACAGCGAGCTTCCATTGGGGTAACCCATTTGCCTCCTCCTACACGGCTGTACAATACCGCATGCACAGCACACTCCCCGTACACCCTCCGCGATAGCGACGCCCACGGCTCTCCAACCTGCGTGCTCGGCCACATGCTGTAGTAGCTCTCCAAGCTCTCGCCCTTCACCCTCCCCGTCAAGTGCAGAAGCAACCGCGCATACGTTGGCGCAATCACGTCCTCCACCAACGCCGTGTTCCAGTCCGCGCGGATCTTCCCCTCCCCTGTCATGTCGTCTCCTCGCCAGATGTCCCTGCGGTTAGACGAGAGCTCGAAGTACCCATTCACGTGCAGCGGCAGGTCGGTTTCGGCAGGGAGGGGGAGGAAGCAGAACGCCTTGCCCTTGACCTTGATCATGCCAGAGCCATCTCTGGAGATGAGGGCAGCTACACCGCCCCAAGGAACAAGCTTCATCTTGATGCATGCTGGATCACTCGCCATTTTCCCTACTTTGGTCCTACTGCTTGTGCAAGACGAACATACGAGCCAGGTTTCCGATTTTTGAGTTGCCCTCAGAGCGTTCTTACTCAGAATCTTGACCAGGTAATCGGATGCCACATCGCTGTATTCCAAAGAACCAGACTTGAATTTTGCCCTTGATGAGATGACTGATTGTGCTATTGCTCTCCTGCCCTGCCTGAGCTTTTCATCCATGTTGTCTATACACACCTTCCAGAGTGTAGCAGGTTCTTTGGCATCAGCAGGGTAATGCAGACATTCAATCGAGTGGACGCTTTTCAAAAACAGCAACGTGTGTGCACAGTCCTCGTAAAATTCCTCAAGGACAAGTCTGAGCTCACTCGGGCTGCAATGATGACTTGATAGCCGACTATGGCTAGCCTGCTCCGAAGTTCGCAAAGGGAGCCTAAAGAGTGTCCCATTGAAGGCTTTGTCAGATCGAGCTCCAAAATTAAAGTAAGGAGCTATCTGATCGGGGTAGTTTCGTTGAATCTCTTCTGACAGAAAGTTGATCCTTTTACCTGGATTTGCCGGGTTCACGTTGGGTAGATATTTCGCTTGGGGATCAAACATCACAATCGACGACCTTGACAGGAATGTAGGAAGCTCAGTCAAGTGGTAACATGAGTTGAAGCCTATGCCAAACCGCCCCCTGCAATCATATCAGAAAGAATGCATTTGGAGGGTTATCAAAAGCACGTTTTGGTTGGATGAGCTTGTTTCGACGACTGACCAATCCTCTGGATACTGTCGAAGTCTTCATCGGAGAAGACAGCATCATTGTAAACGAGTAGAGATGATTGTTGAAACTGTCCAAGTTTCGGATCTGCCAGAGAGCTAGAGGGGAAGCTCCGTTCATCCAGACAGATCTTGATTTGCTGAGCTCCGGCATCGTCGGCATTCTGTATGAACTCTTTGAGGATTGTTGCTCCAGGTGGATAGTTCACCAGGATCTCTCTTATTCGTCCTGTTAAGTCCACTTGCTGCCCAAAGTCTTCGCCAAACCCCCATCCTCCGTCTCCTCGCTCCCGTCCTGCAACCCCCACAGCTCCCGCCATTTCCCCGAAACAGCTTCACTACTGCCGTCACCTGCAAACAACGTGACTGGCCCGCCTCAGAAGATAAGCGCTCCGGCCCGGGCCGTCCCGGCCGACTGTACTCACGGAGTACTAGTTTTGAAGTCCTTGAGCACCTTGGTCACGGTTGATTTGAAAGTTTCAGTGAGTTCATACCAAATTTTATTACAAAATTTAAAATATAACTGAAACAACTTACAAAATAAATGACAAATTAGTTGTGGTTTTCATACCCTCACGGCAAACTCGGTCAGCACGTGCGTTCTGGGGTGGGCAGTGAGGAGGAGGGGGTGTTTGCCCTAGGAACGAGGGGTGTGAGGATCTGAATTGTGAGGGGTGGTTGGAGGATCATGCGGCGACGAGATGGAATGAAAGAAATCAGCAGTGCGAGAGAGGTTTGAGGGAAGAGGTTTAGAGGTAGATCATGGCATGGTCAAGTACAATGTAGCAGAAACATCTGTACCTATTGTAGCATACAAGAACCATTCAAAGTTAGATCGATCTGCAAGGAAATGTTCGCTAGAATCTTTCTGCGACATCCGGTTGCGTGCAGAGTCTAGCATGTTTTAACGGGGGGCCAAGGATTCGGCTCTTGCTAGATGTTGCTAAGTTCAAAGAAGATCATGCTTGTGCATTCTTTTTCCTGTTGTGTCTCTGTCTCCAAACATACTGAACAACCGCTGCTGTTATTACAGAACGGAGTCAGCCAAGGAGTTTGCATCAAACTTTCGTGAACCTATATAAGTCATGGTCTGGCGTGGGGGAGGCGATCAGCGTGGTGGAAGAGGAGGAGGGCGTGGAGGAGGGCGTGGAGGAGGGCGTGGGGGCTTTGGTGGAAGCCGAGGCATGGATGAGGGTCCACCAGACACTGTCATTGGTAATTTTGCCATCAAGTTTGACGCTTGTCCCTTACCTTCATGTTATTTTAGAGGCCGGAAAGTATGTCCATGACTGTGAAGGAGAGATGGTCATCGATGCCAGCCTCGAGAAGGTTATTTCCGAAACACATGCCCCCGTCGCCGTACTGATGTCTGTTTTCAGGTTCCCTACTTCAATGCTCCGATCTACCTCGAGAACAAGACCCAGATCGGGAAGGTAGAAGAGATCATGGGACCTATCCACAAGTACATGTTCTCTGTCAAGACAGTTGAGGGTGTCGTGGCGTCTTCATTCAAGGCCGGTGACAAGGTGTACATCAACCCTCAAAAGCTCTTGCCGCTGGAAAGATTCACTCAACCGAATCAGCCTCGTGGAGGAGGAGGAGCAAGGTAACAATCGTGTACTGCTTTTCCTCATTTCTCAAGTTGTCTTTCAGGGGCGGCAGAGGTGCGCCAAGAGGCCGCGGAGGAGGTGGGACTCCTCGGGGTCGTGGAGGCGGAGGATTCCGTGGACGTGGATCTCCTGGAGGCCGTGGAAGTCCAGGAGGACGTGGCCGTGGGGGATTCGGTCGTGGAAGGGGAAGAGGTGGATAGACTGGACTCGATGGTTTCAGTGTGTATCCTTTCTTTCTGGTTGGGGCCTTGCGCAATGGTCAGTGGAGAAGCTACATACCGCATATGTTCAATGATATCAGACGATGTTACGAACTCAGCATACACCAGTTTGTAAAGTAATCTATACTTTGAAGCTCTGACAATACCTGCAAAGTCATTTTATCCGTCAAGGCGTCACAGACTTGAAGTCAGATCAAATATTTTCTCAGAGCATTGCAGAGGCTTTAGTTAATTGTTGGCTTCCTTAACAATTCTAAGTCAGTTTGTCTGCCTCGTGAGTGTTTAACTTTTGAATAAAACTTGCAAAAAGCAAAGGAACAGCAAGACCCAGAGGAGCGAAGAAATGATGTACAGCCAGCCATCCTCGTAGGTCATGACGTGTTCCTCTTCTTACCAGAGATGAACACTATCAAACAAGAGTGTGAGATTTGCAAACCCAGGAGCGCGAAAATTTCCAGGCACAGGATGAAGACTCGCATGCCAGGCTGAGCTGAAGGACAATACCAAACGAGGTAGACGTGCAAGGGACTGCTGAGGACGCTCAAGCAGGTGAAAGTTTGAGCGATCAAGATCAAGCTTTCCTCTTTTTTCAGCGGCAACGAGCCGCCCGAGTACACTTTAAACCATGAACATATCAAAGAAATCAAACCCGAAACAAGAAGGGAGACTAGTGACGCATCGTGAACGACGTCATTCCACCCGATATAGTTCCACCTTTGTTTGACAGGATCCAGAGCATCGCAGCTCATGGGCACAAAAGCAGCAGTCAAGAGCGACACACATGCAATGAATGTCGATGCTTTCCATAACCAACTGCCTTCTGCGTTTATCCAAGATATCAAATTTGCAACTCCTGTCAGGAGCAGGATCAGTTTGATCAGGGTAGCATCATGGTTTGTGGATAGGAATCCTTTGCCCTCGCACCATACTGAGGATATGACGCATCCTCTCCAAGTTTCGTGCTGGATCAGGTGAGACGTGCACAGCAACATGGCCAACAGAACGAGAGCGCATGCGCAACATGCGCTTGTTGCCTCCACCCGCATGGCGGGAACACCAGAAGTTTAAAAGTTTCCGCAGAAATTTTGATTCAAACCTTGAAACTTTGAAAGTTGTAGAATCTTACCCTTCGCTATGGGCTGCTACAAACTGAAGTGCAGCGCAAGCGACAGGCGGAAGAAGAAGAGAGTGGGGGGTGAAGAGAGCGTGAAGGAGGATGTAGCTAGTGGATAAGACGGTGATGGCTGTAGCAGATCAGAGCAACAGCATCAGTCAAGGGCGGGGGGGGGCTGAGCGAGGAGGGCCCGGATAAGACCCCCCGAGAGGGAGGCCATGCAGACACGAATGAGCAGCTTCAGGAGGGACGCGATCACAAAAGAGCTCTTCCTGCTCCTTCTCTTCGCAGGATTCGTCATGGTGGCGAACTCTGAATGCAGCAGAGGAAGCATGGGCGTCCTGGTGGAAAGTCTCTACTCTGGCGAGTTCGGCCAGTCGGCAAAAGGTGGAGGATACGGCAGACCCCCCACCCTCGTTGCGACGTCTAGGGCGCTGTTCTTGGCAAGCCTGTATGGCCTCCTGCCGCGCATAAACCAAGAGAAGGCGGCTGAGTTCGTGATGGCGGCCACTGGTTGGAACCAGCGCAGTGCTGGGCACGAGGAAACAGACGAGGGGGCAAGACCAGTCGCAGGAAGCCTTGAAAAGGTAGAGGATTTCTATGCTGCCATCCTCTGCTTTCAGTACCTTAACATCCCCTTGCCCGAGCTGGCTGAGTTGTCCTCGTACTTTCGAAGCATGTGGGATGAGAAGAGCAGCCTCTTCGGGCCCTCGCCGGGACAGCCAGGGGACGTAAAGTCTTCTGCGCTGCTCATGTTGGCTGCCGAGCAGTTCGGGAAGCTGCATGACCTGCAAGCTGAAGCATCGAGAATCCGGCAGATGCTCAACAACTCCATGGACGCTTCAGGCTCCTGGTTCAGCCTTCCCAAGGAGCATGTGGGAGGGTCAAACGTGATCACAGCCAACTACTATGCCGTCCTGCTAGCAAGGAAGTGTGCGTTCGAGTTTCAGAACGCAACTGCCATGGCCAACGCTATCGTGAGTTTCCAGCAGCTGGACAAGTCGTTGCCCAAGTACGGAGGGTTCTACGGCGACCCGTCCAAGAGTTTCATCTCGCTGGAGACAACGGTCTACGGGGTTGCGACCCTTCAATTGCTCTCCATGCAGTCTGCTCAGCATCAGAGCGGCTCGCAGACAAATCAGACTTCAGACGGCAACTCCTCCGATTACTCCGAACGAGCAAGTAGAGACGTGGGTGCTATCTTGGCCAGGAGTTTGGACCTCAACGCACTCGTCTGCTTTCTGGGCAAGGCACCCACGGACCTCAAGAGCGCCTTCTTGGTTCACCTGGCCCTCTCTTCAGTCCCTTCCCTCCTCCTTCACTCCTTTCAGACCGCCATCTCTTACGAGTTCGAGTGCTCTGACAAGCAGCTGCAGCAGACGCTGACTGGGAATGTCCTCCAGGCTGACGCGCTGTCGGCTTGCCCCTTGTCAGAGATGATGTGGTCAGTACGGGCAGGGAGCAATCAGATCGTTCAAGGGACTTCCATCCGCCCGGAGTTGGCTGTCTCCACCTTCCGCGGGCTGCCTCACAGTGGGCTGCAAGTGAGATTGAGTGCTTCATACTTCGGTGGACACAAGGGGGCGACGCAAGTCAAGCTGCTCCAAGACGTTGACATGCCATGGAATGTTGAAACTCAGAGCTACATCGCAAGGTGAAACTCCCATGTTGCCTCATACCCCGTCCTCAAGATGTCTCTTGCAGTGAACTCGTGCAAACATCGGATTTTGTGGGAAAGTTGAAGATAGAAATCACGGCAAAAAGCGAAGTTCCTGGCTTGGGTCAAATTTCATTCAGCGTAGAAGACACGAAACTTGTATTCGGGTGACGATCGCGCGAGTCTTTGCTGACACTCCTGCTTTCAGATCGGGTATGGCCTCAGCATCTCCTCGCAAGCAATGGCAGACGGAAAACAAGTTCCGGTCGGTGGAGATGTGAAGTTAGGGAGCAACTTCAGCGTCGGGCTGGTGATGTTCAATGCAATCAACGGCAACTTCCTGCAAGGGAACTTTCTCATTAAGTTTCGCGTGCTCGATGCCTCCCTTCTCACCATGGGCATCCAGTGGTTGAACGGTGTACTCGACCTGCCGCTCCTCGTCACTGACAGCACGTGCAGGAACCAAGAACGAGGATCCGATCCGATTCAACTACTCCTTGAGCAGCGAGGCTCTGCTTCCCTCTGGGAGGCTCCACTTTATCATTGAGATCGTCGACCCTGAGAGCGGCCAGGTGTTCTATAAAGTCGGGGAAGGAGACGGTAACGGTAAACTCGCAGGTCCATACCAACACTATGCTGTGGTACAACCTGAAGCAGCAGATGGTGGCAAGCAACATCACAATCGACAAGAGGAACGCGTCTCTGGGCGACACAGTCACCGTCGAGATGATCCCAGGGATCATGACAGAAGATAATCACTTCCGTCCGTTCACTTCCCGAACAGCAAAGCACAGGAAGTTTGTCATGGAGCTCATCTCTCCAACTGAAGATGTTGGGCGCCGCATCGAAGGCGTGCTGTCCTCAGGAGAAAACATCTCCAAGTACACCTTTGTCCGTAAGGTTGAAACCAACCTCAGGTCGCTGGGGGAGTACAGTGTGACCTTCCGATTTCTCTCGGCCCATCATGCCGGCACTCCGCAGATGCTGAGGAATTTTTGTGGCTCTGCAGCAGCCGATGAAAACATGTCGGAGGCGATCTGCGAGCATTTGAAGTTCAACGTGTCGGCCAACCTGCGGGTTGAGATGATCAAGAGCAACCCTGTTGCCGGGGGCACCATCACCTTCGGATCGGAGCTTCTGTTCGCCTTCAAAGTGATCGAGACTTCCACTCAGGTTGAGGTGCAGGCGAGTGGTGAAGACGCAGCTCGGGTGCTTCTGTACATCTTTGACTTCTCCGGGGAAATCTGCCAGCATCGCATCATTGCAGGCTCGAGCAGCGTTGAGCGAGAACGAGTCCCCTTGCCTGCTACCAACGCTTCGGAGGAACACTCGGCAAACTTGAACTCGTCGGGAGTGCAACGAAGCAACGGAGAGTTCGTCGTGCGATGGACTGTGGGGCCCAACACGGTGTTCGGGAAGCTGATCCTGAGACTCAAGATGCAGGTCAGTGTCTTGTTCTCACTCGCTCCATCATGAATGAATGACTAGGTGGTGGATGGAGTTGATCAAGACCTGTTGAGCGCGGAGACTGAAGAAGCTTGGAAGTACGAGGTTCATGTCGGGGGGGAAGTGCATGGAACGATCCTCTCTGTCTACACTAGGCAGATCATATCCACCCTCGATCCGATCTCTGACAACCTGCAGTGCAGTCAGCTCACCCTGAGCCTGCAACAAGATGCGTTTATGTACGCGATCAGGCTTTACTTGTCGTACTTGGGTGTTGAGTTCAAATACGCTCAGAGTATTCAGGATCACTCCAACAAATTCTTGGCTCGCATGTCTCCAATTAATGTACCGATCATCGAAAGCATTCGCGTGCAAGTCGCAAACATGCCAGCGAATGCTTCGACTCTGTTGAGTTTTTTCAAGTCGAGCTCTTCGCCAGTCGTAGTGGATTGGGTTTTACATCGAGGCAGCCTGCTAGCTGCATCTCTGCAGGAAGCTTTTTGCCGGCTACTACAACGTATCCAGATCTGGTGGAAGACCTTCAAAGAGCGTGTGGCCAGCGAGCGATGGGCGTTGTTTGTCATCAACTTTCACCTGGAAAGTGAAGGAAAGAATTTCACTGGTGCCACATTACTCGCAGATTTGAAGGTGAACAACGCAGTATCTTGCTTTCAATGATCTTTGCAGCAGTACCGTCCTACTTTGCAAGCACAATGGAAGGGGATACAGGATTTTTCGGAAATCCCTGTGTTGTATGAGAATGATGGGAGGTATCAGGTGAGACTGTTTGAAATCTCTCCGACCTGTGCTTCGGTCTACACAGCAATCGAGTCCTCACCTTCAATGTGAACAGGTCAGCTTCTCACTCCCCATCGAAGTCGTCCGGTGAGTCTCTGTTGCGACCCCTCGGACGGAACGTGACCTTGGCCTCGTGTCTCCCCGGCATCAGGAACGGACACTATCGCATCAACATCCGTCGGCTTGTGGACCTGCAGGCCGAGACGTTGCAGCTTGAAAGAGTGAGAAAGAAAAAGGATGACGCTGACCTCCTGGCCCTCCGCCGCGGCCTGCCAGTCATCGAGACGGACACCCGGCAGTCAGACCGGCCCAACGATCACGAGCAGGTGGATGACAAGGTCAACCCGATCTTTCACATCGTAAGATCTTACACTTGTCCTATCTTGCACTCAACCGGATGTGCAGGACGTCGTGTACGAAGAAAGTTCGATCTTCTACACGTTATTGACCAAAAGCCAGCGGCTGCATTTGGGTATACTGGTAACATCGTCGACATGTCCCTTGCCTAGTCTGATTCTCTTGTCGACAGTGTTTCATCTCGATCTACGTTCTCTGCTCCCTCCTCCTCCTCCGAGCCATCATGTCGATATTGAGCATCGCTTCCTTCAAAGGCTCTCCTAAAACCAGCCACAAGGTTGGAAAGCACAAGAAGAAGAACAGGTTCGCCTCTGCTCCTCCACTGCCTGTCGTTGACTTGAGGACGCAAGGGCGCGGAGAACTCTGAGCCCTCAAAACGAGATGATCACGGGACCTGCTCCAATTGCAAACAATGAAGAAGATCTGCCCTCTTCAAATATGGAGGCGGGTTCTGAAGAGATGGACTTGAGTTTGCAAGGAGTCCAAGGTGAAGATTTCTTTTATGCAAGCAACATGTAAATAAAGCACAAGTCTAGTCTATCAAGCATCATATGCATTCTCACAGGGCTGGATAAAGAGCATCATCTTTCCCAGCCTTTCTCTGCCTTTCCTCATATTTCCTCATGAACAGCTGGCGCTGACTGAGATCTGCGAGCTCCTCCTCCCTTGCGGACAATTTCATCCGCGCGACTCCAACTTCATCGAGTCCTTTGGCGTTGTCGTCGTTGTGAGTTTGAAGTCCTCTAGAGAAGTTATGTATCTGACGAATGTCGGCCTCATATATCCCTCCTTTGGTTCCGCTCATACTCCCTCTCTTCAAGCACAGCACCCAGTCAGCTGGTTTGTTTGCGGCAGTCTTGCCATCTGGACTATCTCTGCTGCGGCTGAGCTGATAGATCTGACCGGCCTGTAAATGCCGTTTGATCCTCATCAGTTCGTGCTGCCTCTCATCGTCCAACCCGTAAGTCTTCTGCACCATGTCCTGGCTCTCGTTGGGGTAGAGATACTGGAAGGCCTTGCGGTTTCGTTGGTACTCTTGGCGGATCTTGTCGTAAGCTCTGTCCACGTCGATACCTGGTTTCAGCCCAAAGGATTTCCTCTTCTTCTCGCTGCTGTTCTCAGAACTTGCCGAGACGTTCTGCATTGCAGGAGCTTGGAAATTGTGTATCGAAATGCGTTCCTGCTTTCGACGGGCTTCTCCGTTGCACATGTCACAGCAACTTGCACTGTTGCCCATCTTCACTCGATCAAACGCGTGGAGGAGTCCTCGTCACTGTTGTAGAAGCAGGTTGTAGAGAGCTGATGATTGTTATGGATGACGCAACACCTTTGAGACTCCCACAGATAATATCCTGCGACCGTGCGATGTGACAACGAAGTAGAAGATGCGAAGCTAGGATGATGCCCAACGATCAATTCATTTCCCCATCCTCAGATTGCGTAAAACTGAATCTTCAAAGTCAGCACTGAGCAAGAAAAGGAAGCAAGAGAAATAGGTGGGTACAAGAACTCGGAGCATGAAAGCGGCAAATCTCAGTCTAATTCTCAGGATTGCACTCTAACATCTTCATCTCATGAGCATGCAGGAGTTCCTTCAAACATGTTTCCGAAAGTTCTTTCTCTTATCACTTGCAGCGCCTCATCGCTCGCATGGCTGCCGCGCTCCCTTCTCCCCTCTATCCTCCCAACCATCGCACGGAAAGATCCGCATCTCCGACCTCAGTTGGTTCGCCCCCACCCCCACCCCCCACACAGCGAGCCTCGGAGGGCAATTTGCTGACACTACCCCCGATGCACTGGACCCCTACGGTGTTGCAATGATCGATTATTCAGTTTACCCCTCTCACAAGGGGTACAAAGAATTTAAGGGGGGTACCATAATTGCCGGCAGTTCGAGGTACCCCACCCTTCCCTCCTTCTACACTTTTCCGGACCTACTGGCCACCAACTTCTCCAACCCCCACCCCCCCCTCTAAAGGGATTTTCGGGGTACTGCAGGGCCGCAAGTCTTCCCAACAAGTTGACTACCTTGTGCCATCATCCGAGCCGCCAAGTTCCGTCGGCCACCCCCACCCCCACCCCCACAACTTTGGCAACATCAATCCCGAGAGGACCCACCCCCAGCTGCCTGAGGCAGGCTGTTGACTTCGAGGCTGATGACCCGGCAAAGGAGCCTTCTCAAGGCTTCCCCGGCATGAGAGCAGGGTGGGTACCCTTACCCACCCCAGGAATCTCATTGCAGAACTCCGAAAACTTCACCTCCTTCCATGGCAAGTTCCTTGCGTCATGAAGTGTGAGAGTCCACCGTCCGTCCAAGCCGGACCACCCCCACTACCCCCATCGCTGTTGCCCGCGGCCACAGATCACGCTGTTCAAAGCCTGGCATCCCGGTCCGGGGGCCGCTCTCGGGTACGTTCTTGGTAGCGGCGGGCGTTGAAGGTTTATTTTTACTCAACTTGGCAACGCGTTCCGCCGGTCACCTGTACCGGCGGGTCTCCTGACTGTCCCCGTACTGATTTTTAACTTAACTGAGGAGCCGGGAGTCCGGGTCAAGCCTCCTCCGAGTCAGTCTACTCTCCTGCCATCCTGTCCTCGTACCGTAGTACTGATTTTTAATCAACTTTGAGTAAGCGGCCGGGCGTGCGGTCACCGTACTGGCCACGTGACCGGCAGGCTTACTCTTGAAAGCCGGCCCGGTGCCAGTAAACTCAGCCACGAGTGAAACCCTTTACTCAAAGTTAAGCCTTAAATGAAAGTTTATTACTCAAAGTTGAGTTAAACTTGAATCAGTACGGGCCACTCACGGTGACTTGAAAGTTGCCAAGATCCTGATCGGACGGAGACGCCGGGTCAGTGAGTGACTCTCGGGCCTGATTGTCCTCGTACTGATCTTTAACTTAACTTTGAGTAAAGATGTGCTGTCAGTGACGGACCGTCGATCGGACTGAGTTCGGAAGTTGGTTGGGAGGTTCTCCCGCCAAATTATCATGGCTGTGAGGCTCGTCGATTGCTCGTCCGAGGACGACGGGCATAGAGGCGGCAATGCGCTGCAGCAGGAGGCATACGTCAAGTGGCTCCTTGCCCGAGGAGTGAACCAAGGCTGCCTCGTGCTCCAGGTGGAGCCGCCGTCCCCGGTTTATGGCATAGAGATCCTAAACGCGGGAGCGCAATTCGTTGAAGTGCAAGGAAGCGAAGAAGAAGAGGGGGAGGAATGGAGGAGCCTGATGAGAAAGGCACTCATGCGAACGGAACTTGAATTCAAACAGGAGAAAGGGGTTGACAGGTCTCGAACATTCACATGTGGTGATTCAAAAGCAAGTCTTTTACCTTGCTCCTCGACAAAGAAATGGTGCAGGTTGAAAGTGACAGTGTCCTGTTTGAGTGAGCTGCTTGAGCCTGACAAGATGATTGGTCTTGCTTCCGTCAAGATTCGGACAGAAGAGCATCAGTCGATCCCTGCCGTTCCTGCTTCGCCTGACAAGAAACCCATGGAGGCAATGCAGGAGTCGCCATGTAGCGTCGATCAGCACAGCTCAACATTCACGGCAGGAGCGACGAACAATGCCGAAACCAGCCGCCATAGTGCAGCTACACCGCAAACAAATCGTGCCCGTGATAGCTCGCGATCAGGAAGCAATTCATCGACGTCTCCAGGCCAAAATGATCGATCCGTGGGAAAGAATTCGGGTGGGCAGGTAGCGAAGAAAGCAACAGATGCCCTGGACTTGACGCAACCGTCTCAACGAAGCAGCAAACAAGCATCGACTGAGGATAGGAAGAACAACAGTGAAGCAGGAAAGAGATTGAAGCCAAATGCCAGTGCAGAGTCAGAGAAGAGTCAAGAACAAGCTGCAAAATCATCCGCTAAGAGAAGAAAAGAGGGCAAATCTGCGAATATTTTGCCGCTCAATGGAGTATACATCTCAATCAGTGGGATCGAAAACCCAAGCCGAGCACAACTAAGAGAACAAGCACTTTCGTTGGGAGCTCGGTATGCTCCGCAGTGGTTGTCGGGTTGCACGCATCTCATATGCGCCTTTCCCAACACGCCGAAGTACAGGGAAGCGAAGAAGGATGGAGGTGTGGTTGTTGAGGCTTCTTGGTTGAACGATTGTGCACGAGAACAGCGAAAATTGCCAACAAGCAAGTATGAGATGTAATCACAATCCGACCAGACGGCAGGGTCACCTAATCATAGCCAAAGTACAGAATGTACAAAAGAATTCGTCACAGGGATTAGAGGGAGAGGATAGACTCGTCCGCAAGATGCGCCAAGATGTCCCCGATGAGATAAAGAGATCCCGTGCCTGATAAAATCTTTCAGCGTCTTTCCATCCCGCCGGTTGCTCTCACATAGAACTTCAAAGGGATATTTTTCGCCCTTGTCTTCCAGGAACGAGCAGGCAGACCGGATCCCCTCCAACGCTTCGGATATGCTCTGAGCGATGGCAACGTTGGGCATGTCGCTGTCACTCTCGTCCAGGATCTTTTGCTGCTCATCGTCAGAGATCGGTCAAGCATGACGGACCTCCGCGCGTACCTTGATAGCCTCCTTTGAATGCACCAAATATGCATCTTGACCTAGCTCACTCTCAGCGTCCTCAGCAAAACACTTCCGCCATTCCAGCACGAGCTTCTCCTGCCAAGAGTAGTCCACCGCCTTTCCCAAGTGTAAGAACACGGCACAGAGAGTCAAAGCCGGACCTCAGCACTCTTGGCTACTGACGACAATGAGGAGTCGTTGGGTAGGAAGAGCACAAGGTCAAAGAGGTTTCTCTTCCTGTCTCTGCAAGGGCACGGAGCACTGCAGCTACACTGCCGGTAAGGGCGGACAAGCTTCGCAAGCGGCGAGAGCAGGTTCTGCGCGATCCTTCCGCCGGTGGTGTTGAACAACAAGATGGTCTTGAAGGGGGCGCATCCTTGAGGCCGAGAGTGGCCGTAGGCTCTCGTCAGCGCCTCCTCGAACCACAAGCTGCAGCACTTGAGGCTCTCCTGGGTGTGAGCCCCGTCGAGGAAGACTCGCGCCCCCGGCAGGCCAGGGAGACTGTCAAGCACCTTCGAAGGGTGTCAGAAGTCTCAGCTGGGAGAGAGACGCAGATAGATGAGAGCTAGTCAATGTGAGGAGAAGGAGAGGGGGAGGAGAGGAAGGGACAAGAGCTGGGCAATGGAGGGGACGAACGTAGAGGACCTGCGCTCTGCCTGGCCATTTCGTGTTGGCTAGGCTGGTCAACTCTATGTCATGTAGAGGCATCTTGACTGGGACCAGGTGGCTCGAAGGAGTCGATTTCTTCGGCTCCCCTTCCTCCGTATTCCACCCGTTTCCGGAAATCGTCGGAGATTGGCCCCAGGGCTGAATACGTGGGTCCTGCCACAACTTGCTGCACGCAAATTTCCATTTCGCCACAGAAGCGTCTTGGGTCCAGTCCTCCTGCATGCGAATGGCAAACATGCGGACCAGAGCGATGGCTAGAGAGGCGTTCTGCCGCTGGAAAGACCCATGTAGACCGAGGCAGATATTCTCGTACTTGCCGACATCGTAGTCTTCTATCCTCGAAGCTACATACAGCGGGCATCCAACTGCCGCTGCCGTGTCCTCCAATGCATCTTGCGCTTCAGAATTCTGGTCATAGACAGTGATGGCAGGGACACCTCGCTTGAAGATCCCTGCCTTCTGCCGCGCGATCTTGTCGAGGGTATCGCCGAGGATAGCAACATGGTCATAGTCGAGCAGCGTTACTCCACAGACAACAGGATGAGGGAGGACGTTGGTTGAGTCCTTGAGCCCTCCTAGCCCTACCTCGACCACCGCCACGTCCACCTGCTCCTTCTGGAACACGTAGAACCCAAGGACGGTGAGGAAATGAAAGTAATGGAGGCTGCTGCCGTACGACCCCGACAGAGCCTCGTGTACGTCCCAAAAGTAATCAGAGAACTTTTCCTTGGATAGAACAGCTCCGTTGATCCTGATTCGCTCCCTCACGTCTATCAGGTGGGGCGAGGTGAAGAGACCCGTCTTCAGCCTGGAGGTTCAACGACATCAGATTGTCATCTACAGGAGCACAGGACCAGAATCAAGACACGAGAGCAGCATAAACGTCAAGACATCTTTCAAATCATTCGTTTCCTCCACCCAGTTGCAAGTCAATCTGATATCCTGCCCAAGATTTCTCACCCTGTTGTTCGAAGAAGTCGCTCCACGAACGCCGAGGTCGAGCCCTTGCCCTTCGTTCCTGCTATGTGAACAGTCGGCAGGCGGAGCAAGTCGATGCCCATCAGCCTATTGCTCATCGTTATCGCACCATCACTCAGCGCCTAGCCTCCTCATCTGCCCGCGACCTCCCTACTTTCTCATTCCCCATCCTCCAGTTCCTGCAACGACCTGCCACCCTTCGCACTCTTACCTGCAACATTTCTCCACATCTTCGAGCGTCCCGTGTTCTTGTCCTGCTCTTCCTGCTACGATGTAGCCTGATAACGCTTCCACTGCAGCTTCCATGCCACCCTCCCTCCCCTCCCTCCCACGCCTCCCTGCCATTGTGATGTCCCCCGTCTAGCCTCTCAAAAGTTCAGACTGGGGGAATGTTTACGGCACTGAAGAGCGGGCCGGGCCCCGGCGCCGCCTGCCGAGCGGCACCGCTCAGGCCGCCCGGCCGCCGGGGCGATCACGCCCGGCCGCGACTCGCGCGGCGCTGTCCCGGTCCCCCGCCTGTCACACTCAGTGCGAGTGAGCGGCTTCCGCCGGACTCCGGGACAGTCGGGCACCGGGCCGCGGTTCGGACTGGCTGCAAGGGCCCGGCCGGATTGGCCGGCCGGGAGGCGGCTTGCGGCGCCCGGCGCTGTGTTGATGAGCCAGCACGTGCATTGAAAAGTTCTCGAAGCCCGGTAAAAGTTCCGAAAGAGTATCGTGATCGTTTCTCCGGACCATGGCTGCTCCTCCGTGGCCTCCCAGTCGCGATGGCCTCCATGCTCCGCAAGCAGACCCTCTGCCTCCTCTTCTCCTCTACCCTGGCCTTCTCGCCTTCTCCCTCCTTCTTGTGGAAGGCCCCAGCTCTCCAGCGAGCGAGCCTTTCTCTCAGAAGCCCGGTAAGCGCAAGCAAACATGCCGAAATGGCGCGGGAGGCACCTCGACCGAGTGGCCTCCTTTGCCTTTCTGTACGAATTTCTGACTATGTGCGGGTAGAGATTGTTCTCGACGACAAGCATGCAAATGGACAAGATCAATGACAAGAAGCTCTTCGTGTCCGGCATCCCCTTCGCTCTCAGCAGCGAAGATCTTCGGGAGGTTTCTCGCGAGTCCATTCATCTCCTCCCCCTGACATCTCATGCAGACGTTTGAAAAGTTTGGGCCCGTGGAGGACTCGTACGTAGTCAAGGATCGTGAGACTGGCCGGTCAAGAGGCTTTGCGTTCATCACCTTCTCCTCCAAGGAGGCTGCCTCGCAAGCCTGCAGCGCGTTGAATGAATCAGATCTTGGAGGAAGGACCGTTAAGGTTTCCTTTGCCAAGGACAGGGATGATCAGCCTAGGGGAAAGCAGGACCGTCCTCGCAGAACCTTCAAGCCTCGTGGCTCCAACAACGACGAGTGATCGGTGGCGAGCGGTAGAAGAAGTTAATTCATTGACTCGCCGTGGCCGATTAAACTTTTCAAACGTGCCCGATGTTGTTCCCTTTATCTTTGAATCTTTCACTATCATATCAGCTGCACACTCTCACACGCGTGCTTTCCTCGACCTCTCAGCTCCCACATCTTGAGCCGACATGTTTCTCCTGTCTCTTTACCTGAGAACAACCTCGAAACGAGCACAAGACGTCACCTGGCCGTTGAAAGTCTTCAAGCAGGGGAGGACCGAGAGCAAAAGGAGGCTCCTCCAGGTTCCAGGGCTTCGTCCTCGTCTCTTCCTCTCCTCCTCCCTCCTCGTGACTACAGGAAGGTCCTCTGCCATGGTTACTCAAGTCTGCAGTAGTGCCTGAGTTTGAAAGCGCTGCAGGCCGGATCAAGAAATACCCATGTTGGAGGACGAAGAGCAAGAAGTAGCGATGAGATATGTCGATCCACTGCAAACGATGTTTCGAAGAGCCTCCACAACAAGTCACGAGGCACGTGAGAGTGATGGAAGATTCACCTTGAACGCCTGATAAAGTGACATGTGCTGGAAAACATTTCGACACAAGATCACATCGAACCGGCTGCAAGACCAAACATAAGGCCAAGAAACAATACATCCCCTCTCAACCGTCTGATAGGAATGTCTACAACATCCTGCCGCAAGGCAACCAGTGAGGGGCAACAATTAGCCATCGCCAAGATATACGAAATTTCCAACGCACCCAGAGGTAGAAACGCAGCCCCAGCTCCTTGTTCCTCCGATCCTCTCTCGCAGCTCCCACCGCTCGTGGAGAGATATCAAGTCCGGTGTATCGCAGCTGCTCCGTTGCCCAAGAGCCAGGCCGGATGAAAGAATCAGCACCAGCACCAGCACCAGCACCAGCACCAGCACCAGCACCAGCACCAGCACCAGCAGCGACAGGAGGGGAAGGAGGGAGAGGGGGGTGGAGCAGCAGAAACTATCAAGATCGATTCTAGTCACCTCGCGATAGGCGAAGAGCCTCCACTGCCATCTTGCATCCCCACAACCGACGTCCAGCAAGGATCGAACCTTTTGACAACCTGTTCGTCACATTCTGCTGTAGCTTCCCCAGCTCACCTGTAGCTGTGCAGTTGCGTTGTTGAGGAACTCCAACGTCGCAAGCATATCCTGCACGAGACACTGACAACTCAAGCGTTCTCCCATCCTCCGCCCACCTCCTCCTTGACGGCTGAAACTTGAGTTCGCTGACTGTCAGTCAGGAGCAAACCTCCCTCCTGCCCCCTCCCTCCTTACCTCAGCTTGCTTCATCCTCTCGAAGATCCTGTGGCTCCGACCTCAACATCTTGGTGAGTCCCAGCATCCCCAGCAATCTGATACATCACCGGAGAAGATAAGGTCTATCAGATCTTCTCGCTCCTTCTCGCTGCTTCCTCCTCCTTCTCCCTCGTCGTCTGGAGCATGGGATATGTTCTGAGACCATCCCTCATGATATTCCCCATCCTCTGCAAACATACGGAAAGGCCAGCTTCTCTCCCGGACCTGACCCTCCTCCGTATACTCGTCGACAAACAACCAGACTTGTCGCATGCTCAAAGAGGGCTTCTCCTTGCCATCCCTTCCTCCTTCCATCAGCGAGATTTGTATCCAAGGCTTCCCCCCCTCGTACAGAGCGTGCAGGCCCGGCAGAGGAGCAGGCACGACGTCCTCGAAGTTTACCTCACTCAGCGTCGTCTCACTTAGCAGGTCGTTTCGGACGATTATGGCATTGATGGCATCGGCGAACATGTAGATCATCCTGTACCCGTGGAACCTCGCTAGGTTGTCAAGGGCCCTGGCGCTCATGCCGTAGTAGCAGGTGCCATGAGGAAACCCTGCCAAGCGACTTCCTGTCCAGTGCATGTCAGCGTCGTAGGGGACCGTGAAGCTCTCGGAGGACTCGAAGTTTCTGTTGACCTCTGCGATCACAACACGGGGAGAGAAGGAGTTCAAGAGGCTGTCAAGTACCCAGAAGTCGTTGTAGTCGATGTCGATGCTAAGCAAATCAAAGCGTCTCGGAACGCCCTGGGATATCAGCGTCTCCACGATGTTTTCCTTGGTGATGAAACACTTCAACAGAGAAGCGTTTGCATGCAAGGATGTGTTCTCGTGCCCTCCGTCGAGAAGTACAGCTCTCCATCCTTGCTCCTCCCACAGCATCCTCGTGTTGATCTCAGAACCGTCCTCACACCCAAACTCAACCGCAAACTTGTTCGTTGATCCCAGGAAAGAGAAAACCTCCTTCAGCACCCCATCCTCCCCATTCTGGCTGTACACCTTGTTCTCGTACTTGTACAGGTTTGATATCCACTTCAACTCATCCAGCGTCCTCTGCGACCACTGCTCGAGCTCTCCTGACAGCCTTAGAGACTCGAACCTCTGCACCTTTGCTTGCAAGGCAGAGACGTTCTTCACAAGGATAAAGGGCCTCACGGAAGAGCTTTCAATCGCATGGCCATTTTTATCCACAATATCCACTACAATGAGCGGCGACCATGACGAGTTCACCAGAACATTCACGTTCATCTCACACCCGTTCAGTACCCTGGCATGCGGATTGTGCTCCCAGCAATCGCAGGATGTGCCTGAGTGGGAGAGCGATCCAAAACTTGTCAAGATGGTCCAGTCGCTGCATTCCTGAAACCAAGACACGTCAACGAGGCCGTGGACAACAACAAGATCACCTCGCGAGCAAGATTCATGTCCGACACGAAGAACTGCAGGTGAAACCTGCCATCCACTGGCGCTACGATCGTCTGTCCTGCCTTTGGGCTCAAGATGTGAATCTTCCACGCCCATGTGGAGGAAGGGCAGCAGACTAGCAAGAATGCCGCAAGGCTGCAACCAGCCATCCATCGCATCCTCTAGATAGACATTCAATCCCAGCGCATGAGGCACAGGAGAGGTGAAAGAAGGTGGAGCGACCGTAGCACGACTCTCTACCTCTCTTCCCCTCCCTGCTACTTGAATATGCCACCCGCCATTCCAGTGTTCTACACGCCCGGTTCAAATAAAAATACTTTTACCATTGCACTGATTGACTGATCATGGATCAGTCGGATGAAGACTGTAGATATGATACTACTTCGGAGGCTAGGTACTCTACTGAGAGGCAACTTCGCCGAGTCGACTCGGCGCAACTTCCGTTGAACGGTTTCGGAGTTCACAGCCGTCGGGCCGCGGGGCGGGGCTCCCGGGTCCGCCGCCGGGAGACCCGGGCCGGGCGCCGGGCCGGGCCCGGGCCTGAGCCCCGGCGGTCACCCCGCGGCGGGCCCGGGCCCGGGGGGGGGGAGCGCCGCAACTGAGCTACACGGTGACGCCCCGGTCACCGGCACGGTTGAAAGCTCAGCGGCTTGAAACATCCGATCATGGCCCGGTGACACTGAGTACCACTCGGCTTACCGTTGTAGTACTAGTAACGCCGGCACCCGAACTTCACTTGATCGGACGCCGCAGGGGCATACTACGACCGAACGGCGGTACCGTCGGGCCCCAGCTGGCTAAAACTTGAAACGAACGACAAACACTCCCCGGCTGAGATCATCATGGCATGGGACTCGGCGCCGGGATTCCCAGAGTCCCCGGAGCCAAAAGTCAATCCTCGAGATCAGGGGAGTCCCGTTCCCCAACTTTGTGACTGGAGAGTCCCGTCACGGCCCTCTCTGAGCCACCGGGGTACTCTCATAGTGCGGAGATAGGGATCGGACCGGTGGTGAGAGGCGGGGGCCGGGTCCACGGCTTCGCCATGGTTGCCGTTTAACTGGATGAGGCTCAGCCCCGGGCCTTTAGCCCGTCACGCCCGACGTGACGATGAACGGTTTACCACCAGATGCGCCCGAAAGTCCACGCCGGAAGTGGGAAGAGACATTAAGACAGGTGGGGTAGTGACTGATAGGGCAAGACCCGGGACATTGTCCTACTTTCCAGGGGTGTAAGGCTGCCCTGATTCCCCCAGGGGTGGGGGTACCGGAGTGAGTGGAGCTCCCAGGCACATAAAAGGAGGAAGCTTGGCTGCTGTGGAGCATACATTTCGAGCAACGACAGCATGACACCAACCGATATGAGCGCCTTCGTCGAGCTATGGGGCTCCTCGCCCTGCGTGAGCCCCGTCAGCAGCAGCACCAACCTCGTCTGCGACTTCTCGCTCCTCCAGGCTCATCACAGCGACATGGCGTTCCTCCAAGACTGGGAGGCGATGGAGACAAGGACCATGGCGAACAAGCACGCAGAGGAGGAAAAGGAGGAGGAAAAGGAGGAGGAGTCAGCCAGGCGATGCAGGCCAAGCCGAGGCGTAGACGGGGAGAGCAAGCATCACGAGGACTGCGCCCGCGGGGCGAGGGAGGGAAGGTGCAACGCCAGGGACGGATGCTGTACCGCCCCCAGGTGGGGATCTAGAACGAGGGACACGAGAGTACCCAGGGCAGGATGCCGAGCCGGGCAGGGCTCTTCTCTTCTGTGTAAAGCGAGCGGAGGGAGGGGGAGAGGCTTGGTATGTAGTATAGGCGTGTATGCGGATCAATAAACATACCGTCACCCCCTCGTACAGTGATATGAGCTGAGAGTCAACAGGCTCGTAGACGTTTGAGTCAAGTTACCGACTGAGACAGAGCAATCCGGGTGGCTTACCCCATGTCTGATATCAAGTTGTGGCCGAGAGAGCAGAACTCCAAAGCTCACTGACACTGGGCTGTGTCAGGAGCCAGAGCTCGCAGTGACAAGACGAGCCGAGTCCTCACGGTCCACCACGTTGCCTGTAACAGCCATCGCAACGGCCCTGCGGATCGAGCTCTCTCGCCCGTACACACCTGTAGGCGTAGAACAGAGCTATAAACGCTTCTCTCACAGGCTCCAGCCAGGCCTCGTCACTTGCGAACGGCGGCCTTAGCCGCTCACCGTGACGTGCATGCTGCCTTGTATCATACGGCCATCGCTAGCGGCAGTGCTGGACTGTGCTGCCGCACGAGGACCGACACCATCCCTTCAAGAGGAAGGTAAGGGAGTACACAAGGCCCGATGAGGTTGTGAGGGTCTCTACAGTTTCACGGGCACTGAAGTTAGCTGCCAGTAGCCTGAGTCACGGGCAAGTTGGCTGCCCGCGGCCTGTCACTCAGGCTGTGCCGGCTTGATGATTGGAACTTCGGAACCTGTCACTTGATTCAGGCACGGTGCCGAGGGAAAACCGATCAGTATTGATCGCATCATAGTAAACAGATTATGGGATCGGACAATCTTTACTCAAAGTTAAGTCGGATGCCCGGCCGTTGAAGCTTTGACTCTCGCTGACGATCCGATGGTTTGAAAAGAGTTCAAGTGTGTTTCACGACAACCCCTAAGCTCACCCTTTGGTCGATCCAGCCGTAAGCAACCGGTGTCCGTGCCAGCCTAAAGTCAATCCTCGAGATCAGGGGAGTCCCGTTCCCCAACTTTGTGACTGGAGAGTCCCGTCACGGCCCTCTCTGAGCCACGGGTACTCTCATAGTGCGGAGATAGGGATCGGACCGGTGGTGAGAGGCGGGGGCCGGGTCCACGGCTTCGCCATGGTTGCCGTTTAACTGGATGAGGCTCAGCCCCGGGCCTTTAGCCCGTCACGCCCGACGTGACGATGTTTACCACCAGATGCGCCCGAAAGTCCACGCCGGAAGTGGGAAGAGACCTTAAGACAGGTGGGGTAGTGACTGATAGGGCAAGACCCGGGACATTGTCCTACTTTCCAGGGGTGTAAGGCTGCCCTGATTCCCCCAGGGGTGGGGGTACCGGAGTGAGTGGAGCTCCCAGGCACATAAAAGGGGTTCGGCGGCGGCCACCGCGACATCGCTGGCATGGCCGCGCGGGGAACTTGTCCTGCGCGCCGTTAAGTGAAGGTATCAGTTAAGCTTGGGGGACAGCAGTCGGCAGGATTAGGTTTGGTTCTCGCTGTCTTTTCTCTTCTCGCCGTTTGGGCCTGTGCGACAGTGTCAGGGTCAAGCCTCCTCGACTCTCCTGATTGTCCTCGTACTGATTTTTAACTTAACTTTGAGTAAAAGAGGAAGCTTGGCTGCTGTGGAGCATACATTTCGAGCAACGACAGCATGACACCAACCGATATGAGCGCCTTCGTCGAGCTATGGGGCTCCTCGCCCTGCGTGAGCCCCGTCAGCAGCAGCACCAACCTCGTCTGCGACTTCTCGCTCCTCCAGGCTCATCACAGCGACATGGCGTTCCTCCAAGACTGGGAGGCGATGGAGACAAGGACCATGGCGAACAAGCACGCAGAGGAGGAAAAGGAGGAGGAAAAGGAGGAGGAGTCAGCCAGGCGATGCAGGCCAAGCCGAGGCGTAGACGGGGAGAGCAAGCATCACGAGGACTGCGCCCGCGGGGCGAGGGAGGGAAGGTGCAACGCCAGGGACGGATGCTGTACCGCCCCCAGGTGGGGATCTAGAACGAGGGACACGAGAGTACCCAGGGCAGGATGCCGAGCCGGGCAGGGCTCTTCTCTTCTGTGTAAAGCGAGCGGAGGGAGGGGGAGAGGCTTGGTATGTAGTATAGGCGTGTATGCGGATCAATAAACATAGAGACCCTCACAACCTCATCGGGCCTTGTGTACTCCCTTACCTTCCTCTTGAAGGGATGGTGTCGGTCCTCGTGCGGCAGCACAGTCCAGCACTGCCGCTAGCGATGGCCGTATGATACAAGGCAGCATGCACGTCACGGTGAGCGGCTAAGGCCGCCGTTCGCAAGTGACGAGGCCTGGCTGGAGCCTGTGAGAGAAGCGTTTATAGCTCTGTTCTACGCCTACAGGTGTGTACGGGCGAGAGAGCTCGATCCGCAGGGCCGTTGCGATGGCTGTTACAGGCAACGTGGTGGACCGTGAGGACTCGGCTCGTCTTGTCACTGCGAGCTCTGGCTCCTGACACAGCCCAGTGTCAGTGAGCTTTGGAGTTCTGCTCCGAGTGTCGGCCACAACTTGATATCAGACATGGGGTAAGCCACCCGGATTGCTCTGTCTCAGTCGGTAACTTGACTCAAACGTCTACGAGCCTGTTGACTCTCAGCTCATATCACTGTACGAGGGGGTGACGGTACGGTTTCACGGGCACTGAAGTTAGCTGCCAGCAGCCTGAGTCACGGGCAAGTTGGCTGCCCGCGGCCTGTCACTCAGGCTGTGCCGGCTTGATGATTGGAACTTCGGAACCTGTCACTTGATTCAGGCACGGTGCCGAGGGAAAACCGATCAGTATTGATCGCATCATAGTAAACAGATTATGGGATCGGACAATCTTTACTCAAAGTTAAGTCGGATGCCCGGCCGTTGAAGCTTTGACTCTCGCTGACGATCCGATGGTTTGAAAAGAGTTCAAGTGTGTTTCACGACAACCCCTAAGCTCACCCTTTGGTCGATCCAGCCGTAAGCAACCGGTGTCCGTGCCAGCCTAAAGTCAATCCTCGAGATCAGGGGAGTCCCGTTCCCCAACTTTGTGACTGGAGAGTCCCGTCACGGCCCTCTCTGAGCCACGGGTACTCTCATAGTGCGGGGATAGGGATCGGACCGGTGGTGAGAGGCGGGGGCCGGGTCCACGGCTTCGCCATGGTTGCCGTTTAACTGGATGAGGCTCAGCCCCGGGCCTTTAGCCCGTCACGCCCGACGTGACGATGTTTACCACCAGATGCGCCCGAAAGTCCACGCCGGAAGTGGGAAGAGACCTTAAGACAGGTGGGGTAGTGACTGATAGGGCAAGACCCGGGACATTGTCCTACTTTCCAGGGGTGTAAGGCTGCCCTGATTCCCCCAGGGGTGGGGGTACCGGAGTGAGTGGAGCTCCCAGGCACATAAAAGGAGGAAGCTTGGCTGCTGTGGAGCATACATTTCGAGCAACGACAGCATGACACCAACCGATATGAGCGCCTTCGTCGAGCTATGGGGCTCCTCGCCCTGCGTGAGCCCCGTCAGCAGCAGCACCAACCTCGTCTGCGACTTCTCGCTCCTCCAGGCTCATCACAGCGACATGGCGTTCCTCCAAGACTGGGAGGCGATGGAGACAAGGACCATGGCGAACAAGCACGCAGAGGAGGAAAAGGAGGAGGAAAAGGAGGAGGAGTCAGCCAGGCGATGCAGGCCAAGCCGAGGCGTAGACGGGGAGAGCAAGCATCACGAGGACTGCGCCCGCGGGGCGAGGGAGGGAAGGTGCAACGCCAGGGACGGATGCTGTACCGCCCCCAGGTGGGGATCTAGAACGAGGGACACGAGAGTACCCAGGGCAGGATGCCGAGCCGGGCAGGGCTCTTCTCTTCTGTGTAAAGCGAGCGGAGGGAGGGGGAGAGGCTTGGTATGTAGTATAGGCGTGTATGCGGATCAATAAACATAGAGACCCTCACAACCTCATCGGGCCTTGTGTGATCCCTTACCTTCCTCTTGAAGGGATGGTGTCGGTCCTCGTGCGGCAGCACAGTCCAGCACTGCCGCTAGCGATGGCCGTATGATACAAGGCAGCATGCACGTCACGGTGAGCGGCTAAGGCCGCCGTTCGCAAGTGACGAGGCCTGGCTGGAGCCTGTGAGAGAAGCGTTTATAGCTCTGTTCTACGCCTACAGGTGTGTACGGGCGAGAGAGCTCGATCCGCAGGGCCGTTGCGATGGCTGTTACAGGCAACGTGGTGGACCGTGAGGACTTGGCTCGTCTTGTCACTGCGAGCTCTGGCTCCTGACACAGCCCAGTGTCAGTGAGCTTTGGAGTTCTGCTCCGAGTGTCGGCCACAACTTGATATCAGACATGGGGTAAGCCACCCGGATTGCTCTGTCTCAGTCGGTAACTTGACTCAAACGTCTACGAGCCTGTTGACTCTCAGCTCATATCACTGTACGAGGGGGTGACGGTACGGTTTCACGGGCACTGAAGTTAGCTGCCAGCAGCCTGAGTCACGGGCAAGTTGGCTGCCCGCGGCCTGTCACTCAGGCTGTGCCGGCTTGATGATTGGAACTTCGGAACCTGTCACTTGATTCAGGCACGGTGCCGAGGGAAAACCGATCAGTATTGATCGCATCATAGTAAACAGATTATGGGATCGGACAATCTTTACTCAAAGTTAAGTCGGATGCCCGGCCGTTGAAGCTTTGACTCTCGCTGACGATCCGATGGTTTGAAAAGAGTTCAAGTGTGTTTCACGACAACCCCTAAGCTCACCCTTTGGTCGATCCAGCCGTAAGCAACCGGTGTCCGTGCCAGCCTAAAGTCAATCCTCGAGATCAGGGGAGTCCCGTTCCCCAACTTTGTGACTGGAGAGTCCCGTCACGGCCCTCTCTGAGCCACGGGTACTCTCATAGTGCGGGGATAGGGATCGGACCGGTGGTGAGAGGCGGGGGCCGGGTCCACGGCTTCGCCATGGTTGCCGTTTAACTGGATGAGGCTCAGCCCCGGGCCTTTAGCCCGTCACGCCCGACGTGACGATGTTTACCACCAGATGCGCCCGAAAGTCCACGCCGGAAGTGGGAAGAGACCTTAAGACAGGTGGGGTAGTGACTGATAGGGCAAGACCCGGGACATTGTCCTACTTTCCAGGGGTGTAAGGCTGCCCTGATTCCCCCAGGGGTGGGGGTACCGGAGTGAGTGGAGCTCCCAGGCACATAAAAGGAGGAAGCTTGGCTGCTGTGGAGCATACATTTCGAGCAACGACAGCATGACACCAACCGATATGAGCGCCCAAGTTCGTCGAGCTATGGGGCTCCTCGCCCTGCGTGAGCCCCGTCAGCAGCAGCACCAACCTCGTCTGCGACTTCTCGCTCCTCCAGGCTCATCACAGCGACATGGCGTTCCTCCAAGACTGGGAGGCGATGGAGACAAGGATCATGGCGAACAAGCACGCAGAGGAGGAAAAGGAGGAGGAAAAGGAGGAGGAGTCAGCCAGGCGATGCAGGCCAAGCCGAGGCGTAGACGGGGAGAGCAAGCATCACGAGGACTGCGCCCGCGGGGCGAGGGAGGGAAGGTGCAACGCCAGGGACGGATGCTGTACCGCCCTCAGGTGGGGATCTAGAACGAGGGACACGAGAGTACCCAGGGCAGGATGCCGAGCCGGGCAGGGCTCTTCTCTTCTGTGTAAAGCGAGCGGAGGGAGGGGGAGAGGCTTGGTATGTAGTATAGGCGTGTATGCGGATCAATAAACATAGAGACCCTCACAACCTCATCGGGCCTTGTGTGATCCCTTACCTTCCTCTTGAAGGGATGGTGTCGGTCCTCGTGCGGCAGCACAGTCCAGCACTGCCGCTAGCGATGGCCGTATGATACAAGGCAGCATGCACGTCATGGTGAGCGGCTAAGGCCGCCGTTCGCAAGTGACGAGGCCTGGCTGGAGCCTGTGAGAGAAGCGTTTATAGCTCTGTTCTACGCCTACAGGTGTGTACGGGCGAGAGAGCTCGATCCGCAGGGCCGTTGCGATGGCTGTTACAGGCAACGTGGTGGACCGTGAGGACTCGGCTCGTCTTGTCACTGCGAGCTCTGGCTCCTGACACAGTCTGAGCCGCTCTGCCGTTACGGCCCTACCCACGGCTGTTACGTTCACCCTCACTGATGGAAGCCAAGTTGCCGGCAGGGCAAGTTTATTGTCAGGCTCTCACTCTATCACCGCACCACATCGACCATTCTTCAATGGCAGGTATCAATCATTCTTCCTTGAGATGTCTCTTGTGACATGTTACGGTCTGGTTGCTGGTCAATTCGGCGCCTGCTCGTCTGGCACGGTTTTGCATTCCGAATGACTGCATCTGCTTTCTCTGGCTTTACTCAAAGTTAAGTTAAAAAGCAGTACGCAGTGTCTCTGCAGGTTTGCGGGTGATTGGGTATGTGTGGGGAAGAGGGTATAATATCTAATTCTGGGAGGAGGGGTCATTTTCCCAACATCCCAGGGGTGATCAGGACAAGGGGTGCTTCGGATACTTGAAAATTGCCAGGTGCAGCGCAGGTTGATCATGTAGGAGGTGGGTGGGGTGGGGGGGGTACCCCTACCACCCTCTGATGTAAGAACCCCCTTACTTCTGCGGCCTCCGACGCCGATCGAACCCCCACCCCTACCTCTGACCCTCCACAAGCCCCTCCTTTTATCTACATAATTCGCACCAGGTACCCACCCCGTGTGTATTATTTTAGCCCCCACCAACCGTCCCAAAGAGTAGGTCAGCGCAAGCACGGACAACGGAGGGGCGGGCGAAGGCATGAAGGGCAAGCAGTGGAAGGAGGAGGAGGAAACGTGAAGGCAGGGCTTGGAGAGCAGAGAGGGGAGGTGCTGCAAGAAGGATCAGGGAATCTATCACACGAAGTTTAAACCGAAGAAAATCTTACATTGGACAAGGCATCACTGAAAAGAATATAATAGGACCACAGTACAACTGGCGCTGGGACCCGAAGGCAGCATCAGAACTGAAACGGCGAGCAAAGACGAAAAGAGCCCAGTAAAGGTTGAGAGAAGGACAGAAGTGAAAGATATTGTGGTGCGGTGGTAGTGTGATCATGCACGGAAATTCGGGGCGATCGACAAGCGTTGGCGACATCCGTTGTCAAGAATGTGGGGCAAGATTCTCGACCAACTTTCAAATGGGGAGCCAGCATGCCTGTAAACGATGTCTCGCTAAGTACAAGAGCTCGCGGAGATGCATCTCATGCGGAGTCAACATCGTGAGCATTCGATCTTACCCTTCGACTATTACTTCATGGTACTGCTCCACTTGTTCTAACGCGTCCGGATGCCACGCGGATGGCTTGCGATCCACGGAGAGTCTTGACAGTTACAAGGTCTCTCACCTGAAGTGCAAGATGAAACCCACCACTACTAGTCAGTCCGTCGGATGGGAGAAAATGAGACTCGTTCACAGTCACGAGCCCACGAGCACCACCACTACATGCAGGAAGTATGACAATAGTAGGATGATGGGGGAGAAAGCAACGCTTGTAAATACGGAGGTAGGAAGTCCCCTGGAAACAACAAGCTGTTCCAGCTCTTCGTCACTTGTTCAGACAAGAACACCGGAGATCGAATGTGATCCCTTGGGAACTATCATCGACAGCGTTCACCAAAAAAGTGATTTGATGCCCCCGGTATGTAATGGACGATGCTTTTAAGACCACGAAAGAGAGGATGATAGAGATATTTGCAAGGATGAAAGGATGAGGGCGTTTTTGATGATGACGTAGTTTGAAATGGGCGAAGAGCCGAATGATTGAGTGCACTGAATTGATTTGTAGGTTGATCGCAGACATGGCGACAAGGTTGAAAAGATGACCAAGAGAGTTGTCGAAGAAAAGGTGGACAAAAACAACAAGGCAAACGATGATGAAAGAAAAGAATGGCATGCTCCTACAGTTTCAAAGGATGCCAGCAAAGAACGACCACTGAAAAGTTTGAAATTCGTTGAGGATCAGACCCATCATTTTGCAAGCGAGAGGCAACCAGAGGCCAGCAATTCGCAAGGGCCATCTTGCAGACAACAAGAACTCAAAAGGTCGAGCATGCAGGCGGTAGAGGCGAGGAGATTCTGGGCTGCCAAAGTCGTCTACGAACGAGCGATCCACACAAGATTGCCAACCTTTGACTGACGTACAAACTTATTTGAGGTCACCTGTTATGATATCTCTAGTTTCTATATGTCTGGTGGTTTGCTATACGAACAAATGTAACGTAAGCTGATTCTCGTGATACGAATCCAATGCCTTGATCCCATACCATACCTTGCAGTGCCAAGTTGCAAGTTGATCAATGAAGTTTTCACGGAAAAGATTGATTTACTATGTTTACAACACGCGACCTTGATGTCACGAGGGAAAAAATTATTGGTGGTAGAAAGAGCATACAGTGTTCAAGACAGCCAGCAATTCATCGCGCTCTGTACATTGTGCATTTGCAACGCTGCTGCCGTTATCAAAGTGACAGTACGAGGACTGATGACATCGAACAACATCACGATCACTCCACTGTCATGTCGACACGAGGGGATGAGAAAGGGCATAGCGAACAACCCGGACCTGCAGCTCCAGTCATTCACCCTCGCTCGCTGCCTCATCACTTTCCTCCACGTCGCATTCCTCCTCTCGCTCTATCCGCATGACGCCGATGAAGGCCTGGAGGTGAGCTGAGGAGGTGAAGGCAGGAGGGAGGGAAGACCTCTCGACACATTGGGCAATGGCGACGTGCAGGTCCGAGATCCCAGATGGCAGTAGCGCAGGCGACACAGACGCCACCTGTTGAGGTTTAGGCGAGGAAGGAAATGAGAAGAATTGGGATGATGGTGGTGAAGGGTAGGGGAACCCTGACAAGGGAGGATGGGAGAATGACTTGAGCAAGGAGGAGGAGGAGGAGACGATGATCGAGAAGCTTACCATGGCCGCACTCGAGGAGGATAGCGTCACTTGCGTGATCCAGACAGACACAGCAGAGCGAGTCAGTAGCTTCTTCACCTTCACCTGGGAGCCTCTTGAGCTGATACCAGCACGACTCGAGCTTACTACTCTTTTACCTTGCTCCTCCCCCGTTGACGTCAGTGCCTCATGCGAGCTCCGATCCTCCTTCCTCGTCTCTTGGCTGGCTACGAACACAACGTTGGCGTTGACGCAGCTTGCGATGTTGCCTCGGGTTCCTGCACCATGTCAGAAGATGCGAGAAAAGGCATCGTCCTCGCCTTCTAGCCTCCTGTACAAGACGTTGGACACCCTCAGCATGCGGGTAGGAGGCGCCTTGGAGGTCGTTATCTCTTCTCCTGACCTTATGACTCTGTGAGATCCGATGGCTTGCACGCCCTACTGATGTGTCAGCACATTTCCAGCTCCTCGTCTTCCAACCTGCTCGCGGTTGAGGAGACTCCCTTGCATCCTTCCGTGGATCCACTTGCAGAACATACAGCGAAAGAAACAAAAGACGAAGATGGCAAAAGCGGTTCCTCCGAACCACCACTGCAGGGCCATCAGGTTGAAAACAAGTGCAAGGGACGTCACCTTCCAGAGCTCGAAAACCGAGCCGAGATGATAGATCACCATAGAAAACTTGTCGTTGGGAACCGAGTCTCCAATCATTCTCACCTCCACATACACTGAAGTGTCCGGGTCCCAGGCGTCAACCTCTACTTGTAGCCCTGCTACTCCATCCGCAGTGTATCCCCACTTGGAGAGCGGCCAAATTCGGGTCTGCTTGTTGATGGTAGAGTAGCTCGCGATCTGCACTGCAGCCGACAGACTCTGCCACGAGCTGTACGTCCGCACTGAGCTGATGTCAGACGTGCTCGGCATCAGCTGGACGAAAGCCTGGCCTGCAAGCCCGCTCTGCGGCTTGAAGGAGAAGAGCTGGACTCGGGAGCTCAGCTGGAAGTTGAAAGTTTTGTCGAGGGACACAGGATTCGAGCAGGCGGAGACAGGGAGTACGCGGCAGGTAGCGTTCGCGTCGCTTATCAGCGTCCACGTTGCGAGTGAGTGTCCCAGGCGATGCAGCATCAAGGTAGAGGAGGTCTGCAGCCCGTTGGAGGACTGATTGGAGATGGTCTCCTGATACCTCGCGTTCGCCTCTGTCGCTCTCTCGTTGATGTTGCTCCACACCTTCACCGTTGGGCTAGCACCGTCTAGACACGTCAAGCTCAAGAAGATGACGGCAGCGTCGAAGCCTTGCGACGGCTGAAAGGAGCGTGAGAGGGAGCGTGAAAGGAAACAGGAGCGACAGGATGTACCTGGAAGGAGAGCATGACGTGAGACCCTTGCGTGAAGGAAACGTCCAGCCCCTCTAGGGGCAGCGACGTCACCTGAGCGACAGAGATCAGAGAGAACTCTTGGCAGACAAGCATCTCTGTGCCTGCGAGATGGCTGCCTCCACTCTGACATGCTGACTTTGACCTCCTGCCTCGACCCTCAGGTAGAGATCCTCTCGCGAGAGCTGCGGCAGGTTGACTGCCCCCGTCCCCTCCACTTTGTACTCGAAGATCGATGAACCCGCCTGCGTCATCGGAGCCAAGGACCGTCGGAGGTACCAGCACCCCTCGCGTATCTCATCTTTTGAACTCAGGATCTGACTTGACGTGCTTGATAGCTGCTCACTGTTCAAATCCACTGCAGCTGGCGAGGCCTCAACTTGGGTCCCCGTCTGATTGCGATGCTCAGCCCCTACGTCCTCACTTGTGCGAGTGACAAGAGCTTCAGCTCTTGAACGAGCTCCAACATCCTTCGCCCCATCCACTGAATTCGTGACGTCCTCATCTGCCATCGTTCCCATCAGGCGCATCAAGATCGGATCACCATCATACGTGGTGTGAAATGAAGAGCAACATTCATGTACACTTCGGCACCGAACTCTCCCACTGCAAGCTTTACAACTTTCGTCTCTGTAGAGGAGCCCGCGTCAAAGTTCCCATGTTAGTTCGCAAAGCATAACCTCTCGCAGGAACGTCAAGGAAGAAGCTAGTAGCACTCGGTACAACCTCTTCTCGCACGTCATCATGGATTCGCTACATTTCAAACGTCATTTGCGCCTTCACCCACTGACAAGAAGTCAACGGAACCGACCTTAAGTTGCAGTTTCGGGCCAGTGCTGACAAAAAAGCATACTATCACCGGGTTCACGGGCTCGGGAAGAGACGAGGTACCTTGCAGGGCACAAGAGCGGGACAAACCTGGATCCTCCCTCATCAAAGCATCGAACGCAACGCTGGTCCCTCGTAACCTGCCTTCCAGTCAGAGGTTGTACCAACATCTTAACTAGTTTCAGTTGCCTCCAATGGTGAACTGGTAACTGACTGACAAACATCCGTTCGAGGGCCCGAAGGTTCTGCTCAGATGATGTTCAGGGTGATGAAGGGGACAAGGAGAGAAAGACTCAAAGAAATCAGAGTAAGAGAGGAGGGGAAGGGAGGGGAGGGGAGGGGAGCAATCCGATTGGGGACCAGATTGGAACTACCTGTGCACTGAACACTGGGCCAAGAGATCGATTCACAGGGGTTCGTATCACAGGGGACGGAGAGGAAGGCAGCGAAGAAAAGCAGCAGCAAGGTAAAACTTGAGCCACTCATAGTTCTGGTTCTTTGATCTCTCCTGACATCTTGACACCAACAACACATGACAAGGCTATCGTGCTGACCCCCACTGCAGCAGCTGCTGCTCGCTCCCGCTCATTATGCACACGTCGCTGGTATACCGAGTCTTCATTCTCAATCCAGTTGCCTGTGATATCAGCTCAGCATAACAGTCTCAATTCATTGTTTGCCCCATCTCCCAACTCCATAGCCAGCTCTGGCCATGCAAAACAATCTTGGCAAGACAGTCCTACATGCTTTGTTCTCGACCAGCGTCAAGAAAATTCATTGCATTCCCCAATCTCATTAGGTCTTCTTCTTCTGGTACTGGTACTGCAAGGCTCTCTCTCACTGCCGCTATGCCCTGATTCATCTCCTGTCAATCATCGACTCTCCTGACTATGATCGACCCAAAGAGACTCTCATTCGATACAGATTCTGCCTACATCCAGGTTCTTATACACATCCCTAGCGCTATCCACATCATGGATCGTCAACCTGGATTCAGTGTCTGCGCGCCATAACATCTCTATGAGATAATGCCAATCCATGATCTTTGTCCCCTGACGCCTTCCCATGTCTCCTATGTCCTCTCAAGCACATTCTGACTTCAAGGGACCTTTTCAAGTTTGTTCATTTTCCTCTCTCTCCCTCTCTCCCTCTTGCCCCCCCCCCCCCCCCTCCCTCTCCCTCTCCCTCTCCCTCCCTCCCCCTCTCGCCCTTTCTCTCCTCCTCGTTCCCATCCCCAGAGTTGCCGGACCCACCTAGTACTCTTGCAATATACTTGACTAAAAAACAGCCGGTAGAAGTCACGTGATCACCATTCGGTAACTACCCTCCCCGTACTTTGACTACCCCTTCATATAACTATGAATTGACTATGAATCACCCCTGCGAGACACCACCCCTACCCCAGTATTCTGTCAGTTGCGCCCTTGTCGTTGTGACCTTCCTCATAAGTAACGAGGATAGTCACTGAGTGCCGCACGGCAATGAAGAAAGGCCCGGGGCCCGGGGCCCGGGGCCCGGGGCCCGGTTGACCAGCCCCGGCGTTTTCAAAATTTCGTGATTGAATATCCGGCGAAACTCATTTAATCTTGTTCACCCGTTTCCGCGGCGGCAGCAACGGTGAAATGGCGGAAGGTAGGGAGGATGATGTTCCGCTGCGGCTGCTGCGCGCGAAGGAGCATGAGAGCTCAGCGTCTTCACAGAAGAAGATGCGAAAGAAGAACTTCAACACTGAAAAGATCTACATGTATAAGATCCAGAAGGTTGCCAGGTTTTTCAGCGAGCGATCGAAATCCGACGGCGATGCTGAATTCGCCTCTGCATTGGATGAGAAGGGACAGCTGAAATTGCCGCTCTCTTGGCCGTGCATCCAGGCTTTGTTCGATCATCTCGCAGAGGGTAGGTCGCATCCTCGGAAAAAAAGGAAAAAGGGAGATTCGAATGTGGAAGCGAGCGAGGGCAAAGACGATGAGGTAGGGGAGGATGGTGAATCGCTTCAGAGCATATCCGTAGCGACCTTACAAGGATACAAGAAAGCACTTAAATTTTATTATAGAGAGCAAAATGTTCCTTTCACAGCAAGAGGACTCGAGGATTCCAACAAGACTCTGGATGCAAGCATTGATGGTATCCTTGAAGAACATGGGTTGCTAGAGTACAAAGCGGATCGCAGATCAAAATCCAAACTAATGAAGAGTTCGTTGAGCTCACACAGATATATAGAACTTTGCAAGAAGATTATTACATTGGGATCCGAAGAGAGGGGTGCAGAGCTTGGGTCGAACGGGCTGTTCGGGCATGTGGCAGCAACTTTGATGTGGAATTGTTGTTGCAGCAGCAGTTGTCTTGACGGCCTCAATCTCGACCATTTCGACTGGGTTGGAGATTCTCTCAAGCTGACCATCATCGAGCCGGTTGATGAAGGTCATGAGGAAAGCTCAAATTCAAATCCAGGAGCTGTGACCACAAGGACTGTCAGTGTGTTTGCCACTCCGTTTAGCCCGGAAACTTGTCCCATTTTGGCGCTTGCCCTATACGCCTTCACCCACCACAGATACTGGGAAGGTAACAACTTCTTCCTCGGCTCCGAACAGAAGCAGAGGTTCGGATTCATCGTTCAGGGAACCATTCCGCAGGCAGAGCTGCAAGCGGACGAGTGGCGGGAGCTAGGTGAGAGAAGCCATCTTATTCGCTGAAGAGTGACGATGTGGTTACTTCAAGGTGCTAACCTTCTCAAGAAAAGCGCGGTGAGCTTCCTGTTCAGATCAAAGGGAGGACCTCCTTCCCAAGACATTAACCGCAGGGCGAATTGGACCGGGGAAGCACCCTCAGTGGATAACCAGTCGGCGGCGACCCCATCGCCCGATGGCGATCAGCTTTGTGGAAGAATCCTCGCTGGAATGGATATGAAATCTCCTGACTTTGACGTCCTGTCTCCACATTTCACTCTGAAAGGCTACGAGGAGATCGAGAGTGTCGGTTTCGAACGCTTCATGGTGGGCTATCATACGTGTCCCGATAGTTTCAAACGGTGTATCCCGGTCTTCCTCGCCAACATCATCTTCCACTTAAAAACCTTGCAATCATGGTTTCCAGCACAACATCCTGTATGGAAAGCTCCAGTTTTCGGTGTGTTCGGCACAAGCACCCTCCCGAAGCTCGCAGACTTTCAGAGAGAAGTTGTCCTCTGTCATGGCATGTGCTCTGACTGCGGTGTGAAAGCGACTGGCGTTCCTCGTGATCATGCTGCGAATGTTCGGGCCAAGAGAGATATCAAGATGCCTATCAAGAAGTCTTCAGGTGTACAGGATCTGAAGTCGGTGATTGGCGACGAGGTAGCGAAGCTTCGAATCGGACTGCATGAGGACATCTTGCGTACGTTGAACTCGAGGATTGAAAAGTTGAATCCGGAGGGCTCCAATCGCGACGAGATTGACAGCTTCAAGAAGGCGATCACGGATGATCTGGTTGCGACTGTCAATGCTCGATGCGACAACCTTGCCGGGTCCGTCCAGGCGTTCAGTGAGGCCAAGTACCAGCTGGACACTGAAGAGAAGAATTCAGGAGTGCACGAGCTCTTCATTAGCAACTCTTTTGCCGGTGACCTCTTCCTGTGGAACGGATCGTATCATATCATCCCTCAAAAGTTCAGATTCCCGTCCAACGTCAACTGCAAGGCCTTGTGGGAGAGGTGGCACCTGGGTCAGGACATCGTCGTCGACGGAGTTTCTCGCCGGCTCGGTCCCCTCAAGCGCCTGGCAGATCCGCAGTACTCCAAGGAACTGAGAAACATCAAGATGAAGGGGATAGTGTCAAAAGCGTGTCAGGTAATGAACCTTGTGGAGGAGACGGCGAGGAGTCTGGGTCTTGTGAAGCAAGGGGAGCCCATCTCGGAGAGCAACTTCCTTTACAGCTTCGACCCGGCCTTCGAAGAGGTCGTCAAGCGCCACTATGGCACTGAAGCTGTCAGCAATCTGCCACGATACAAGAAACTGTCGTATAGGAAAGTGTTTGATAAGCTGGACGGCGCGTCAGACCTCAAGGATGACAGGTGAGCGGGTCTGCTCGTTCTGATGATGTTTGATTCCAACTTGCAGTGAAAATGACAGCTCCAACGATCCCGACATGGATGCGCAGAACGACGACTAGACGATAAGCCAAGCCGGGCAAACGTGAACACGACCGTATGATGAATTGACTAGTATCGCTTTAAGTGTATAATTGAACTTCTCTATATATGCATCCGAAAGACCGGCGGGCCCGGGGCTCTTTCAGTTCTCTCAGTCACCGTCAGTTACAGTAGACTGAGGCTGTCCAACCCGGGGACTGGCTACCGCCGCGGGGCCCGGCGGGCGCCATCCGATCATTGACGGAATCGTGGGAGTCCGACTCCTGGCTGCTGCAGTTTGTGCTGATGAATCTGAGGCGGGCTGTTAAAAGGGGGTGTAAACTGGCAATGGCGTCGTGTCGGGGAGCGACATGGCTGGTCCTAGCGGCGATGATGTTGACAGCAGAAGTTGCGAGCGCCTTCAGATGTCCATCACTTGCGCTGGGAAGAGCAGGAGCGAGGGGAGGAGCACGGGCTTGTTCTTCGTGGAGAGCAGGTAAGTGATGTCGATGCCTGTCAAGATTTTCGTGACGGTGACGAGAAGGGTTTGTTGACAGACTTCAAAGTGTTCTTTGATGTTGTAGTGGACGAGAAACCAGCTGGGCGCATGACTTTCAAGGTTTTCCACTGCCTTGCGCTGTCGCCATCCCAACGTGACGCTGTTTGCTTGTTCAGGTGTCGCAAGACTTCTTGCCCAAGTGAGGTGCTGCCTATCGTCGAGCTTGACACTGAAGGACGTACAGGACAACTGAGAACTTCCGAGCACTTATGAGTGGAGAAAAGAGGTGAGCGATGAAAGTGAGAGAAGCTTCAATGATGGTATTGTTCAGGATCATCGACCCTCTGCTTTCCTATCAGAACTGCCAGTTTGAGTATGGCCCGCAGTATGTGGAAGGGACGGGCAACTACAAGGTCCGCTCAACGACAGGGGAGGAGGAAGAAAGGAGCATGACGGGAAGTGCAGTGGTCGCATGTCTGCAAAGGAAGGGAAAGAACGTCTTCGGGAAGGAGAAGATCGCCGAGCCCCAGGACCTCGTCACCTGCCGTCACAAATGCCCTGGCCCTGTCGACCTCCTCCTCCTCGTTGCCGCCTGTGACTCGTGGATTGGGGCAGGGCGGGGGATACTATTATGGCATGGAAGTAGATCTTGTCAACGCTGATGCACCTGATGAGGAAGACGATGCTGGTGCGGATGAGACGCGAGGAAGCTTGCGAGGACGATATCTTGTATCTTTGAAATATGGCAGCGCCAGCACACATGTAGAGGAACTCAAAGTCACAAAAGAGCAGCAGGCTTACACAGAAAGGCAGATAGCAAGACAGCTGAGTGAAGACGTCGGAGGAGGAAGTTGGAGAAGAAACAGAAAGTAGGATTTGTGGGGAAGGAAGAGTGCTAGGGGGCAGTTGAGGAGGAGGCCCTGAAGGAGGCTCACATGAGGCTGGCAGGGCGCAATCTCATCTCAACACAACTGCAGAAGCCTCTCGGTCTCATCCTTGAGGAGGAGCCGAGCGGTCAAGGAGTGTTCGTCGCTGAGGTAGCTGTCGGACAGACTGCCCTCCTCCTGCTGACTTGCTGCTTTCCAGGTTTCTCCCGGCAGCAATGCGGAGAGGAGCGGAAACATCTTGCCGGGGGACTCGGTTGTGAGGGTCGGGGAGGAGGACTGCTCAGCTGCGACTCTTGAAGACGTGCTCAACCTCATCGGCAATGCCAAAAGTTTCGTTTCCGTCACATTCTGCCGGTATTTCGAGCCCCGTGTCCTCTGCCTCCTCGTCCTCCTCGTCCTCCTCGTCCTCCTCTTCCATCTCTACCTTTTGCATCTTGGCCCTCATGATGCTACAACTGCAGGTCTGAACCGTCGATGGCGAGTGACGTGACAGTCTTGACCATCCCTGTTGGAGGCCCTGGTGAGAGGGAGGGAGAGGCAGAGAAGAACCTGAGGAGAGGACTGCGATGCCGTGACTCGTGAGTACCATCAGGTCATGGCATGTCAAGATTCGACATCATCCGCGTGAGCGACTCCCCGTCCTCCTGGAAGTAAAATACTTCAGTTGCCCTGCAATTCAGCTGAGCCTATGCTGGCAGGCAGCGCTTGCTGCTGAATCAAGCGGTCATTGGGAGGATGGAGGAAACGACTCATGTCTTCTGTCAACTGAGACTGACATGTCGTCATCAGAGCGGCAGGAAAACTCTCCAGCTGATGGCAAGGGCTAGGTGAGTTGTCAAGTTCCGGATGTCGTTGAGATTGACGAGCGATCTCGTTGACAGGAAGGCGCCAAGGATAGTTGACTGCGGGGTCTTGTGAAAATGCAGGGGGAGCTTCACATGGCAACGGATTTTCTCTCTAAGGTTGAGAATTACAAGAGCCGGCGGCTTCTATACCGACACGCGAGACACCTCTTGTCACACGACTCCTCGAGAAGACATGTGTGATCGGAGGGGAGGACGGTCGCGTCGCGACTACTGGAGGAAAGAACTCCCCTTGGGTCTCAGCTGCCAAACGTGTCACGCTTGCAAGGATAGAGACTCGTCCAGACTGACAGGAGTGATGCACAAGTTGAGGTCCGGCATCTCCTCGCCGTCAAGCTGCATCCGAGTCAGAGGAGGGAAGACGGACGAGGGAGGGAGGTGATGAAACGGGCGCGACGACGACGGGAGGAAACACGAGGATGAGGCACCTGCTCGTCTGAGAAGAAGGAGACCGGCCTTACATCCAATTTGAGCTGTGGCCCCACACCATTCATCTCCGTCTTGTGCGCAAGCATCAACTCCTTGAAAGTTGTGAAGTCCGCGCAGCTGACCTGGTCGAGAGAATGTGAGAACAGACGAGGTCGGCCCCAAGGGAGGAAGAGGCTTCACCAACACGTCGAAGACGTCACTTGATCGCATCTCTTCCTCCCTCGCGCTGGGGGGATCTGTTACACTGTGCAGAGAAAGATCAACTAGGCTACATCAACAACTCCATGAAGTCGTGCATGGAGAAATCAGGGATGGTTGCTTTCAATCGTGCGTCGAGAAAGCCTTCGATCAGTTCAGTCTGTGAAGCAACTAGTCAAGATCTGAATGAAAACGAAGGGTCGATCGCACATATTTGCCGAAGAGCTCAGTGTAAATGATCTTGTTTTCATCGGTATCTTCAAAAACAGCGCTGTGTTCATTCTGGAAAATACATTCAGAAACCGTCGTAGTGACAAGGAGCCTTTACAGCAAATTTTCTCTGTAGATCATGAAATTCGTCATCTGAAGAATTGTCACTTGCGCATCTTCACATTGACAGTTGCAAGACCAACCCATAATTATGTCTTCCAGAGCACCCACAATCAGATCAAACTTGTCGTCCTCTTCATTGTCGCCTCCAACGCTGTCAGGAGCGAGAAGTTAAACTCTTGTAGCATGGCAGAGACTCACCTGACAAACGAGATATCCCCCTCCTCGTCTGATAACCCGTCAAGTTCCAGACCTTCAATGTAACGTGAGCAAGAAGAGGGCATGTTCACCTCAGCAAGAATCATGACATGCTCTACCTTCTTCGTGCTCTTCAAACTCACCATCATCGTCGTTTTCTAGCACCTCTGAGCACTAGTCAGACCCTCACAGATACAACTCTCTCATATCCTTTCATCGCTTCTCGTGCTCATCAGCTCTCCTCCTCCCCTCTTCATCACCTTCAACTTCCTCCTCCACGTTGGCGTATCTTCCTGCCATACGAGGCTAACCGTAACTGCGCGCGTAACGGAATCTTGAAATCACGAAACTGGAGTCGGCATGTGGCAGGATGAGGCCCGCCGGTTCCGACCGCCGGGCCGTCCGGTTCAAGTTGGTTCTCGGCGCTGTTTCTTTACTCAAAGTTAAGTGAAAGTCGGGCTTTTCTCCGAGTTCGGAGTGAACTTTAACTTTGAGTGAAAGGTGCCTCATCTCTCGTGAGGGGCACTGGCACCGTGACGGGGTACGGCAGGCTCAGTCCGGGGCCGCGGCGGCGCCGCCGGGCCCGGTCAAATGATGATGTCTACAGGCTACCGGGTCTGACTGAAGTCACTGATTTCCGAGGCTCTCTCTACAGTTCAAGCGGGTTGATCTCTCAGTTGTCTGCCACCAATTTCAATCAAGGGCGAGACTTTAGCCCGCCGCTTGTCGGGGCCGGGGGACAAGGCTGCCGCTGCCGCTGTGCCACGGTGTTACTAAATAAGGATGGGTCATATGATCCCGTAGTCCGGTCACGGCGCAGCCTCCTGGCACCTCAGTGAGCCCTGCCGGGCGTGGATGTTGAACTTGCGGCTTGAGAGGTCGCAGCCTGAGCCCACGCGGTAACCTATCAAGGGAAGAGGACTGAAGGGTTTTGTCACGGTGGCTCTTCTGACCTGCTCCTGTTTGTTCTTTCTGCTCATCTTCTCTACCTCATCCTCAGTTTCCTCCTTCTGCTCCTTAGCGGCCTCGACCCCTCTTCATCGGATTCAGGGTATACAGGTTAGCAAGCTCCAGCGTGACTCCCGCAGTCTTTGCCGCTTTCAGTCCATACAAACTGTGAAATGACCAAGCCTCCATCTGAGAACGTCTAAGCTCCAAGTTGCACCTACTCCTCTGTCCTCTTTCTCCTTCCCAAGCCTCCTCCTTCTTCAGCCTCCTCTTCCTTTCCCTCCCCGGGGGGCCTGCTCAGCCTCCTGCACTCCCATCTCACGCTATCTGATCGGCTCTTGTACGTCCCTAGCCCCACCTCCGCACCTCCGCCTTCTGCTCTCTCCTGGCCGAGATAGCCTGCAATTTGGAACAGTGGCGAAGTAATGCCATGATACGATCGAAGTGCAAGTGAGCCGTCAAGAAGGTAATGGGTGAAAGAGATATTTGGAATATCAAAATCTAGGGAAACTTTGGAAGGCTCAGTAGGTCAAAAAGACTACGACGAGCATTGTGACTCTGGTCTATTGCACGGTCATATCCAGCTTGAATGCAGCAGTACGAGCAAGAACATCGTCTTGGAATTGTTGTAGTAGTCCATTTGCTTCATCCTGAAACGAGTATCTGAAGATATTAGAAGGATGCTCTTGAAAAATTGGATCCTGGATGGGGTCAGCCATTTGTTCTATGACATGATCATGGCTTTGCTCAACAGCATCATGCTGCATGTTTTGAGTCTGCTGGAAAGACATGCTTTCGTTTCCTTGATTAAATCCTAGAGCAACACAGAGATGAAGGCAATGGGCTGCTGTATCAGTTGGGTTGCTTCCATAAACCATAGAACTCAATTGGAAAAACGCGCCTTGATCTGCCGTATTCATTTGAATCAGTTTTTGCACATATTTAGTGACTGCTTGTTGATTGTTGTAATTCTTCAAGCAAATTTTGAGGGCATCCACATATCTGAATTTCATTTCATTTGCAATGCTTATTAGGACTTGATGTACCGTCGAGATGTTGCTTACTGACAGGTTTGACTTCTCCCTTTGAAACATATACGATGTTCGAATAACGTCACTGAAGAATTTTGTGTGGCACAGATATTCGTTCTTCAACAGTTCTGCTTCTGCTCTCTTGATAGGATCAGATATTGCTCTAGGAGAAAGATTCCAACATTCAAAACCGCAAAATTTGCTTTTGGGATACTTCGCTTTCATGGCATCATTTATGACGTGAACTGCTGCTGTGCTTTCAAGTTGATCAAGCACAGATTGAAAATTTCCACATTCTGACAAGCTGATGTGCAGAGTATTCATCGTGGTATTCATCAAGACCTGCGCGAAAACATCAATGCATAATTCCTTAAATAGCTTCATTTCGATATCTTATGAATACATACACACTTTGGGGGATTCCTGTAAAACGCTCACAAAATCATTCTGCTTCCTTTCACTATCTTGTTCTGTGCAGACTTTCTTTTCTACAACCTTCATTCTTCCCATCTTGTGACCAAAGTCGATGGCCCTAGGAAATGGCGCCAACAAAAGTTTGCGGCTCGCGTGGAAGGATAGGGGTGTGTTGCAGATTAAAGCAGGTGGGGTGGGTCCAAATTCTAAAAGCGAGGCAACGCCAGGACAACAGCCAGCAAGAGTTGAGACCCCCGATCCATGGCATGACGGGATTTCATTGTTGCTCCCCCCTCCCTCTCCCCTCCCCTGCTACCTCCTCGCGTCACTCCCACGTGACAGCATATCTCATCTTCATCTTTTTCCTCCTACTGCCAGATACCCAGACGACTTTCAACACAGGCTGCAAAAATTTCCTTCCATTGCTTCTACATCGCGAAAAAGGAGGAATGGAAGAAGCACCAGATGAGTTGTTTCGAGGCGCAGGATGGAATGGTGGTAGTGGGTAAGTGATTACCAGCTTATCTCACTTACTCGTTGCCTCAAGATCTTCGGTCTCTGACGAAGCTTTTGATGTAAGGCTGCGAAGAAAGAACGGAAGGCTGGAATCAATATCAGACGACTCGTTGCATTTGTCTTCTTCGGATGAAGAGGTGACCTGATCTTGTAACCATGGGATTGTGAGAGTGTGATTGTTGTCAGGGCAAAGATGTGCCAAGATGGATGAAAGTCCTTGTGCAGTCAAGGAGAGGAGCCTTGGTTCATGTGTACCGGAATTCGACCGGCTTGTTCAAGTTTGACGTAAGCATCCAAACTCTGCTGTAGTAGCGAACCGATTTGGGAATGACTCGTGCTGGAACAACTGCTTGTTTGAAGCCAAGGCTGTCATCCGACAGGTGGGTGACATTGCTTGCTACAGCTCGATGCTCTCGCATGCACTCTAACCAAACATGCAGCGAAGACGAGAGGATCTTCTGGGGATTCAACCATCCTGACCCGGAGTGATGCATCATGATGCTGTGAATGTGATGCTGAATGATGAATAGATCTGAGAGGCAAGAGCTCTTGACCAACCAGACATATTACAACAAGTTGATGGCAAGAGCCAGGTCACACAACTGATGATGATGATGATGATGATGATGATGATGATGATGATGATGATGATGATGATGATGGTGGTGGTGGTGGTGGTGGTGGTGGTGATGATGATGATGATGATGATGATGATGGTGGTGGTGGTGGTGGTGATGATGATGATGATGGACGATGATGGTGGTGGTGGTGGTGGTGATGATGATGGTGGTGGTGGTGGTGATGATGGTGGTGGTATATACAAGGCTCGTTCGCGTACCTCGAGAATAATGGTGGTGGTGGTGATGATGATGATGATGATGATGATGATGATGATGATGATGATGATGATGATGATGATGATGATGATGATGATGATGATGATGGTAATGATGATGATGGTGATGGTGATGGTGATGGTGATGGTGATGATAGCGATGGTGATGGTGATGGTGGTGATGGTGGTGGTGATGATGATCAGAGTTCTGCAGGCTGCGAGTGCCCTGGATATTCACCCGCAAGCAACTCAACCCCGTGCTCTTGCGACGTTTGAACCAGGAGATCTTGAGGATCGCGTACCTCAAGAAGTCGCCGAGAGTTCCGATGTGCTCTTGTTTCCTCCATTTCATTCATCTTCACACAATTCACCCTTAGCCTGTTGCACGATCGACAGCGACAGGCACGGCGGGCAAGTCTGATACAGAAGGTCTTGTTTGTCATCAGCATGTCATTCTTACTCATTGCACTGCACTTTACAGCATCTTGAAAAGAACGTCCTGTACGGTGAGTCGCCCTTGTGCCTTGACGGTTGATTGAGCACCCGAGAAGATCGAGATCAGTTTGCACCCTCGAGTTCTGTGAAGCCGTATCAGAATGCTCCCAGATACCTCTACATTGATGTGAGTGTCAGAGCTGTCAAAGAGGTCAAACTCAAGACAGGGATGTAGATGTAGCTCTAGGATTTTGCTGCAGTGATGAACCAGTGGAAAGAGTTGAGGAGAAGAAAAGGACGATGATTGAGGAGGGGTCGCATTCAACCTCTCACCCTTCCCTGCCATCAGATGGAATTTGGAAGCTTCGCTTTTCGTCTTTCCTGGTCAAGCTTACGGTGAAAGATTCTCATCGTCTTCGCCGCTGACTTTCGTTCCTTCAACAAGCGAGTACGTCGACCTCGTGCTGGCCGTCAAGTCAGGATCCCTTGATGGGCTCAGACTTCCACATCGCAACTTTCGCTCTACTGTGCTGCAAGTGGACCCAACGAGTCTCTCTGATCTGCTGTGATTTGAACCTGCTGGTAGATCGGAGAAGCGCTGGACTCTAGCTTGGTCCGATACTTCGAGGAGGAGACTCGGAGGCATGCGGGGACTTGCGAGGAAGGTCGCGTATGCCTCAGCCTCTCTTGCTACGGGCTCATGGGGACGGCAGGGTATGGGATGCTCTACCGACGGCGCGTGGTCGACGAGAAGGAGGAGCTCAACTTTCCCGGACCTCTTGTCCTGGTCTTATCTTCGGTAACGAGTGGCTCTTTTCGAAAGGAGGTGAAGACTGTTGCAGGAGATTCAAGTGCCAAGCTCGCTAGTGGCAGTGGCGAATCTTTCGCACGGGTTCAAGGTCTGCTGACTTGTTTCCTTGCCCTCGTCTCGAGCTTGTCCAGGTTGTCGAGTTATTGAGCCGACTGGACGTGGGTATTCCCAAGTAGCGGTTGACATGAAATCCTGCTGAGTGAGAACAGATGAGGAATTCCGGTGTGTCACTGCTCCTGATCTCTCCTACGCCAAATGCAAGATGCAGGCAAGTCGAGCAACTCTGAGGACGAAAGATCTCAACTGATACCGCAACAGATCATCGAGTGCTTCGGTATCGGACTTCGTCGGCCCGAGATCTACAACAGCCTTGCAGAGTTACAGTGAACTTGAGTTTGATATCCTTAAACATGCTTTCTGTCTGTTCGTATCGTCTGCATCAGTCCGAATCTTCCTCGCTGACTTCGTCCTTGCTGGGTTCTTTCTGACTTCTCCGCAGAACCTGCAATATTGTTTTCACCTAGAGAACGCTGAGCCTTCTGCTTACCCGGGACACGTTGGGGAATGCATGGGTAAGGAGGCTAGCGTCCAAGAAGTCTTCGATGTTTCTTCTCTTCTTCTTGGTCCCATCTCCTTGTAGGGATGGGTCAGGGACGTGCTGGAAAGTCTCATCAGACACCCAACAACCCACACGCGATCGCTTTACCTCGTCGGAACTTCTTTCCTCCCTCCGAGTGCTCTTGTGTGATCTGTTGACGCATCTCCGCAACCATCTGTGTTTGTCTTCTTTTGACTTAGCAAGGACCTCTCGCAGTTTCACAGCATCCTGAGAAGGTTACATCAGTAGAAATCTTGATGAGCATGCAAACGAGACCATGTGATCTGCCAACGCCTTGACGTGGGAAGCAGACATGCTGTCGATGCAAGCAACGACAAGAGCAAGAGAACCATCTTTTAAGCTTGCAACGTCTTCAAACGACATGAGCGACAGCCCTTCCCTTCTACCTTCCTCGTCAACAAGACTCAATAAGTCTTCTTGTACCGACATCTTAACCCACGGTATGAGTTCAGCTAGTTCTGCTCTTGTGAAAGCTTGAGACTGCAGCTTGAGTGTGTTGCTGTCCCAGCTCTCAACCTCCTCGGAGATCAAGAACAATCTTTTCCTTGCGGCTGACAAGGAGGCAAGGATCAGATTCCTCTCTGCCTGCGAGGTGACGGCAAGGGTTTCTTTGAGCTTGTAAGCAGGCAGCAGTTGAAGAGCATGCTTCCGCTGGTCGGGGGAAAGAACGCAAAGAGCACTCGCCCTCTCGTTAGGTGGCAACTCAGACAAGACCTGAAGAGAAGAAGGCGATCAGTGACTAGCAGGCTGGCAGGGCAACTGACCCCCGCCCGAGTCTCGTGGGAGAGTGCAGAGAGGATCGCTTTCAAGGAGGACGCTTCCATGTGCATCATCACGGACGCGAGGGGGTGGGGTGCGACGAGCTCTGATAGTCTCTTGAGGTGAGGGGAAGAGCAGGCGAGCAGGTCCTTCATGCGGGACTTGTCGTCGCCCTTCAAGAACCTCAGGCATCGCTGAAAGTCCTCCTGATCGTCGCTGGGAAGAGTCGACAAGAGGTTTGCGACCTGTTGCTCTCGCATCATCGCCAGGCCCTCCACGTACAGCTTCCCCTTCATCCCTGCGATGCTCGTCAGTTTGCCTTCGTCTGCCAGGAACTCCATCGCTGATGCTCGCTCCTCCGCTCCCATCTGCTCAAGAACGTCCACAAGTTTTTGGCGTGAGAGCATTTCAAACAGCCCCTTCTTGTCCGCATGCTGGCACCGGACCATCTCCAACATGTTTTGTATCGGCAGCCAGTCGAGCAGGGTCTCCGGGTCCTCCCTCCTTGCAAGCGCGCGCAGCTGCTCCCATCGCACGTCTGCGCTCATCTCCTCGAGCCTCATCACCATCTGCAGGTGACTGCCAACGGGCTCCGAGCACAGGGAAGCGACAGTCTGCTGCTGCCACCCATCGCAGACCTCAAAGAGAGAGGACGCGATACATGCCGGAAGCTGCGACAGCATTTCTGCTTTCCCCTCCTCGTCGCACCTCTCAAATGCGAGCATGAGAACAGCAGGCGGGATGTGAGCGAACGCTTCTGAAATCCACGTGATGGGGAGGTGTTGGATCACAAGCTGCAGTTTGAGAGGTGAAGTTGCCCTGACGAGGATCGCAATCTCTTCCAGGTTCGCATACATCAACCCCAGCGTCAGAGTCTCGAGCTCCATCCCTTCCACCTCGCTCTGTCGCTCCACTTCGTCAAGATGCCTCACGTTCTGGACTAGACGGATGGCAGCTTGAGCAGGGCCGGGAGATCATTGAAGACAACCTGTCACACTCGTTCAGACTCGTGCTTGGCACTTGACCAACACACCTCTCTATCTTCTTGCGAGCAATGTCCCAGCAATGCTACAATAGTCTTTGGCTCGCAATCGCCAAGAAACGATCTCCGAGACTGCTGATCGGTTCCGAGAAGAACGCTTGCCAGCATCTGATCGCTAGTGTCATATACGAGCATATCAAGGCAGCAGCTTTCCTCGGGAGCAAGTGAAGCGTTGGTGGGGTTCAGCTGCGCAATGGTTGAGGCGTAGAAGACAAAAAGATTGCTGCTCACCGACATGTTTGTCGTTTCGTTCGCACCCTCCGATGACTGCATCGATGTTTCTTCCGGCTCCTCGTCAGCCACAGCACGCGTCCTCCTAGAGAGCACCTAGAGTTTCTTCACGAGCTGCTCGAGTATCACAAACACCAGCACCGTGCAAGGAAGCAGAGCTCTCTCCTTCCTGTGCTCTCGCCCTCTCTCCTTGTCAGCCCCGGAGTGTGGAGAGGCGGGTCGCTCCTTGAGTTCTTTCATCGCCTGCGACAACTGCTGCAGACTCCCTCCCATCTCTCTCGCTATCTCCTGACTCAACTTCATCCCCAGCTGCCAAACGGCTTCATGTCGCTGCAACTTGGCATGAGCCTCATACACGTGGGTGCGGTCGCTTTTCAAGATCAACATGGCCTCCTCTAAGATCTCAGCAAGACCCTGCAGCACCTGCTTTTTGAGGGCTGCTACACTGCTTGCTCGCAGACTCTCTTCGATGCCTTCATTCGCTTTCAGCTCCAGTTCACGCTTCAATCCTGCCATTTCCTCACGCAAAGTCAAGACTTGGGATTCAGACTCCTGTAGCTTGTCATTGGCTTGCTGCAAGCTTTGCAATCTCTCTTGTAGGTTGTGATTTTCCTTTTCCATACTTGATAGTTTACTCTTCAATCCATCAAGCTCTTGCGTGCATCGTTTTTCCAGTTGTGATGCTTCAGACATTGACTCTCGAAGCGACTCAATCATGATGCTCTGTTCGCTGCATTTAGCCTGGAGGGTTGCAATTTCCTTAGCTCTTCTCGCCATCTCTCTCTCACTCTCTTTCTCCAACAATTCTTTTTCGTATTGAAACTCATTCTCTTTCTCCTCGAGTTGCTGTTGAAGTGCTTTACATCGTTGTTCTAGTTCATCTTGATGCGATTGCGCGAGTTCATGGAGAAGAGGCTTGTCGTTCCCCTTCAACAGCTCGCCCGAGTAATATCCCACAGAGATTCGCTTCTCCTCCAGGTCAGCCCACTCCTTCAGGCTGTCTCGGTACTTCATTCCTTCACTCAGCGCTAGTTCCAGGTCAGACCCTGTTGCAGTCTCAATCATCGCAAATGGACAATGCTCATACTGAGTTGTAAGTTTTGAGATTCAAGGACGTGGCATCTTTCTGACATTCTCAGAACCTCGTCCTTCACGCTTCATGTCAGAAGAGACAAGCCTGAGCTCCATGACAAGCTCCTCACATTCGCCTTCTCCACGCTCTTCTGTTGCCTTCTGAGGCGTTCAACCAGCTCCAGGAACTGCAGCGTCTTGTGCCGCGAGCTCTCTCGCCCCCGGCTGTCCTGCAAGTCAAGGTGGTATCTACTCTTGAGCTCCTCGTTTATGTCCTCCATCGACTTGCCCGCCATCCATGACCTCCTCTCACTTCAGCTCCCTTCACCTCAACCACACGCAAGACAAACTCACTGCAGGTACTCCTCCACCCGATGAAAGTCGTCAGGAGCGAAAGTCGCGAAGAAGATGCTGAGCTCTTTCTTCAAGGCGCGGGCAGCTTGAGACTGTTGTCTTATCTTGTACTTGCTCTCTTGGTGCGAGTTGTGAACGTTCTCAAGCCTAAGATTTCACGGAGATGTCACACTCACGCCCTTCCTCATTCAGTCTTCCCTCCCCCTCCCTCCCCGCCCCTCTCCATCTTTTAGCATCCTGAGGAGACATCATGCACACTTAGCTGGGTCAAACATCCGACGGCGACTAGTCAGAAAAAGCAGAAGCAGCCGCTCAGCAGCAGCAGCAAGCAAGCAAGCAAGCAAGCAAGCAAGCAAGCAAGCAAGCAAGCAAGCAAGCAAGTAGCTGAGCAAGTAATTGAGCAAGCCTTTCATTTGTCATGCAGTCACTCTCACCATGCCGACGACATGTCTGTACCAGTAGCCACAAGAGTCCTAATCTGGTCTTTACTCAAAGTTAACTTAAATCAGTACCATTAATCTTGGCCGGGCCGCCTGCCCGGCCCGGCCCGGGCCCTTCAACTTGATCGCCGGCACAAGTTGACTGACGAGTGCCAAGTAGTGTCAGACTGCCGAAGCCTACCCCTCCTTTTGATATAAACAGGACGGGTGTGCAATGAGACCCAACGGACCACCCGTCGGTGAGCGCTCATAAAGACTGGGGTATCATCAAGTAAACAAGGACATAGGGTGGTCATTTGTGATTTGGTGGTAAAGTGAGGAAAGGAGGTACTTTTGTACGTAAATTAGGGGGTAGGGTAGCCAAGTTTGCATTTGAGAGGTAGGGTCAGGATATTGTTTATGGGGGGTGGTAGGGGGTGTTGAAGTGTGGGGTGGGGTGCGTGTGAACCCCAAGAGCCACCGGGATGGAGGGGACGCCGCTCCTGGAGCCGAAGAAGGTGAGGGGGGGGAGAGAGGGGGGGGAAGGGGGGGATGAGGAAGTGAAAGAATAGAAGCAGAACTGAATCTGAAGTTCGGGGCAAGGGAGCGGGGGGAGATGATGTGAAAAGACGGACATGGTTGGACGACGATATGTGTTAAAGAGTATGTGGCACCTTGGAGTGGTACACGCTACCTCATTAGCGGTTCGCAATTGTGAAGTTTGCACTTGTGAAGCGTTGTACGATTCTCTGGCGATTGTATATGGAGAATCTTTGTCTTCAGAACGAAACGTTTCGTTCTGTTTCGTATAGAATCATCGCACTTGAGTCATCGCAATTGATTTTATTGCTAGATCCCCAAATGGCGAAGAATCAACATACCCGCTGTTATTTCCGTGGCCTGCATTTCACTTGCTGTCTTGGTGGTGTACTCTGCTATGCATAATGAGCAGGCACCGGTCATTGCGGACCTCTCGCTGTCACCAGCTGTTGCATACATACCTGCCGTGGGCCAACAGAGACTACAGTACATCTATGTCCCTGAGCAGGCGCTGCAGCAACAGAAGAAGAAAGCTTCAAAGTTCACGACACCAGAGGATCCTCTCTACTTGCCCCAGCCTTTGCTTCCTTCATTTGCAGTTGCAAACGGAAACATCCTCGCTGGGGCAGGAAACAACACCACTGCCGACGGTGGTCTGCCTCCATGGCATGTTCGGTCTTGCGCCATTTCGTCGTTGGTGACTCAGGCAAAAGGGGTCCTCATTCAGTGGGACAAGTGCGGGTACATGTTCCAGGGTCAACCCAAGTTTGAGGATCCAGCAAACCCCATCGCTCCCAGTGCGGATGGCACAGTCGGAGTGATCTCTGCTCCGGCGGACGACAAGGAATGTACCCCGTCCAAGATGAACTCGCCCAAGTGCAGGTAACCGGGCGATCCTTGTGTTTTGGGATACGAATTCTTGACGTTGCTATACTGTAGAAAAGAGTTCACACGTACCATCGCCAGAAATGACCACGATACTCTTTACAAATGCATGTTGAGCATTCGCGGTCTCTCCCAGACTTGTGAGGATTTGGATGTCGTAACGGCCAAGGAAGGAAGCTGATTTTCATTGTTTACAGGCGATACCTACTCTGCTTGTGGTCCCACCCCTAGCGTGAACTCACCCATCAAGTCTTTTGGAACACAGTCTGTTTGCAATGCGCCTGACGGAGGATACTACAAGGAGCCGGAAGTTGAGCGCATGTGCGGTGTTTGCGAAATGTTCCATGCAGTCGCAGGCGCTGCGGTCACCCCACACTACCGCGACACTGTGAACGGTAGCGAGTATGAGTTTTTGTTCAAAGTAACTGGATTTTGCAGAGGATGAAAGCAGCGGTGGAGGCTGTTTCGCACACGGTGCCACAGTTGTGGTGCAACACTCTGGCAGAAAGAATATCCAGGACGTCCAGGTGGGAGATATGATCCTTGGCTCAAACCAGGTAGTCGTGACATTGGCATGAATGTGGGGAACGAGTGAGGGGCTGAATGGAATGCACAGGAATATCGTAGGACATACTTTATTCACGATCACGAGAAGCCTTCCGAGACTTTGAAAATCTCAGTCGGACAGGAGGAAATCGAGATGACCCCCTCACATTTCCTTCCTATCTATTCGGCGGAGTGTGGTGAGAAGTTTTGCCAGTTTGCCAAGCTTGTTCCAGCCGCTTCTGTCAAGCCCGGAGATTTCCTGTACACCCAAGGTGGCTTTGAGATGGTGAAGGGCGTAAGCTCAAGCCGCTCCTTCGTCCGTTATTTGCTGGTTGAAGGAGGAAATCTCATGGTGAACGGGGTCCTTGCCTCTGTTCAAAGCACAGCAGCTGGAGCACTTGAAACTCTGCCTTTCAGGTTCCTGGACACGATCTTTCCTGGCAGCCTTGAGGTTCGTCCTGATAAAATAGTCGTGTGCCTGCCTGATCCTTCTTTCAGGCCCCGGCTATCAAGCAGGCCCTTCGCACCGTCCTTGAGTCTCCTATGCTGCGATCGTTTGAGACCTTGATCGCTAGAACGCATGCTCTTCCCATCACCATTGCCCCTCTCCTCGTCTCATCTAGCTCAAGCAGTTGAGCAAGTGCGACGACAGGCTACGTATGTCGTTCTACGATATTAATAAAGTCATATTGAGTTTATTAAGATATTTCTCAGAGTGCCAATGGTCATCATTACTGACATCGAATGCCTCCTCTAGGCTCTTCTTGACGTCCCTGCCCTGAACAGAAAAACGACACGCATGTGCCCTACACATCTATCGCGACCCTTCCACTGACGATATACTCAAAATGGTTTTCAGTTGGAAAGTTGCCTACAGACACCTCCTCTTTCCCCTTCCCCTCCCCTCCTTATCTTTGTCCTCGTCCTTGTCCTCGTCCTCGTCCTTGTCCTCGTCCTCGTCCTCCTTCTCTGCCTCCTGCTCCACCGCCACCGCCTTCGCCTCCTTCTCGTCCTCCGCCTCCTCGTCCTGGACCTCTTCCTGCTAATCGTCATCCTCCT